AGCTATAATAACCAAATTCGCTCAGGATAAATATTTTTAGCATCCCTACCCACCTTGTGAAAATGGTCTCTCAAATAACGGTTTTGCTAAAAACTACTAAAAGAGCTATTATCTAACATATGTATATCTAAATGCACCAGAGACATAAATGTTTACACTCGAGATGGTATGAGAGGGCTTTATAGGAGCCAGTGACAAATTTGGACGATGGGGGTGGCACTGCCCATATTTACATATTTAGGTGAAAAGCCATATCTCGGGACCTACTTCACCGACGTCAACCAAATTCGATACATTATATTATTCTGATATTTCTACATTACAGTACGATAATATGCGAAATCTAACAAAAACCACGCCTACTTTTTCTATAACACAATTTTTAATTCCATTTGAGTCATTCACTCTCCAATATACAATACAAACCAAGAACCGATCAATGGATCCAGATAAAACTTTGCACGAATAGTTCCTTGTGGTGTGCCACCTTATAATCAAAAATTTACCGCATCGCAATAAAACTGTTGAAGCCCCCAGATATCGAATATGCGGACCCCAGTTCTTATTGTGGACTTTTTATTGAAAATATCGGCAATATTCGAGCTATCTTAATGAAATTGAAAGAGCATGTTTTTCTAATAACAATGTATCGTTTTGCATGAGGTATTTCCCCAGCTTTGAACCTTGAAGTTAGCTCTTCCTTACTTATTTTGTATTTTAAGTTTTTTAATACAGTAGCACATAATACAATACATAAGTATATTACATTACAAATTACATTAATATATACATATGTATCTATCTTTCCAAATTAACACAACAAATACAAACTGATCACGAACGGCGGTTTTACCCGACGAGTAACAAACAATTATTCATACATGCGTTTTCGACAAAAAGCTAACTGGTTTGCTACAAATCTAATCAAAAAAAAAAAAATACAACACTAACTTTAATTGCAACAACACCAAAATTACTGGAGTAACTGTTCGCCAACCCGGTTACGGTTCAACACCAAGCCAAAGCCGAATCAAATCTTAGCAGCGTGCAGAATACATTTTAACCGATATGCAATTGTTTTTAAAAAATTTGTATAGCACGGCACGCGGCCAATGTGAAACTCTACAAATACTAAATAATAATAATAGTAAGACAGGGTAACAACCCCATCGCACCTGAGTATGCAAAACAACAAAAACTATATTGAAATAAATGTATATCTTTCCATTGCAACTCTACAAAATTGCGTATATAAGTATCTAAATGAGCAGCTGAAGAAACAAAAAAATATAATTAATTATTCGAAAAATGAATACCAAAACATAATTAAATTTAATATTGTAAATGGTTGGTAGGGATTTCATAACTAATTTTAAGTGTTAATAGCTTTGCTTTTAAATTTTTGCCTATTTAACAGAGACTTATTAGTTATAAAATCAAAAATTTGGGATAAAAGAATATTTTCAAAATCAAATCAAATTGGATAGAAATAATGAATTGTTCAGAAAATTGCTTTTTACGCTTAATTTGGACTAACAAAAAGCGCGTACCAAATGTAATTAAACATTTTTTCCCATACAAGCACTTGATTCCGATTGTTCAGTTTGTATGGCAGCTATATGCTATAGTCATCCGGTCTGAATAATTTCTTCGGAGATTACATCGTTGCCTCAAATAATAATCCGTGCCGTAATTTCGTGAAGATACCTCGTCAAATGAAAGAGTTTCCCATACAAACACTTGATTCCGCTTGCAGGCTAGCATAAAAACTGAGGGACTAGTTTGTATATATACAGACAGACGGACAGACAGACAGACGGACATGGCTAAATCAACTCAGCTCATCATGCTGATCATTAATGTATATATTTTATAGGGTCTCCGACGTTTCCTTCTGGGTGTTACAAACTTCGTGGCAAACTTAATATACCCTGTTCAGGGTATAAAAAGTAGCATGGCGAAGTTGTCGTAACCACTAATTCTATAATAAATTATGTACTAAAAATGTGCGAATCCACTCGGCAGTATTCCTTAAAATTAACAACACCCTCACAATAGCTGTAAAGAAAAGCTCCAAATATACTAAAGACAGAACACTACCACACACTAACACAAGGCCACCAGAAAGCGTTGCCCACTGGCTATCTAAGAGCCCATAACTAGCTACGATGTACCTAAATAAGTACGTACATTTATTTTCTCGGAAAGATTAATTAGCAAGATCACATAATATAACTATCCAGAAGTGCCAAAAAATATAATATTCATACTATAAAATCCCTAACAAAGTACTGATCGAGTTGATTCAACAAATATGATATCAAGCCTCCACAGCTGAAAACTTCTTCGCAGGAATACAAAAGATCTCTTTTTTTTTGGTGTCTCAGCAAGTATTTATTAGTTCGTTAACCAAGGGAACCTCTTGAGCGCTTCTTCCGATCAACAGATCTACATAATACAAATGGATCTAGAATTATATCCGACTTTTTATGTTTTTACAACCAAAGAACCTTTTTTTAACACAAGTTGTTTCTTGGCAAATAACCTTTAAGATCTGCCATAAGAAGATGCTAATTGAAAAAAGTGATTAGTTACACCATATACAATAGTTATGTGCATTTTGTAACTCAATATATGTATACTCGTACATATATATTTTTTTAAAAATGCAATTACCACATCAAGGCTTAATTTCAATTAGAATACTGGCAAACTGCAAACGTGTCGGTCCAATGATCAACAACTGATTACAGCATTAACCAATAACAATCAAGCGATTACGGCCAAAAGCGCAGTGCAAAGGAAACAACCGAGACCATCCAAAATAATAGACATCGAATAAGTTTCGCCACCACAACGTCGGCACAAAGACGCTACTGATTACGCTCAAAACCAAACGGTGTCACCTGTCACAGCCGAGGGGGAGAAGCAGTCGCTCTCGGCGGATATCAGATAGTGATTTAACTTGTGGCGTTCGTCGGTGCTAGTTAAGTGCACAGCGGTTGTTAGTAAGTATGTTTGGCCTAAACTATGTAGTCAGACACAAATTGGCGGTCGCTTGCGCGCCTGACTGTGTATTCGCCCGCCCCTGTATCACTTCCAAATGGGTTTGTTAAACGGAATTATACTTTATGCGTCATTTCAAATATTCTTAGGCTGTCTAACGAAGCAAAGAAAAGATGCAATGGCACTTTGTGCGCGAACTGGACTAGAAACAATGAGAGCAATGTAGGTTCGTAGGGGTTTATGCAATCGGTCGGTTTAATGAAACAATTTATTCTTTTGTAACAACTGTAAATTGGTAACAAAATTTAGATCTGAGTAATTCTCTATAAACTCGTAAATGTGGTTCCAACATGAAAATGCAAAAAAATGTTATTACTTTCCGATTTGCATTAAGATAGATAAGAAAAGTTTAAGATAGTTGCTGAAAAATGCTCTGCTGACGAAATATAATCGCTTAAGGCCAGAAACATAACTGGATGCAAAGTAACTAAAAATAAAAATATAACAGTTTAGCAATAGAGCATTGGATCTTCCTGCGAGATTCTGCTCCAGCACACATGACAAAAATCACCAAGCTGTAAAGCAATATTCCTGGTTTCATAGCTGCAGATGTTTGACCATCTGGTAATCCTGATTGTAATGTTTTCTGCCGCTACAACAACTAAATTTACTTCTATAAAAAACGACCATCGTAACTCAGTAACAGATTCTGCAGACAACTTTATTTCCAATTAAAATACACTGTTCTGAAAATTGAGAAATAAATTTATCATATAAATTCTTCTAGAATATGAAATGAAGAGCATAACTACCTATTTACCTAAAATTTAAGATATTTTTATTTTTCTCATGTCAAGTCGAGCACTTTATGGTAGGAGTAATAAAAACCTTTAATAAAGAATCCTTTTAAATTATAATAGCTAAACCACAAATTTCCTATAAATAAAATTAGATAGATTGGAATTAAACATCCAAAAAAAATATGTTCGATATGTATCGAAGCAATGTAATGTAACCAATTTTGGTTTTTTTTTAATAACCTCAAGTGTTGAAGATATATAGGCACAAAATTAGTCGTAAGACCGAAAAGTATCATATTCGGCATATATAAGTTGAAGGAAGGTATGAATCAATTACAGAAATTCTTTCACCAAATCATATTGAGTTAAGAGAAATATTCTCACTACTCTTATTTATATAGCCAATGGAGATTCAAAATGGTATTGCATTGTAAGTAGGCATTATTGTGGAGCGATTTTATTATTTTTCACGCTAAAGAACTTCTTGCATGTCAATTACAAAATAAGGTTAAAATCAGGGAAGTGCTTTGTGAGATTAGAAATTTAGCCTAAAAGTGGGCGGCCCTTATGTAGGTCTGTTAAATCATCCTTACTAAAAAATTTTTCGGGAATTATAACAATAACGGTATCTCTAAGTGCAACGCTGCAAAAGGATATCTATTGCTTGGAATAAGGTCGTGATACGCATAACGAATTGCACCAATAAGTAGATTATCTTTAATTGGTCTACCATTAACAAATGTATAGAACTGAGTTGAATTGCTGCTATTTTCTGCAGAGATGTTTAAACTTTTTTCGCACTTTTAGTTGTTGTAGGGAATATCGTTATATAAGAGGTAGTCGTGGTTAATGGCATATAACATATTCACTTATTGGCAAAAATGGAGATTCAAAATCATCAATTATAATATAATTGTTATTTCATGTCTTCAATTTGGTATAAGTTAATGCATTGCAAAAATATAAAAATATCGATATTATTTAAAAATAACTACATAACTTTCATGACTAGTATTTAATGAATATAATTATGGATATACCTAAATGAAGTGTTTGATGAATTTTTATATAAGCACACCATTCTCCAAATGACTGTTATTCACAACTACATTATAGATATGTACACATAATACACTAAATTATATAGTAAATAAACTTATGAATTAACTGAAATATGTATGTTCAAATACTCACTTGCCGCCTGCATTATTAGAAATCCGATCACAAAGAAGTTCATCTTTCGCCAGCGTTAATACAACAAATGCAATAAAAACCAAATTATCAGTTGCTGTATATATGTATTACTAATTTTAAGTTAAACTATGTCGGTATTTGCCGTTCGAATATTTCAAATTAATTTACACCAATATTTTTTTATTTATTTTTTCACTTATGTAGATATTTTGTTTCGTTTTAGCACACTGTAGACACACGAAAATCTGTAGAAATGCTAATTTTTAACATACCAAACTGAAATCATAAACGATAGCATCAAAAATCACATATCACAGGCACATTTGGAAAACGATATGCATATGCAAACAGTGTTAAGAAATTATGCACAGAAAAAAAAAAACAAAATTCAAAAAAAACAAAGTTTAAAAGTGAAAATACGCGTGGAAAATATAGCTCGAAGGAACTATATGCAGTTAAGTATGTCTATATGTATATTACTTGATATTTTGGGGCATAAAATTGATTTTTTTTTCTCATATTTATTCGAGCAGCGTGAACGCATGCGCACAAACACCAACTTTGGTTTTTTTTTATTTGATTTTTGTTAATTTTTACACCTTATGAGCACGTATTCGGTCGACTGCTGCTATGGGCAGGCAACTTGCATATGTAAGTATAAATTTTTCTTATTAATATTATTTTTTTTTACATGTTTTATCTAATAATTTTAATTTTTAAAATAATTTTTTGTATTTTACAAGTTGTCTATTATATAAACCTTTTAAACCACGCTCGTAAAAAAACGCATAAAATATTTTACATTTTTTAAGTGGCAACACAAAACAAATAGTTTTGTGATCAGTCAACGCGGTTCGTTTTCAACGACAAAAAACAATAACATCTTCTCAATGAACAGGTGTATGTATGTATCTATAAATATTTATCAAGCAGTGTGTAATCAAATGTACCACTAAACGCAAACAACTATAATAAAATGATAAAAAATATAAAAAAATCAAAGTGTATAACAACAAATATCACTCTCTCTTTCCGTATGCAAAGTAAAAGCGGTTTTTCGATATGCAAACAACAACAAAAAACTCGCTCAAGAAACTAAAGTAACAGCAAACAACGGCGAATGACCGAATGATTGCTGGACAACTATCGATCGACGACAACGAATAAACATGAATACGAATAAATTGCATATGCATGAAAAAAGTGAAAATTTTGAGAGGCGTCCACTTGACATGTGTCATCTCTACCAGCATTTCGTCAAAAATACGCCTAATTAGTAACAAAAATTTATAATAAAAACAATTATAATGACAACGAAATACTGCTCCTGTAAATTCGAAACTCTTGAGCACATCAAAATTTATTTTTCTGCGTAAAAAATATCACCAGCACTGCTTTTAACTATAAATACCAGTGCGACTCTGCAGAGTTATAAAGATCGAAAAAGCAAGCAAACTTGACAGTTCATTGCAATAGAGTTACAAGTTTTGTACTGGAGAAATATCAGCTGGCCTCCATAAAAAAAACTTGATTGAAAATTTAAACAACTGCATTAAGTTTTTGGAATCTAAACGAAAATATTTAAACAATCTTAGACGATTTGTCTTCTTTATCCGATAAATACAAATTTTCCTACTCATTTTTGCATTCTAATATTTTGGAGAAAGTGCTCGCATAGGGTTTTAATTCAGATTATAGGCTAGCGATAGCTATTTTTGGTCAATGTACACATCAATTTTTAAAGATTTCGACTAGGTTCCTGTTCAAAGTCGCAACAGTAGAGTTATAGCCGAACATTTCAGCCACACAAAACTGATCAGAAATAGTGGATAGTAATCCAACAATGAAATTGGGTTGACTGAGTCAAGTTTTGAAGTTTTCATATGTTTTATCAATATTCCAAATTGATAAATTGATACAAGATATATACAACACGGATTTCGTAAGTATTCATACCTAATTGTCGAAGCAATATTGTGTTAACTTTATGAATTCTTAATGATCTCGAATATAATAGCAAACTCGCCATCTTGCACTAAAAATACAATGGTTACATTTCAGTAAATAGCAGAAAAAGTAATTGTACTTTCGAGTCCGAACGTCAAATGGGGGTCACTTACGATAACGTCAAGTTAAAACGGTCGTGGTCGGATTGCGGTGAGCCGGCACAAACGGTGACCACATCAGGATTGACTGTCAGAAAGAGTTCGCTGTAAGTTTGGTAAGATTAGCAGGGAATCATCTAAGAGTCTCCTACCCTACGGCCTTCACTTGACCTGTACTGCCTTAGGGACCTGACGTCAAGTAATTAGCACCTGTTCCTGTCTGTGTCGGAATGCTAGTGAAAAACTCATCCCCACACATAACTACATAACAGAATGTTAGATATAGATAGCTTAACGACAACTTACGATAACTTCACACATGACATAAACGGTATAATCGTACATTTGGTTAAAACGCTTCATTCAAAGTCACATATGTGTGTACATAATTTAAGAGTAATAAATGACAGTTAAGCGGCTGCTTCAGTGAGAGCGTAAGCTCTTTAATCAATGATATTGCAGCATCGAAACTTGTTTTTATTTTTATTGCTATCACTGTATATAGGTACTAGCCATGTCATGATACTGTTGACACCACAAGTGTTTCTCTGCTTCAATAAATAGGGAAATAATATTGAGTTTCACAGGGCCTGCTTACTGCGCTTCTGTTTGCCTGCTACAAAGTGTTTGTATATTTATCGTCTTATATGTGTTAATCTATATAATAACATGTTATTAGTGGTATTTTATATTTCTTTTGGTGTTGTTGTGAAGTGATCAACGTAGCTTCTGCTTCTATTTGTGATGCACCTCTTGTAGTTGTCGGACGAATAGAGTTATAAACCGCCACTTAGCGGCTGGATGCTTTCTCTTACTGGGAATTTGCTGGAAAACTTGATTTAATATATACATATGTATATCAAATATTATTACCAAATGAACTAGAAAGTGATTACCTGTTTTTGTTTTAGTTAATGGTTACTTATGGTAGTTGTTGTATAGAACTGACATAGCCTCTTCTTATATATGTATGTGGTTTGCGTTCTGATTTATCCCATTAAATGGAATTTCTCACAATGTCTTTTGATATCCCTGCATTGTTAACGGATTTTATGAGTAGCTTTACTTCTACCGAAATTCACTTGAAAGTTTGGTATTATCGGTTAAGAGCCAGCCAGGGTTTCGATCATCGGTTAGTTCAACTAACAGTATGAAGCAAATTCTAACGAAACTCTTAATCTAAACAAAATTCGGTTTAGAAAAGTCTTTCTAAAACCCTTTGGGAATCCTAAGTCATTGTAAACTTTCTTAATGCAATTCATGCATCCAAATTGTTTCGAATATCGACGTGCAATTCCGTCTAAAGATAGCAGAGGCTATCAAAATTCCTTATTCATAGCATACAGCTTAGATATGCATTGCTTCTCTTCGAAACTTATAACAAAGTAATGCATTTATTTTGGTAAAAAAGTGGAATACAGGGTTCAAAAGAGATACTTTCTTATAAACTATAAACTCAACCAAATAGAAAATTACGAAATGAATATGAAATGGGTGAAAAGAACCCAATATCAAAATATACGTTCTTGTGGTTATCACCTTTTTTTGAAGATGATAATTGGATATAGTATTAGGAAATGTGTATTACTTTAACATTTATGTATAAATTTACCGAAGTGATAAATTTAAAATGTTCGAAAGCGTTGCCACCCTTATTAAAAAACTTAACTAAAAGGCACTGAAAACGTATGAAAATAATACAAAATTTGGTATATAAAAATTATTAACAAAATATTTTTTGAGGTTGCCACCTGATTTGAAAAGAAAATAAAAAATTGAATTTGATAATACTTTTTGTTTAATTTCGCGAGAGCACAAGGTGATCTCTTTTATAAAAAACAATATATTTTATTTTGTTATAATATAAAATGTACATGCGCGTCCGACTGTGTATTGCAATAAATTTTAACCGGATATTAATCTATCAACACAGCAGCACTTACTCATACAGGCAAATGCCTCACACGTTGCGCACACAAACACGCAAATAATGGTAAAAAAGTTAGTTGGCCATTATATTAAATCAACGTCATTAAGTCAGGCTTTTGCAGTCATACATTTCAAGCGGCCGCTAAAGCGTCAGACATGTGCCATGTGCCACCATTCGTGTGCACATTAATATTAGGTACGAAGATAAATAAATATGTGTACTATTATTTACTGCAGACGTTCCATTTCGTTCCGGGTGTGAACATATAATTCGCCTATAAAAGCATTAAGCCAGCAACTAACCTCAAAAAAGTGCCAAAAAAATTATTACAAATGTGAAAGAGTTGAAGAGCGTGTGGCAATGTAAAAAGACGTGTAAAAAAATGAAATAATGATAACTAAATAGTTTATAAACAATTTCAATCCGGAAGTACCACGTTTGTTGTTGAATTCAGATTAAATTTAATAATTGGCAGAATTATTACATTTGATATTAAAATGATATAAATTAGAGTTCATTTCATTTCTAATTAAATATTTTTTAACTTTTGAGTCATAATGTTTTTGCCACTGCAAAAGGGGCATAGTTTGGATTAGTAAAAAATATTTGAAAATATTTAAATATAGATACAGGTTGGTTGAAAAGTCTCTTCACTCGAAATGAAAAAATACTGTTTTTGGTACGAAATATATTTTTTTATTCAATATAATCTTGTTTTACCTTTCTGCAGATAATCAATCAACAAAACTCCTTTTGTATCCCAAAAAACTGATGCCATAACCTTCTTTGCATATCGTTGTGACTTCAGCTGCTTTGGAGCTGAACAACCAGCTTCAGTCCACTGTTAACGTTCTTGTTTTAATTTAGGTTCGTGGTGGTAGATCCAAGTCTCATCCATAGTTATAAAACGGAGCAAGAAATCGGTTTTATTTTGCTTGAAACGCACCAAATTATGCTGACAAATTTGTTTTCGATCCTGTTTTTGTTGGATTGTTAATGTGTTTGGCACTAACTTTTCAAACATCTTTTTCATCCATGTAAAATATGAAGTACTCGTTCGTCTGAGATGCCTATGGAATTAGCAACTTCACGCTTAGTCAAACTTGGATCTTCACTAACAATATTATGAACTTGCTCAATTATTTCTGGTGTGATTGCGGTTTTTGCGTCCTGCGCGTGAATCGTCTTCAAGCCTAGTATGACCACGTTTAAATTCACCAGCCCAAAATTTAACTTTGTGTTTTGAAGGTGAGCACTCCTTATACACCTCTAACACAAGTGTTCAAAAATTTCCTTTGCCTTTAAACCTTTCAAAACAAAGAATTTATTCATTGCGCGATATTTCATTTTTACCATATTAAAAAAATACTCTGACACGACAACTTCAAATGGCTTGTAAACAAAGAATTAACTGTCAGAATGACTTGTAATTTTTGTAATTTTGCATGTGTTCTCACGACAGATGTACCAACTTGAGAAAAAAAGTAGTGCTATTTCGTGGTGAGAGCAGACACTTCACAACCAACCTGATATGTTATGTATATACGATCGTATCTAGGTAACGATTAATAGTTCCATATACAAATATATGTATGAAATATTTTTTATAAAATCTTTGATAAAAATAAGTTTAATGTTCTTGGAGAATTTTTACTGAATGCCTAAAACTGACTTGTAAGCGAATTATTAATTAATTAAAAGCATAAACGTAGTACTATTAAAAAGCAGCTGAGCACCTCAATGGGTCCGAAACCTTGTTTTGGAGTGGGAATTTATGTTTTTGTCATTCCTACTAAGATGTAAAAGATTTATTAGTCGTTTCAAAGAGCCCTTAATTAAGTCAATTAGCAGATTTACTACATTAATGCCTATGTATAAAAACGAGATATTTTGATTGAGATTGAAAGAAATTTTATACACCATGTGCTCCATTATATTGAGAGTTAAGCGAATGCAGTGAGAGCGATAAAGAGCGTATAAAAGTGCTTAGAAACCAGACAGATTCTTTCAGTCACACATATATAAATATAACACCAATTTTAGGTTAGTGAGCGACCTATATTTTACAAATGGTTTGCAGCATGCGTGTAGAGCCAAAGAAATGAAGTTTGGTACAAAATTTCAAAGCTATTGTTTCTTTATAAAAACATTTGTTTGAAACGATTTTTATTGGATTTCTGTATACACAACCAGGCCACAAAGTCTTTGTCCTAGTAATGAAAGAAAGAAAGTTTCATTGAATGAGAATATGGATTTATGCTTCCATCATACATGTTAATGTACTTTTACCGTTCCACCACCACAATTTTTGATTCCGGTTTCTAGAACAGGTATTTCTTTACATCTTGACCTCGTCATTTAAGTGAAAACTTTTTCCACTAAGCTACTTTTTGAGCCTGAGAACAAAGATATAGACGCTGTGAGCCTAATTTAGCGAATATGGAGGACTAGTTCATATCGGAACTTCGTAAAATTATCGCTGCGGAATGAGAAAAAATCCTGAACAGGGCACATCATGTATGGAAACCAGTTTCTGAACTTTGACTGTGTTGGGAGGGGGCGTGATTTACGTGACGCTCGGAAAACAATGTTTTATCAAAAAAGATAGCGTTGCTTTGGTAGTAATAACTTGAGAACCACTAAATGAAATGTTATGAAGCTTTAGACTAGAATACTGTCTAGTTTACTCTATTAGTCTATGAGAAAAATATAAATAAAGATGATAAAAATCATGACAAAGACTTTATAGGCAATGAAGTATATATGCAAAAATAAATACTTTTAATCCCACTGACATTAAATATTTTATAATTTTTATAATATTAATGAAAATAAAAATCTCATAATTTAGTCTATGAAATTTTGAATTACGCGATTAAAAAAAATATTGTATTATCTCTTGCAATTTAAATCCATTTCTGAAACGCCTCATCAAATCATCAAATCAATGTATTGAAATTTCTCTGAGAGGAAGAAGTAAGCCAGCAGCATTTGCAATGCACAAATATTTGATTAACCTTTAATAACAAAGTTTTTTGTATTTAATTAGTATGACTTCTTTAAATATGTATCTATATATTTTTTTTTCAAAATATTTAGTTTAGTTTCAAAAAAATTTCACTACGCTCTTTATGTACTATGTAACGGTTCAACTTTTTTAAATGGCTCAGCACTTAATTTAAATCATATTACTTTTTATTTTTCATTTTCCATAATTAAAACTGCATTCATTCGTCACAAAATTTAATTTACACGCTTATCACTCAAACGCATGCCTGCTACAACAACATTGTCAATCACTTAAAAATTTCATTATCTTTCTCTCCAGCACTTTCCAGCGCCAGCGCTTGTTACCAAATACAGTTATTTAGGTCACACAGGTTTTTTCTCGCATTTTATGCTTTTATTTTTTATAAATACATTTTTTTAATTTCATTTTATGACATGTGCGCATGTGTGTAGCAGAAATTTTAAAATTTTACTTTTCAGACGTTTCACTTTCGAGTGATTTTTTTTTTTTGTAAAAACCTTTGGAGGACCAAAAACACTCCTCTTATTTATTTATTTATTTACTTTTTTTAATTTCTGCAAATTTTTTATGCTTCTAATAAATTGCACAAGGTTATATGTTTCTTCATTGATTGTTTTTACTTACACACACTTATCGCTTACTAGCACGTTGCAAAACGCCGCAATTTCAAATTGTGGTCGAAAGAAAATTAACTAAAATAAACAATAAGGATATATTGAGCCGCAAAAACGTGTTAACTGTTGTTCAATAGCTTGGAGTTTTTTTTTTAATTTTTTTAGCTTTTTTACACGTTTCTCTTTATTCTAAGTCGTCGTCGTTACACGCTCGTTGGACTGCGCCCAACTGAAAGCTATATGCTGCTCAAACACTTTGAAGAAATACTTGTGCTACGAACTTTATTTGAAAAACAACTCGTGAAATCGCAGCAAGCGTTGGCCACTTGCACATCGGTGCGCTGTAAACGAAAGACTAAAGACACAAACTCCACACTCAGCACAAGTGAGCTGCACTGTCTGCAAGATAAAACTCACCACCGCAACAATAACAAACGGTATAAATTGTACACAAGAAAAAACAAAACCAATTTATAATGGTATGCACATGCTCTAATAAAAATGAACAGCTCGAGTAGTTAACAGTGCCGCTAACAGACCACTGTTAAGATCTTTCATTAACATTCTCAACTGCTCTTATGCGCATACTGAGAGTTAATAGTGTTCGCTCAAGTGACTAGCGACTATTTGGTAAATTGGAAAGGTGCTTTGGCGCTTATAATTGAATAATATAAGCGAAATACCCATGAGTACACACACTCGCACACATACTTTATTATTGTTTTCAAGGCAGCAACTCTCTGCTCGCCAGTGTAGCGTTTTGTCTTTTGAATTTGGACTTTTTTTTGGTTATGGTGGCGAATTGTATTTACCGTACAACAACAAAGCTTCATTTCTAATTGTTCTGCAACAATCGTTCACCAGTTGAGCATGCTCCACGTTTATTATTTATTTATTTTGTATGTGTTGTTTTTGTTAGCTTCTGTCACTAGGCATATTTGAGACACTCTAAGTGGGCTTCAGTGGGCTTGCATGTCTTACAATAACAACTATACAATAACATTAAAAGCCACGTGTATATTTGCCTCTATGCTTATGTTGTCGTTGTGGTTGGTTTTTTATTTTTTTAATTAAAAAATTTCGTTAATGAATTTGTATATCGTGACGCCTCTTCTACTTCTTCCGCTTACGATCGTTTAGATAACCGCAAATTAAGCCCAATTAACACTAGGTTTTTTTGAAAGATTGATTTGCCTTTGCTTCAATTTTACTTTTGTGCCGCTGAATTTGTTGTCATTGTTTGTTGCCATTGTTATGTTAAATTATTATTTCTATTGTATTCTGATTTAATATTTAATTAATTCTGATAATTTATTCTGATTTAAGTACTTTTGTTACATATTGAAAAAAAAGGCTTAAAAAAATTAATCATTTACAAACTATAAATTATGCAAAGGTCAGTAAAAAAAGTTTAAGTTTTTAAAGAGGTCCAGTTAAAATATTCAGATAGTTGCACCTGACTTGAGCATATTAATGAACTTACAAATACTTTATAGCCAAAATCACAATCCATCGAACCCAGCTGAGCCATCTTCATCGGCTAGTTACGTTTTTTCGACATATAGTCAAAACAAAAAAAAAAAAAACAGATAACACAATTGCCCGTCTCGGCATTTTTTAAATATAGTACGGAAAAACAGCTTTAGCTAAAAGCTGAGCTTTATGTCCAGTAATATTATTAACCTGTGTCCCAATGTAAAGAGCTTGACGATGAACCGATTGGGTTAATTTATTTTTCCGACGCTTCTTTATTGAGTTGAAGCAAGACCAAAATCGTAAATAAAATGGAATATATGGACCCATAGGTGTAAATAGACTCACGCTTGGCTTTTCCGAAAATAACTTTTGAATAATCGAGGCTTTACGCAAGTGTCTAAGGCAATGTATTAACTCCCCCTAACTTTTCAATATCTTAACCTTTTTATGCTCTTGCAACATGTTGCTACAGAGTATAATAGGTTTTTTCACCTAACGGTTGTTTGTATCACAAATCGAGATAGATATAGGCTTATGTGTATATAAATGATAAGGATGACGAGATGAGTTAAAATCCGGATGTCTGTCTATCGTCCGCCCGTCCATCTGTCTGTGCAAGCTGTAAGTTAGGTAAAAATTAGTACATCGTAATGAAACGTGGTACACATATTTCTTAAGTAAGAACGAGTTCGTAGATGGGCGTAATCGGACCACTGCCACGCCTACAAAGCACCATTACCCGAAAACGTATAAAGTGCTATAACTAAACCGTAAATTACGGTACAGAACTCAAATTTGGCACAACGAATCTATTTAAGGAGGGTCACCTGTGGTTTAAAAACCTTGAAAGAAGTGGACGTGGCCCCGCCCCCTAATAAGTTTAATGTATATATCCCCCAAATCAATAAAGTTACATATATCACCCAAATTTGCATACAACAAATATATTCAACACGTCTCATGATAGTGTGAAAATAGGTGAAATCGGGCGATTTCCATATACCGGTTTGGTTTAAAACTACTAAAAGTGTGATAAATCAATAACTAAATGCGTCAGAGATATTAAATTTTAGACCTAGTACGGCACAAGAGGGCTTTATAGGAGCCGATATCAAAATTGGACGGTAGGCGTGGCACTCCCACTTTCAGATGAAATCACGATTTTAACCAAATTCATTACATAACATTCTTACAATATTCTCATGTTACAGTGCGAAAATGGAGTAAATCGGATTACAACCACTCCTACATCCCATATAACACAATTTTAAATTCCATCTGATTCTATCACATTCCAGTTGACAAATAAAGCACCAATTAATATATCGAGATAAAACTTTGCACGAATATCCCCTCTAAAGTGTGAAATCTTATAAGCAAAAATTGTCGTAATCGAACCAAAACTGTTCAAGTCCCTAGGTACCCAGTGCATATAATTGACTTTTTACCGACAATATCGGTCAATGTGTGAGATATATAATTAAAATTCGGAGATAATAATTTCCTGTTGATAGTATGTCTGAATATTAAAAATGGGTTGAATCGGGTCAATATTTCCTTTAGCCCCCATATAACTAATATAAAGATTTTGGAACTTACGGATATATCGGTCAATATGTGAGTTATCTCAATAAAAAAGCATATTTTCCTAATAACAGTGTATCTTTGTGTCAAAATAAGTAAAATCGGGCGAAAACTTGACCTAGCCCCCATATAACTAATCACAGAATTTTCAAACATCCGGTTGATTTTACTCCATATATGTTGGTAACAGTGTGTGAGGTACTTTAATGAAACTCAGGGAGTATTTTGTTCTAGTAGTAATACGTTGTATTGCCAAAAATAGATAAAATCGGGTCAATATAACCCCTATCTCTCATATACCTAACATAAGATTATCAAACTTACGGTTGGCCTTATGCCATATATATCAGTCAATTAGTAAGATATCTTAGCAAAATTAACTGATTAATATTGGATATACTATAGTTTAATGCCGATAATATTGATTTTCGTTATTTTATCAAATCTTATGCCGAACATGTCGTTCAATGTGTGAGTTATATATGGTATTTATAAAATTGCTTGAAAATATGATCTCAAGTATATCTCAGCAATGTCAAAATTAACTCAATTAGCCCATCACTTTCTCTATCTCCAATATAGCCTGTATAATTTCCGACTTTCCACCTGACAAAATGTGTGATACATTAATATATATTATTAAATGAACAAGTTTTCTTAAAAATTGTTTGAAATATGATTGAAATTGGTCTAGACATTGGTCCAAACCTTATATCTCTAAAATAAATAATTGCGATCCTCTCTCAGTTGAATTTATATTCAATATATAATATCTCATTTGAAGATGATTTTAATACAATTTTAGCTATCGGGAAGTAAAATATAGTAATAAAAATAATAAGTGCGTCTATGATCTATAATATAACTTAATAAAATACCAAATTTGATTGTAATCCATCTACAGTTTCAACATTTTTTAATAAAAAGTGTTCCTAACACCTAAAGGTATTTTATCTAAACGTTAAGTTCGGTTGCACCGAAGCTATAATATCCCTTATAAATAAATAAGTTTACATATAAAAACTTAATTTGGCCAGGTCATTTTGTGTGGCAGCTATATGCTATAGTGATCGGTTCTGAACAAATTTTTCGGTGATTGTACCGTTGCCTTGAAAAATAATCTATTTCAAGTTTCGTGAAGGTACCTTGTCAAATAAAATTTTTTTATTCAAGGTCTGTACAGATCGATATTCAAAAATTGAAGGACTAGTTAGCGTATATATAGTCAGACATGGCTAAATCGGCTTACCTCATCACGCTGATCATTTATGTACACACCTCGTAGGGTCTTCAACGTTTCCTTCTGGATGTTACAATCTTTTAAAATTGAGGGGAATTATGGTTCTGTGATAAAAGGAAGATTAGTATTCATGGTATTTGCTTTCTCTAACTCTCCACAGAGTGAATGAAAAATATTATTCGGAGAAAACACGAATTTCTCTCTTTAAGACACAACCTTCACAGGAAATTTTTAAATGTAATCCATTTTGTAAATAATTTACTATTGAAAACTGGACTTCTTTTTTTATAAGATTTTACGATAACACTCACAGCCTAAAGCACACCTTGAAAAATGTTATATTAAGTCCGTCAAACTGAACTTTTAACAAACAATATATTTTCTACGTATAAACAAATATTTTTAAATTATTTTGTACCGATTACTTTTAAAACGGGTACTGAATGAATTATAACATCTACTCAACTCACTTGGTTGTTGGCCTTTAGCGATGCGGCACGATCAACGCTGGCTGTCTATATAGAACAGCTGTTGCCTTTGTCAAAGTGTGATAAGAATTCTTTCGCGTCGGTAATAAACGCAAAGAATAACAAATTCAATTTTAGTTTTTCTTTTAATTCATTTACCGAATCATACAAATTTTATTATTCTTTGAAATTTAGTAGATAAGCTAAGATGTATACACGATTACTGAAACAAATTCTTACATTAAGGTATATAAGTTTTTACGACGAAATATAAGCATATACAAATTTCAATTACACACCATGATTACATAAACATGTGCTCCATGAAATAGTAAACACTATACACTAAAAATCCAAGTTGTTATTTTTCAGAACTTACAGCACGAAAGCAGATACGAAGGTGCAAGTGCGACCGATCAACAAAATTCTGATAGCCAATCGTGGTGAGATCGCATGTCGTGTAATACGTACTGCACGTCGTCTTGGTGTACGCACCGTTGCCGTTTACTCTGATCCTGATGAGCATTCATTGCATGCATCGCTCGCAGATGAGGCGTATCGTGTTGGAGAGGCCGCATCGGCTTCCTCATATTTACGCGGTCAGCATATAATTGATATTGCCAAAAAAGCTTCTTGCCAAGCAATACATCCAGGCTATGGCTTTCTTTCCGAGTCTGTAGAATTCGCCAAATTGTGTCAGCGTGAAAATATTGTATTTATGGGACCACCAAGTACGGCTATACGTGATATGGGCATCAAAAGCACTAGCAAAGCCATTATGGATGCTGCCGGTGTGCCCATCATCAATGGTTACCATGGCGACGATCAAAGTGATGAGCGTTTACAAGCAGAGGCAGAAAAAATCGGTTTTCCTCTCATGATTAAGGCAGTGCGTGGTGGTGGTGGCAAAGGCATGCGCATAGCAAATAAAAGTGAAGAATTCCTAACAGCACTCAATTCGGCGCGCAATGAATCGCAGAAATCATTCGGCGACAGTTCAGTACTGTTGGAACGTTATGTACGTTCGCCGCGACATGTCGAAGTGCAAGTGTTCGCCGATCAATATGGGGAAGCGGTATATTTGTGGGAACGTGACTGTTCAGTGCAGCGGCGACATCAAAAGATTATCGAAGAAGCGCCAGCTGTGAGTATATTGCATGCACATATTCATAAGTGTTAATTAAATATTTTTTCTAATAGCCTGGTTTATCTGAGCAACTACGTCGCGAATTGGGTGAAGCTGCAGTGCGTGCCGCCAAAGCTGTGGGTTATGTTGGGGCTGGCACCGTAGAGTTTATCATGGACAAAGAAGATCTTTCATTTCACTTTATGGAAATGAATACTCGTCTGCAAGTGGAACATCCAATATCGGAAATGATCACTGGCACAGATTTGGTTGAATGGCAAATACGTATTGCAGCCGGTGAACGCTTGCCACTGACGCAAGAGCAAATCGGACGTAAAGGACATGCATTTGAAGCCCGTATTTATGCTGAGGATCCACGGTGGGTCCCAATATAGTTTTTACATATTTTAAAATGTATTTTTAATCTACTTTTTATCTTGAATACAGTGGTGGATTTCTACCAGGTGCTGGTCCCTTACGTTATCTTGCCACTCCGCAACCAAACGAGTTTGTACGCGTTGAAACTGGCGTACGCGAAGGTGACGAAGTATCCGTGCATTACGATCCAATGATTGCCAAGTTAGTTGTTTGGGGCGAAAATCGCACGCAAGCTTTGAATAGCTTCATTGCACGACTGCGCGAATATCATGTATGTAGAGACTACTCAACATTAAATTTATGTTAACCACAATAATTTAACATTTTACTTGCAGATCACCGGTCTTCAAACAAATATCAATTTTCTCATAGATTTGGCTGCTCATCCGGAATTCCAGCAGGGCAATGTTCATACCGGTTTTATAGATCAGCATTTTGATACACTCTTTCCACCCATCGAAATCAAAGATGAGCAACTTTGTAAGGCAGCTACCGCCTTGGTACTCAATGAGATGCAAGTCTTCGGCAGCAACGCCAGCATAAACGATCCATTCAATGCAACACAAAATGGACGCATAAACTATTCGCTGATTAAAAGCTACCAGTTGAAAGCAAATAATAAAGGTGTGAAAGCAAAATTTTTAAATTTAAAGTTTTTAGTTATTTAATGATTATTAAATTGTACGTATTTCGAAAAAATAGTCTACAACGTGAAAGTGCGCTATGACAAATCCTCTTTCCAAGTGCAAGTCGATAATGGTGCGTGGAATAATATAAAATCCGAACGCATTGCCGATGGCGACCGACTGAAAATCAGAGCAAATATTAATGACAGCATTTCAACATTTAATGCCAATATTGATGGTACAGAAGTGACACTATTTTTAGATGTAAGTAATAAAATTCCAAAACTAAGAATACTACTCCTTACGAGACGTTCTGACCTTTTAGCTGAATAGCCATTATCTTAAGCTGAATGTAAACAATTTTAAGCGATTGGTGTTTCTGGCTAGATTATTTCTAATAATATTTTTAAAGTATTGTTACTAAAACTCTTCTCTATTGTAGAATGGGAAACTGAGTTTTGAGCTCGTACAGCCGAAATTTTTAAGTGCACTCTCTGATCAACACAGTGGCGTCGGTGGCAACAAAATAGTCTCACCAATGCCAGGTGTTTTGGAGAAGGTATTAGTTAAGCCTGGTGATACGGTGAAAAAGGGCGACAGTCTAGCAGTGCTGATAGGTAGAGTATAAATAAGAATAAGTTAAAATAATATTTTTGCAACCAAATTTGTTTAAATACACATGTTTATTTAAAACTTTTTCTTTAACACTAAGATTATCAATTTATGTAAACTCTAGATTCTTCTATATTGTTCTAATAAAAGCTTTCCATATTTTAGCAATGAAAATGGAACACATCCTCAAAGCTCCACAGGATGCGAAAATTAAGTCAATTGGCGGTGCTGAAGGCGATAATATTGCCAAAGGAGCGGCAGTTGTCATCTTTGAAGATGAGAAAACTGAATAAATTTCGAAGTGCTGAATTGTTCAACAAGCGTACCAGAGGAAATTGCATTTACACAACTATACAGTGAATAATTATATTTTTTTTATTGTGGTGACTACAAATTATTATAAATAATGCATTTATTAGTTGTTAAATAGGGTTTTGTTATTTGTTAACATTTGTTTATAGACAATAAAAAATAGTCGTAATTGTCGAGTTTTGAAGCAATTGTGTTTTGGTTTTAATGACATAAGCAAGCAGTTTTCAAACAAGTCTTCAAAAAAGCTAAGTCTGGGCGAATATTTTAGAGTTAAGCGAAGATGAACAAAGAACCGTAAGGTATATTTTGATTCTAGAAATCCGGGTCCGCTCCGAATAAAAGACTCAATTGTCGTTGAAAAATTATTAAATAATTGTCGTGTCAATTATTTAATATTAAGTATTGTGTATCATTCATTTCGAGTTTACGATCGCAAATAGAAAAGCATCCACGTTCCAATACCTTCGAATATGAGCACATATGTATATTGTTAATTACTTATATCAAATTAAAGTACAATTTTAATTTTACAACCAGCTAATTTATCCCCTTAGAAAAAATAATTGCAAAGAGAATTTTGAAATGTTAAGATTCATTCATTTTTCATATTTTATTATTACTTCTCTTTTATAATTATAATTAATAATAATAATAGTAATATTATAAAGCCTTTTTGATTTGATGTATATTTCACTTTTTTATTTATTTCACTTAAATTGTTAATTTTTTAATATGGATAATTTTTTTTTTAATTTTATCATCATTAAATTAAAAAAAATTTATTTTCTGTCATTCTTTACACAGCGTACGCGTCTCGATTTCTTTTCTGTTTTTTTTTTTTAAATAGTTTAAGTGAGTTCTTTATTTTGCCTATCCACATATGCAAAAGTAAAATTGAAAAATAAATGTTATTAAGAAAAAATATAATAAAAAAAACTAAATTAAAACCAATAGTTTAGCATAAAAACCTTTTATGTTACGTTTATCATAGAGTATTTTTTTCGTTAATTCATTACGAAACATATATTTTCAAATATAAATATGCTTTCATAATAATTGAATTGAATATATAAATACAATTCACTTTGTCTAATTTATTATTTTTCTATTATTTAAATTCGAACTTTTTTTTCAATTTTCATAGACATTTTATTATTCTGAAAACTGCCCAAATGGTACTTTTTTTTGCTTTAGGTATAATAATTAAAAAAGTACATTCAAAAGAAAAGTTCAAGAAATAACAAATAAAAAGATAGATAATTAAATCAAAAATATACAAAAAAAAAAAAAAACAAATAAAACATAAATAAATAAAAAAAGTAAAAATAAAAGATAAAAAAATATTTTAAAAATAGAAACAAAAAATTATTTTAAAAAAAATTATTATATATTAATACAAATTTAATTAAAAGAATAAAAATAAATCAAGTAGATTAAACGAAAAAATTAAACCTTTTCGTGTTAAATGTTAATAATATGCGTAATAAAACCTCTATTTATAAAATAATTTTTTCACTGCCATAAATCAAAAAAATAAATTAGCTTTTGCTTAAAAATAAATAATTATTAAATAAAAAATAAGAGCTGAAAAAAATTTAAAAAAAAATAAAAAATTACAAAAAAATATAACTAAATTAAGCAACAAGTCAATTAGATTAAACGAAAAATGTAAAGCTTTTCGTGATAAGTGTTAATAATATGCATAATAAAACCTCTATTTAAAAAATTATTTTTTCACTGCCATAAATCTTGAAAATATATCAGCTTTTATTTAAAAATAATCAAATATTTGTTTGTATTTTTTTAAAAAGTTTAATTTATTTTTGTCAATTCTTTGCTTCTTTATATAAATAAAATATTTCTAATTTTTCATTTTTGCCATTCATAATGCTCGTAATCTTTATTTTATTTTATTTTTTTTTTTTTGGTTTAACTAAACTAAATATAATTTATAATGGAATTAATCATATGCATAGAATTCGTAATAATTCCTTCCGTTATTATATTTAATATTATTTTTAAATATTCGTAGTAGTAAAGTGGTAGCATGTTGTATTTATGTCGAATTCAGTTAACTTAAAATTATTTATACACATTTTGGATTACGGTTACGATGCCAACTATTTTCGAATTTTTATTTCGTATATTGTTAGTCACAGTTTTTGGAAACTATTTATATATTAGTTTAGATTTTTTGCAACAGATTGGTTATTTAGGAAGGTATGAGAATATTTTGGCGCAATAACGTAGGCACATGAAACGGAAGAAACGGTTTTGGAAAAACTTTTTTAAAATAACAAAATAGTATTTTGTTGAAAACTAATGTGTAACAGTAGATTACGCGGTAATGACGGACTTTGAATATGTTTTTTAAAATTTAAAAAAAAAAAAGTTTTCCACAAAAGCAAATGCAAACCTTTTCTGACAAACGCATAACTACAAAAACGATGTTTTAGAAAATGAAGCAAAAGAAACACAATTAAAAAATATATATATGCATATATGTATGTATATATTAACAAATTTTACAATCCAACGCTTCGCTGCATAATCAAATCTAATTTTTTTTCACTCACTAACACACATACTTGGTATTTATTTACTGTTTAGTTTTCAATTGATTTCTTTTTTATTTTATTTTGTATAATTAAAAAATCTAATATGTTAATAAAACTTAAAAAAATTATATTGAAAATGTGTGTGCAACGTTGTACGTGCACTTCTACACGCATTTACAATCATTTATAAAACTATATTTTAATGTTTTTTATATATCATTATGCCATATTCTTTCACAACTAGCAGTTTGCTGTTTCGATTATTCAGTTTTGCACATTTCATTACAATTGTTAGACCAAGTGTGCGGCCTTTTCAAGGTTCTGCATTACTTAGTACATTTGGGACGAACTCATACAATGCAAATTTGGCTTCATTTTATGTTTTTTTATTTTTTATTTTTTTTTTTTTTGCTTCGTTTTGGTTATTTAACTACTTTGTTATTGTTATTATTATGTATTGTTGATAAAGTTTATTTTATATTTATTTTACATAATTAAATTAAATGAAAAACGTCGTTAAGCATTTTCGTATCTAAAACTGTGTAGCTATACGCGCATACATATGTACATACAAACATATGTATATATGTATACACGTTCATGTTATATTTGAAAATAAATTTCTAAATATTTTTTCATGTATAACGGTAGTTGTGAGTACGCGTTAAGTTCTAATTCAACTTTGATTTAATTACTCCTCATTTATTTAGTTTTTAAGTTAATTATATATATGTATGTATTTATTACTGTTTATTAAACATTTTGTGTTTTAATTTCTTTACTTCTATTTCGCAAGCGTAATAAATGTTTAGTTTATTTAATGTTATCAGCATGTTTTGCTTTAATTTAAGTTATTTTTTTACTTATAATGTCAGGCGTTTAAAAAATTAGTTGTGAAAAGTAAAAAAAAAATTTTGTTTAAATTAAAAAAAAAAAAATAAGAATAATAATAACAAAAACGTAGTTGTAACTTTCATATTTAAATATTTAGGTATGTAGTTCAATAAAAAGCATAAACGTGTTTAGCTTTCATACACATTGTGAAAATTAAATTCAAATTCAATGTATTCACAACAAATCCAACAAAGTTAGTTGCGCTCAATACAGTCATGGCAGCGCAATGCAAATCAGCTTCTTCACACCTTTTGCTAACGTTCTAATTATTTCGTTACTATGTATTTATATATTTGTAAGACTTGCAACTATCACTGCTGCAATGTCTGCTGTACGGCATATACACATCATGCTTATACATACCTACATATACATATATTTAGTTTCAATATTATTTAAAAATTTTATTTTAATTCTTTTTTCAACTTTATTTATAAAATATTTCATTATTCCGAGTTAGTTAGCGTTTTTCTTGCGGAGCAAAAAATTAAAAAAGTTGTATGTTTAGTGTCTTGCAATGAAATTAAAGTGATTTATGCGCTCTCCACGATTTACAGTGACTGCCTTACTTTAATTTCGGTTGTCCGTGTTGCCTGCATATAAATACGCGTATGAGTGAGTGTGTGAATACGCTGCAGCAACCGTCTCTACCTGCACTTTTCCTTTTTCTCTCTCTTTTCATTTCAATTGTAGTTTTGCTGCAATGAATCACATGCTTCCAGCAACATTTTTACCAATAAATTAGTTTATATTTATGTGTATTAGGTATGTAGCCTTTGCTTGGTCGCTTCTGCTGACCCTTACTGCACTTTAATTTAATACTATTACATATTCGTTTCGAATTTCACTTCTATCTCATGCAGTTATATGTGTGTTCCGTTAATGTTTGTATGCATCTTTAGGTTATATAATTGTAATTGTGTATGCGTATTGTATTACTAATTATTTCATATGAATACCTTAATTATTTAGTTTATAACTAGTGTGTGTTGCATACGTTTTAAAAAGCCTGGCTGTGGCTGCTCTCGGGAGTAACTTACACCGACTTTAAACGACTCCTTCGTGTACTATATGCGTCGCGGTATGCACCTAATGTTTAACTACACTTAGAACACGCCATTAACTAATGTGTTTGTGTAGTAGGAGTAAGCAGTTTGCTAGCCTTGGAATTTAGCAGCCCGCTTTTAGGCGCCATGCCTAGTTTAAGTTGCTCTCCAAGCCACTTGCACGTATTTTCAGCTCTGACACACGCACTTTCGCTCGCTATGCTATAACCCGTTTGCCTTTTTCTTCTACTAACTGTCCCACAATCAGACACTCCCTCACACTCTCTTTCTCCAATATCCTCTCTATCATTTCGATTATCGTTTGTTTTATTATTTGCAATATTTTTTATTTCTTTTATTATCATAATGAATAAATTAAATTAATAATATTTGCATCTTTGTTTTGTTTGTTTGCTTTGCTTCGCTTCGCTTTCATTTCGCCTCCCAATCTACATATATGTATGTGTGTATTGTTTTTTTAAACGTTGGAAAACACACGTTTTACGTATATTCTTCCTTTTATGCTCCTTTCATTTAATAGTATTGTTGTTGTTGCATGTGTAGTTTTGCTTGAGTGTGTGTGTGTGTATGTGCCATTCCCTTTTATGAATTTTAGAACTTCATCTACGTAATTGATTGTTGTTCATTGAGTGTTGTTGTTGTTGTTGTTGCTGCTGTTATATTATCGCCATTCTCCAATTTGGTTGTTGCTTTTGTTGCTGCTACTGCTGTGAGTGTGCTGATTAGTGTGTTTGTGGTTGGTGCAATTGTGGCTGTTGCTGCTGTTGTAGTTGTTGCTGTTGCGATTATTGTATTTACAGGCAAACTGATTGAAATCGTTGTAGTTGTTGTTGTTATTGATGATGTGGCTGCCGTCAGAGCAGCTAATGTAACTACACCCGCTGCTGGTTGTTGATGTTGTTGCTGTTGTTGTAGTTGTATGAATGCAGGCGACATTATTGCCATTGTCTGCTGCTGCTGCTGCGCTGTCAGCTTTGCTTGCTTGGAGTTTTCGATGTCTGGGCCAGTCATCATCGTCGTCACTGTAGTCGTTGTCGTCTCACCAATGCCGCCGCTGGTGGACTGTATTCATATAAAAAGTAGCAAAGCATCAAAAGGGTTGTAGTGGTTGCCACCATACAGCAGACGAACAATCGTATGTGAAATGAGAAGGAGAGAAATTAACAAATAGTTACATAAGAAATTATTTTACAAATTTTGTTATAAAATTTCGTTTAAAATTAAGTTTTTTTTTGGTTATTTTTTGTTTATACAACACAGCCAAATATTTACAAAAAACATTTTGCAACAAAATAGTTAAATCAAAGCAGTTACAATATTATTTCGTATAATTCGTAATCAAGCATCAAACGTTTTTGCAACCTAAGAAATCTAAGCCTCGGCTCAACTTCACAGGAACACAAGGCTAACGGCTAACACAAACAGCTAGTTCCAATAAAAGCTAAAGGGCACGGTGAATTGGAAGCAGTGAAACTGTGGCGTGTATGTGTGCTTGTGTACATAAATACATACATACATTTGTAGTAGTGTTTGCATCAAACATGAGTATGTGTCCAGGTGTCACAGGTGCTATTCAAACTTCTTTGTATGTAAATGTGATTATATATACATACATTTAGCGAATAACCCAGCTTTCTTATAAACTTCGAATGTTCTAATTATAAATTTTATTTCCAATTATATATAATAATGAAACAGATATAATTTTAACAGATATAATTATTCAATCATAATAAAAAATTATCGTATTTGTAAAACAATTCATAAAAAAAACCAAACGGAAGAATTTTAAAAAATGTAATAAAAAAATGCATCTTATATTTTTATCCTGTTACAAATTTTTTGAAAATTTTGCGAATAAATTTTATATTTCAGATTTTAGATTCAAATGTTCAAATTAAATAAAAAAATAATCTTCATAAAACCGATTTTATTAACAAAAAATATCATGGTTAATGTCATCATCATTTAAAAAATAAAAGTATCAGAAAAAAATTAAAAAATAAACTTTTGGTCTAAAAAAATTACGATGAACATAAAATTAAAAAGGACAAAAATCAGTAACAAAAAAATATTTGTAAAAAAAAAATTTAATTAATAACAAATTATAAAAAGACATAATTTAATATTATATATTGCAAATTACTGCGAAAGATTTAAAGTTTCATATTTTAGCGTAGAATTCAGCTTCTCATAAGCTTTAATTAATCAAAAAAAATAAGAATTAATATTTATAAAACATAAAATAATAATGTAATTATAATTACAAAAACTTATTAATATTTGAAAAATTAATAAATTAAGTAAGATAAAATCAGTTAAATCAATCAAATAATTAAATACACAATTCTAATAATAAAATAAGATGCAAATTGATTATATATTATTATTATTATTTGATAATATTTATAATAAATAACTTGCAAAGTGTTAAAAAAATTGTTTTAAATATATTATATTAATTTTTAGATTAAGTTGATTATAAACAAACGCATACAAATGTATTTAAGAATATAAAATTTAAATCTAAATTGAAAAAAATTTAAATAATTAATAACTTTTTCTGAAATAGCAACTAAGTTTAATAATATGATAAATTAATTTATATTAAATTATATTTATCAGATTATTTCTGAAACAAATAAACTAACGATTAACCGATCAAAAACTTTTAACATCAATTAAGACTTAAAATTAAGTGAATAAATTAGAAAAAAAAGAAATCCAGAAAAATGTATAAAATTTATTTCGAGAAAAAATTAATTTATTGTTTATGATGACTTTAAATTGTGAAAACTGTGAATGCAAAAATGTATTTATTTAATATCAAGAATGGATATTAGTAAGATTTTAAATAGATAAAGAAAACACACTGAATTTTCTTAATTAAACAAAATAAAATAAAAAATGCACTAAGATTATTAAAAAAAAAAAGAAAAATATTGATTTAAAAAAGTAAAAATGCTATCAAACAAAATAAAATTAATTAATTAAAATTGATAAAAATATAAAAAATTAATAAAAAAAAAGAATTTTTTTAAATAATAAATAAAATAAAGTAAATTTATAACTAAAATAAAGTAAATTTATAAATAAAAATAAACAAAAAAATTTTAACATATACATACATAAGCATATAAAAAGAGAAATTGAAAAATTGTATATAAAAAATTTAAATTAAAATAAAAAATAAAATTTTAATTAAAATAAAAAATAAAATTATAATGAAAATTACTAATTTTAAAATTTAAAAAATTAAATATTGTAATTAATTTCATAGTCATTTTTTATACTTTTTATATAAAACGAGGAAATAATAAAACCAAAATTTAATAAAATGTGACAAAAAGATATTTATATTCATTAAAAAGTGCTTGATACTGCACATTTCAAACAAAAAACCACCAACTAATCTGACACATTATCAGTTTTGCGAACAACTTTTACACAACACAGAAACAAATTTATAAACAAAGCAAAACAAAACAAAAAAAAAAAAATTGTAAAATAGCAAAAATAATTTTGCAAAAATCTATAAATAAACGCATTTGCGATTAGCTGCAAGTGTGATCAAAAGCAAATGCAGCAATTCAGTGGGTGAATCAAGTAAAAACAATACACAACAATACGCTGCAATATAAATAATGCTGAATAATTTCAAATAACAGCAAATATTAACAACACTGCGTCAATTGCTAGACAAACAAGTGTGTGTGGGTGTTGTGTATGTATTTGTGTGGATGTGTGTAGTGTGAGTGTATGCCGTTGTGATTATTGTTATTTTGTTGTTACTGTTTCTGTTGCACTTGATTTGCATACAAAGCGAAAAAGAGTATTTAAGTTCAACTAACTTTGCGCTAAAGTAAATTAAACTAAACGGCTTGAACTGTTACCGCGTTGCTGTTGTTGTTGTTGTTGTAGCTGTTGCTGATGGTGTTGTTGTTGATGTTGTTGTAGCTGCTGTTGGTGATGTTTACTAATTCCCAAGGTACGCTAATAATGTATATTTATATATATATACATATATATGAAGTATATATAAATAAATAATGTAAACAGTTTTGTGTATATGTATGTATGTATTTGTATGTGTGTGTGTGTGTGTTGATGGTCAAATTTGTGTCATATTGAGCGTAGACGTTGAGATGGAATATAAGAATAGAACAGCCAAAACAATTAAGATCAGATGATTTTGTTCCAAAATGGCAAAATGCATGAATGTAAGGTATACATTTCAAATATTAATTAGATAATGCTGTTAAAAGCTAAATTATTTTGTTTACTTTTTTTGTTTTAACATTTAACACTGAAACTTTGAGTTGGTTAGATAAGAGAATGTAGTTATTAAACGCTGACAGGGATTAGAGGTGTTATGAGAGATTGGTTAACAGCAGAAACATGTCTTATACAACTTATACATAAATATATATGCATATCATATATATATATATATATATATGATATGCTTACATTTGGCGCGTTGTAAGAAAAATATTAAAAAAAAAAATATATATAAAAATATTTAGAAAGAAAATTGTATAGAAAAACACTTTTAAAACGGCGACGTGTGTAGGCGCACACAAATTTTGGGTTTAAACGCAATTTTTTTACATATTGCTCATATATAACTATATATACTATATTAGTTTATTATAAGTAATTTAATTGTTTTTATTTTCATATTCTTTGGCATGAAATTCAAATTACTCAACTAATTTAAACAATGGTTAGCATTCCTTAAAAAAAAAAATATATATATATGTATATATAATATATGTGTGCATATTTAAAGGACCTGCTTACATCGTACACGGCTCAGTAGAAACTACTATGAACATATGTAAGATGAATGAAGAAATATGTCAATTCTAACCTCAAAATACAATAACATTTCCTATACACATCCATACAATTTCAAATTCAATACCGAAAGCATATAAAACAAAAAAATATATTAATTTTAAACTCCAAATGTGTTAACAAAACAATAATAACAATAATAGTAATAATAATAATAATAATAATAATCGTACGTAAAAGACAAACAAAACTAATACGCTAGTAGATATGCTTCAAAATCTCATTTACCCGCTGGTCTGGTATGCTTAGGAGTGTACGAGTACATTAGAAATGCTACTGTCGACTTTTAGGGGGGAATTACCGTTTTAGGGGAGAGCGTCAGCTGTTTCACACTGGACGTCAAACCGTTTATGTTTGCATCTGTGTTAGCTTGCTGTTGTTGTTGTTGCTGTTGTGGTTCCGTGCTATTTACCGCAGTCAAAACACCACCACCACTACTGGTGGTCGAAGTGGTTGTAGTTGTTGTTGTATGACTATCAACCGCAAAGGTATTCGCAGCAGTCCAATAGCCGGTGGTGCTGCTGCTGCTGTTCACCGGTCCCACCATAAACGGTTTGTGTACTGGACTAGCGGGTACTGTATCACTTGTTAACGCATCACCCGCACCGGGTGCCTGCAGCGTCTGTGCAATTTGTTGCTGCTGCTGCTGTTGTTGTTGTTGCTGTCGTTGTGACTCATCAGTCGGCTCAATATCCGACTCATTGGTCTCCTCTTGTTCCTGCACAAACATTGATTAAAATGTATAAATCTGAATTTGTTGTAGTTGTAGTGTTTTCAGCGTACCTCTTCGGGACACAACTCATACGCCATGGTGCACGTATTCTTAGCGGATTGTGAACGTTCCAGCATATAGCCATTTGTGTTATCGTTGCTCTGAGCCGGTGGTGACCACGAATACGAATTGTATTGACAACTGCGTTGCCGATCCAATTCATCTTGCAACCACTCCACTGCCATGGTCCAATGCCGTGCAATACTGGCATTCGAATTAAGCATCTGTAGGGCCACTTGTGATTTGTGGAATAGTTGTGTAAGGCATTTGATTATTTGGTATGCGCGCTTTTGGTAATGCGTCTTTGTGCGCTGTATCGTCTCCAGCAGACCTTCGCGTTCCTCCGCCACACCGTTGAGGGCATTATGTATGCGATGGTGTTGCCACGAATCTTCGATTAGCAATATATGCAACAGCAATTCGGTATGATGGCGCATATCGTGACAGTAGGCGAAACCGCATTGCCACAACAGTTCGGTTAATACAGCACGTGAGAAATGTGGATTCTCCCAGCTGCAATACTGCAACAATTTGATGCCCTCCTCGCCAACAGCTGTATCCTCGATTAGTTTCTTAATATAACTATGAAGGGAAAAATATAAGTATTGATCATTTCAAGTGTTTCACTCTCGCAACGTACCCCGTTCGATTGAAGAGTATGTCAGAACATTCTGGAGATAATGGCACCAATTCTTCACGCCTAATATTTGAATCCTTAAATGGATTCTCAAGTGGTTGTGCATTTTGATTCGAGTTCTGGCATTTGTCAGAAATATCGCTGCAACGTATTAAATGCGAAACCACCTGATGCAGTTTGCTCAGCTCGGGATATTGATACTTTATCGATGGACCGGGACCCTCGTCCAAAGCGACTTGCATGAATATAAACGGCACATTTAACTGTAATTATATTTAAAAAAAAATATTTCATAATATTTTATTTATATTTTTTTTATTTTTAAGTATTAGTTTAACAAAAAATATATATTAGAAAAAATTTAATAGAAATTCATTGCTGAAGATATTCAAAAAAACTGTATATATTTAAAATAGTTTATAAAAATTGTTAATCTTAGAAAAATAATAATTGTTAAAGATAGCAAATAATTTTGAAAACAGTTAATACAAGAATATTAAATAAATAAACTAAAAATTTAATAAAAAAATAAATTTAAAAAGTACTTACCATATACCAAAAAAACAGTTAAAAATCAATTGATTTTTTATATTACACAAAATATCACAAAAATATTATGAAAACTAGTACAAAAAAACGTTTAAACAAAAAATACTAAAAAAATGTGAAAAATACAAAAAAAAATATTTAAAAAAATCAAAAAAAATACTACTAAATAAAATAAGAATTATAAAAAACAAAAATATTAAAAAAATAAAAATAAAAAATATTAAAAAAAAAATATAAAAAATATTAAAAAAAATATATAAAAAATATTAAAAAAATAAAAAATAATAATAATATATAAAAAATTTTAAAAAAATATAAATAAAAAAAAAATATTAAAAAAAAAACTTAAATCAAAAACAAATATTAATAAACAAAAATAGTAAAAAAAAAACTATTAAAATACACAAAAACATAAACTACAAAAAATATCGGAAAATGTAAAATTATGCAAAACTAAAAAACTATATTTAAATATTCATGTTTTTTTGAACAATAGTATTACAATTTTTATCAAAGAAACATTTAATAAAAACTCACAAAAAAGGATTTAAATACCTTCAATAGTTGTTGCTTTTCCGGTGTGCCCAAGCCCACATACATGCTGAATAGACTAAAGTAGTGCGGCAAATGTTTGCCATAATCGACGGCTTCACACTTCAACAAATCCAAAACGCTTATTAAAATCTGCTCACACAAATTGCTGCCTTCGTAGCCAGCCAGCGGCTCGTCGGCTATGGCAAAGTGACAGAAGAAAACCACCAATTTGACAAATACAGTGCGAACTTCCGGCGATGGTGCCATTAGTATATATTCACCCAAACGGGATGATGGATTTAGTAGAGCATTGGCGGCGAACCATTTGCGCACGAGCGAAGAAAAACGAATGTGATGTGATAAAGTATCGTACCTGGAAAGTGTAAGCAAAGCAAACATAAGTATGTAAATGAATTTAAAATACCAGATATACATAAATAAAATAAACGTAAAGGTTATGTCAACAAACTTACCACTCAATAACCGGTCCACGCAACGATTTTTTCGTTCTAAAACCTGTGTGAAATAAGAATTGCGATGCTAGTTGAACGCCTAGCAATGAAAGCTCCTCAGCAGCTGGTGTCTGTGGTAAATAGAGAAAGTAAGTATGCATATTTAAAAACTACATAGCAGTAAATAGGCATACCATTTTGTCCGGACGTGTTGAAGGTATACTACAGCTAACTAATTTTTTAATGAAATTAAAAAATTCCACCGAGAAAATACTCTTCGAGTGTAAAAATCGCACATTTTGATGACTGTAGAAGTAAATTTAAAATTAAAATAAATAAAATGAGTATGAGTTTTGTGTGTTTCGACAGGGTTGCAAATAATGTATTAAAAATATATTGGAATTAACATTTAAATTCAATTTTTTTTTTATCCCGAAAATCTTATTAAAATTTAAAGTTATCCATACAAGTACAAAATGTCGATCGTTCAGGTTGTATGTCAGCTATATGCTATAGTTGTCCAATCTGAACAATTTCTTCGGAGATTGTAGCATTGCAATGGAATACCAAATTTCATGTAGATATCCTGTCATATAAAAAGGTTTGCCATACAAGAATTGGATTTTGATCGATCAATTTGTATGGCAGCTATGTATATGGTGTAGTGATCGGATCTGAACTAATTTTTCAATGCTTGTATCGTTACCTGAAAATAATTCGACAGAAATTTCGTGCAGATATCTCGTCAAGCAAAAAAGTGATTTTGATCGTTCGCGTATATACAGACAGACGGAAAAATATACTCAATTCGTCACGATGATCATTTATATATACATACATTTTATAGGGTCTCCCAACATTTCCTTCTGGGTGTTACAAATTTTCTGGTAAACTTAATATACCCTGTTTAGGGAGAGCAGAATTAAAATTATTTCACGCTTGCATACTACGTGTTCTACCATTTTGAACTTGAAGTTGAAGAGCGAACTAAAGCAGAAACAGGAGTAGGAGCAGCTATAGCAGCTGGCAAATAAGATATAAATGGAATCTGAGCTCTCTTAGTTATAGCGGCTAATAAAATCAACCCCCCAATAATTCCTAACTCTACATGATACTATATAATCTCCAAATAGTAAACATAATTTTAACTACTATAGTTTAACACTCAAGCAATTGCTAACAAAGAGGCCACATCCCCAATTCAATTATCAAACGATTTATATTTTATGCCAGCATTTTGGTATCAAAATTAGATTTTTAAATTTTTAATTCCAATTTTGGGAATTTTTTAATTAAAGAATTCGCAACACTGATCTTCAAATATCATGCACTCACCGCACGCTGCGTTCGATTGGTTTTGGCAGCGGTAAAACAAAATTACGACTTTCGGCCAATGACAATTGCTCCACACACGGTTCGAATTGTATGGGTTTTTGATCGCAACGCGTATAGAAAAGCATATATGCATTCCACCAACGCTTCTGTCGCCGGTATTGCATGCGCTTCAAATTATTATCGTAAATTTCGCCCATGTAATCGCCACCGAAGCATTGTGCTTTCAATTCTTCATCTTCGTGCATTTTACATTCACTCACTTCGCCGTCATCGAATTTATACCATTGTTCATTGCCAGTGGAGGGATTTCTAACGAGATACAATTGTCGTTGTATTGAATGTTACTACACATAAATATTATGAGCATATGTAGTGTAACTTACTTAGAGAGTATATAACTAAAATAATGGCCACCGGAAGCCTGTCCGCTATGTACCACAATGCCACTTAACTCATATTTGGTTGTTACGCCATTCGATTGGCAATTATCACCCACCTCAATGACTTCACCCTCCAATTTGGCTAAGCCAGAAACTGAAAGAAAGAAATATGAATCATTCGTGAGTTAATTGGATTAAGAAAATATGCAGCGGTAGTCAAAAAATGTGCGAGAAATGTCCGTTCGCTTATTCGTGTGTTGTAGGTATTAGTTACTTAGTTACTTAGTTACTTACCTGTATACGGTTCCATGTCAAGAACGCGTGGGAACTCAAAGTAATCATTAAATTTAATGGCGCAAACGCGCTCGTAATCGTATTCGAAACGCTTTAATTGAATGGCTAACACAGGCGGTAGTTTTTTTACACACAACCGCTTAATTGTAACTACCTGAAATGATAAAAGAAATGAGAGTTTTAGTATAATGTGTGTATATAAATGACATAAATTTAATCACGATAGGTAAAAGTCACGCAAATTTGCAATTTTATTCGCAAAAAATTATCGTAGATAAGCGGAAGCAACCGATCACAAACTTCACATAAGCAACCCAGAGTATACTTTAAGTAACGATTGGCGTCCTCAGCCTATGGAGATTACCACTCTTGCGTTTCATCGGACTGGAGGACTAGAGGCGATTCTATAGGATAGTTCGAACAACTTGGTATAATAAAGCTTTTACCCTATAAGAGTTTCTCCAAACAATTATGCCGCCAAAACTAAAAGGATGGAACTTTAGTTGAGACAAGTGGGGTGAACAATTTTGATACAAAAAACACCGTTTTACACACAGCCATTCGAATATCACCTATTTATAATTTGTAACATGTATCTATAGATCTCCAAGTTCTAACGTCACAATTTTTGTTTTTTGTACTTTTTACCAGCCATATCGTCAATATATAAAAGAAGTTAACTCACACAATTCTCACTACAATTTAAGGGTAGAAAACAATTGAACCACTTACTTTTTTATCACATTTATCACAGTGGTATGCATCAGCGCCCTCTAACAGTTCCCCTTTGACATACTGCTCCAGTGATTCTGTTAATGAGCTATGATTTCGTATATCCACGCTGAACACACTGAACGGCTCCTCCTTGGAATAGCGATGCGGGCATTCCTGGCAAATCTTCTGATCGCTAAACGAACCACCCAACGTGGCGTTCATCAATTGCGTATGGCCCAATGCCTTGAGACCTTCATCTAGACTTTCGAAGAGCGACATAAAGAATTCAACTGCATCTTGTTGCTCACGCAAATTAACCGGTTCACCTTGTAGTCTAAAAATAAAAGCAAAATGCGTACATAATTATAAATTTAAGTATTCCAATTTCATTCAACTCACTTAAAATATGCCCACAAGCCACGTGGCACATAGTATTGCAACGAACTGTGACCCAGATGGCCAAATATCGCCTGCACATATTTTAATATGACTACGTGATAGTTTTTTCGCACATCTGTGCCGCTGCTATTATCTTCACCGTTACCGGCGCTGGAGAATAGCGCACTATTTATGCTAGCCACATCAGTTTCACCGCTAAAATCTTCATTCTCAATTGTAGCCGCACCGTCAGCCTTCAGTATGCCGACGCGTATGGATGGCACCATATACAATTGTTGCAACACCGAATTCATGTAGCATGTAGCGCCAGCATTTTTCAAACCACAAAAACCTTTGACAGGTCGTGGACCAACCGGCGGTAAAAAGTCCCATTCACGTAACGGATCCGTATCGGTGCACACGAAATCGATCAGCGTGTTGGTCAGCAATTTCATGTTAGGAACACAATTCTGGCAAAGTGCTATCAAGAAATCGCAAGCCGCCGCTATGGTGTGGGGACTACGACAAACGGGTGGGGGTGATGTTGGATTTCGCAATTTGTTGAACTTACGCAAGTGCAGGTATTCACGTGAAGCCGGAAAGAGAAATATATCAATAATCTCGTCGATCAAATCGGTAAGTTGGGCCTTGGTCTCTGGCGACAAAAAGAACATCAATTCTTTGGCCAAACACAGATGACCCTCCAATAGATCCTCATGCACCTGTATGTCACCAGTATGTATTACATTTTCGCGTATCTTCTGCAGCCAATTGATCTCCTCGGTCAGCAAGCCGTCGCCAATGTTCAGCGGCCAATTGCACACACTGCCATAGGAGAGTGTGCGGCAGAGCAGTTGAAAGAACTCGGCACAAGTTGCCTCGTATTGTGGTACGAGCGTTTTCAGTGAATTCACCAGCAAATTAACCATATAAGCGAATGGACGACGATCGCCGGCACAGTAAGTGCACGAGAGAAATAGCTGATCGGCGGCGATTTGACGTACATGACGCGATGGATTCTTCAATATAAGCGATGTAATGAATTTGGGCCAAATCGGATCGTTGTTTAATGCCTCATTAGCACTGGGATTAAGTACCAATGAAATGGTTAGCACTTCGAGCGCCTCTTTACACATGGCAAAATCCTGCGCATCCGGCATTGTAATATCATTGGCAAAGTCATTTTTATTGCCAAGCGCTTGCAGATTGCCACACGATGATGACCAAGCCAATTGTATAACAGCCTTAATGGTCGCTATGTCTGGGCAGGACCACTGTAGTGTCGAGCTGAATAGTATGCGACAACGTTCACCTTCGGCGCTGGCCGAAAGCATTTCCGCGGCTAAATTTTCAGCCAATTTTGTAGAGATGGCGCGCATGGTGCTCTCCGAATTGTTCGGTATCGAATTTAGTATTTGCTTAAGTATTTCAACTTGTGAACGTGCGCCTACATCGAAATCGCGTAGCATCGGCTCATCGCCGACACGTGACAGCACATAACCCACCGTGTAGAGGAACAATCTAGCCAGATGTAGCACACAATGAAATGCCGCACGTTTCGTATTCATATCGGCATTGGGTAGGAAATTGTTTTTGGTCAACAGCTCGAGTATGAAATGTGCGCAACCCGAATGTAGCCAAGCCGATTGCACTTGCATTGCCGCCTCGCCGTTGGGATCCAAAGCTGGTATCAGCAAACCATTCAATACACCCAAATTGTAAAGCACCTGTGCGGGTGTGCCATGCAGAAATAGCATCTCAGGTGTGCATTCCAGCAGATTGATCTGTTCGAAATAGAAAATTACCATAAATAAGTTGTAAATAAATGCATGAATACTGCATTACCTGATCACCATCAAAAGCGGTTGTATTTTGCACAACACTACCATTGCCTACGCCCACCGTTTCAGCCTCTTCCTCTTTAACGCTACTTGGTATAGCGCTACTGCCAGTGCCAGCATCCGCTGTCACCGCTGCACTAACAATGTCATTGGCGCCACCCTGCAGCTGTCCCTGCACGCGACACATGGTTTGCAGCATCTTTACGGTGTGCCAATCACATGGCAGTAAATGTAACAAGGATTTTGCGCTCTCACGCAACCGACCATGATCCAAATCGCTGCCCAGTTGATAGAGCTTCACGAAAAACTCGGTATATTTGTAATTCTGTGCGATGATCACACCGGGCAATGTGCTCTCTGACTCGACGCGTTGCATGTCGGGGCAGGGACGTGGCGGTGAGCCGGTGCTAGAATCGCTTGATGAATCGGGGCTACTGGCCAGCCCTGGACCGACTGGCGTCAACTTGACTGTGAGTATCATTTTATCGCGTATGGCATACTGATACAGTGGATTGATCTCATCGCTAATCTCAATTAGTTCACCATTATTGTAAAATAGATCGATCTTAATGTTGGCTGGTGAATTGCCTCTGATGCGTTTCAATAAATTACGCTTGAATGAGGCCACCGTTTCGTTACTGTGTGTTGTCACCTCAATATCATCAATGTGTCGGCCGGGATTTTGAAAGCGTATATAGAGACTAGTATTTTTGCCGCGTGTCACCCGACTAAGGGGCAATAGATAGCGATCGCCATTAAATGAACGATCACATTCTTTTATATACTCTTGCAATACTTTTATAATACGGCACATTTTCTCAGCTTCAATAAAACGATCCTTAATATCCTTCGAATCGGCATCCGCTTGACTAGGATCATTTGAACTGTTGTTGCCAATCGTTTTGCCCAAAATAATTATATTACTGTAATGTGTACGCAGTCGTTCGCAGCATTCAGCAATGAACATTTCATGAAAATCACAAATACTCTCCTGGAGGCGCGGTCCTAACGCTGTCGAAACCTCTTTTAGCAGATCAATAGCCTTATTGGCGATTTCTTCGCCACCTGTCGTAATTACACGCCACAGATAATCTTTACCAATGAGATCCTCATTGTCAAGTATATAACCGCGATGTATTGCTTTCAATTTATCCTCCTTGGAGTTGACAGCCTTGAAGAAGCGTTCGAAGCATTTGATGCCGCTCTCAGTCAACAATTGCGGATCGAGTTGTAAAATATTATTTTCGAAGAAGTCTTTATTTATGCCAGGATCCAAATCAGGTTCTTCGCCCATTAATTTGCCAAACCATCGAAAACACTCTTCACGATCACTTGGGAATACAGCGTTCACCGCCAGACAGTGCCAAATTTGCTTAGCCTGTGAGAGAGATAAAAATGTAAATGGAATTTAGAATATTTAATAAATAATTTTAGTCTTTAAAATTAATTAGTATAAAAACTTAGATTGTAATATAAATGGCATTTAATTTAAATGGGTTCCAGAACTACTTTAATCTAGCCGTACAGATACAGTTGACTTTCTTTACTGTAAAGGTTGGGTCTATATAACGGAAATGGAACCGGGTTTTTAATCGATTAAGTATTGTCCACTCGTCAGCATGTTTTTTGTCAATACAACCGTGAGTTGTGTTCTTCACTACCGGCAGAATGGCCGTGAAATTAAATGTCGGCTAAGTGCAACTTATGCAAACGCCGGTCGGGAATAAGCAGCCGATTACATATTCGGCTGTTCAATGGGTCTTATAAAAAGGGCATAAGTGCCGATTGCATATACATTATCAAACACGGTTAGATCGCCTTCTCTCCCGTTAGAATCCAAATTCCAAATTCACTTACGGCAAAGTAGAACCAACTGCTGTGAAAATCGTTATCCAATTGCTTTAATTTGATTTTACTAAATTTTAAAACTTTTCTGAAACGCTTCTTATACTTAGTCTTAGTCTTATTACTTACCTGTTCGGCACACAACCATAATTGCCCATCCTTCAGTAAGAACTTAAGAAAATCTAAGCGCTCTTGTATTTGCATATTATGTGGATATCTTCCATCGATACATAATGTGTTCGGCTCTACATTCGGCAACTCAGCAATCATCGTGCGTATTTTATCCATGTACGTTGTTAAACTATTTGTCACCAGAATAACCAAAGTATAATCGTTTTGCAAACGTTCGATGACTTGTTGACGATTAAGTGTTTGCTGTGTACGCGGTGCATGACTGGGCAAAGAATCGTATAGGCAACAGATTTCACGTATTAAACGTAAAGCGGGCAACACCCAATTATCACCACTCTTCAATTCTTGTACACATTTATCCAACCAGACGATTTTCTGCGCGTCACGCTCCTGCGAACAGCTGTAGTCCAAGATTTTTACGTGTGCGGCCAAAGCTTGATCCAATACATCTGGTTGTATTTCCTGACTATGCGCCAACGTCCAAAACAGTTTCAATACTTTTTGTGCCATTACACCATTTTTATCATCTTCAGCCAAGCGTCTTATCAATTCAAGCAGTCGTTCACGTTGACGCTTATTAGCGTTTGTCATGCTGGTCTATAATCGTGTGGTAAGATGGAAATTTGAGAAATTTTTATTTTATTATACAATTTTTTTAAATTTAAATTATGCTATTTATTACCTGAAACGATTCAAAGAGATGATCCAGCTGTTCGGGTGTAAAATCCCAAGCCAATTTCGCCAAGAGATCGTGCACATTCTTTACAATCGCCTCATGTTTACCCGCTTGTGCACGCCAAACTGCATCTAAATCCTCTAGCGTCAATGCGTGCTCTTTGATCAGAAAGCGTATGATTTTCTCAAGCTTCTCCACGTATTGTGGTTGATGTAGTGAATCCTTCAGAACAATACCCAGCACATCAGAATCTTTAATCCAGTTCTGTTAGGAAAACGGTTATATTTTTATATGCATTTAAAATAATATTTCCTTAAAAATTTAAAAAGAAAAAATTTTTTTTAATTTTTTTACGTTTTTTAGATTTTAATAAGTTTTCACTTACAAAAACTCCCTTCTCTAATATAGATCTAAATATAGATATTCCACGAAATGTGACTACAGAGCACAAATTTTTAGTTTTTCACCAATTAAATTTTTACTACGTCGCATTATTGTTGAAAAACATTCAACTATTTTTCCAATTTTTATACCCTGAACAGAGTATATTAAGTTTGCCACGAAGTTTGTAACTATCAAAAGGAAACGCTCGAGACCGTATAAAAAATATATATAAATGATCAGCTAGATGAGCTTAGTCGATTTTGACATGTTCGTCTGTCTGTTCATCTGTATATACGCGAACTCGTCCCTCAGTGTTTCAGATATCGAAATGCAAAAATTCAGGCATTTTGAGATAACAATCACAAAAACTTTGCAGATTATTTATTGTCCAAGGCAAACCTAAATTATACGAAAAAATTCTTTAGATCGGCCCACTATAAAATATAGTTACCATATAATGGGCCTCCTAAAGGCCTAGGTGTGTCGGAAGACAAGCACTCTACCTACCTATCTACCTACTATATAAACATAACGATGTAGCTCTTGTATGCTTCTGTGCAACCGAATTTAACGTTTTTTCTTTTTTTTATATTTATTTATCAATTTTTGTACTCACAGCCATACGCTCCGCCGTCAACCAGTCCATTTCATCATCTGGCAAGCAGTGTTGTAATTGCTGCGTGCGATGTGAATAATATGAAACGGAGCTGAGCACCTTATTGATTTCATTTAGTGCATTCATTTTGCCATTGAAACTGGAGACTTGTAGTAGACGCAGTATCATTTTTAGACGAAACATTTCCAGATCTCGTATCAAATCCTCTTGTCCTGGCAAACGACTTGCCAACAAACGTGCCGACTTCACAATACCGTTAATGTAATCGTTTCGTCCCTCTGGTTTCGCTTCACGCTTCAATTCATCATCAGAGAAACTATCTAATAAATCCAATACCACATTCCAAATTGGCATAAAGTATTTGGCAATAGTAGCAGGTGTTAATAGCTCACTGCACTGCCCGAAAGGACGTAGTAGACTAAATATCAACGCCAGTGTTAATTTATTATCTTGACTTTCGTCGGACGCCTGTGATGATTTGCTAGTCTTGCTGCTTAAATCTAAGCCAGATCCCGACGAATCGAGTCCACTTTGTTCTTGATTCTTTTTCAACAGCTGCAAACCACAATTGAATCGTTCTAGGAGATTATCGAAACCGCCCAGCTGCCCGAAACGATTGATTAAATCAACAAGCCAGCCACGTGGATTTTTAGGCTCTGGCGGTGGTTTAGCAAACATTTTATTAGCGTCTAATACGCCCCAAAGAAATTCCGGTGCAGCAAAGCAACTGGGTTGACGTGCGGCATTAAATGTGTTAAATTTGTTCTCCGGATCAAAGACCATTGCGAGCAAATCCAATAGATAGGGATTATCACGCGGCATATGTATGGCAATTAAATGGAGTAACTTGCCGCATGACAATAAAATGCAATGATGAATATTGTATTTCCATGAATTGACCGCCTCGTCGGTGAGGATTTTTGAAAAGGAAGTAGTAAGCGCATTGCGATAGAATTCCACACATGGTTCGCAGTCATGATCCACACCTAAAGCATTAAATAAAAAGTATGTAAGTTTCTGTATTTGAATTTTTTGCACATCAATTGTTATACATACCAGCTGCGGTTAGCGCAATTGCTGCGTTCAGTAATACTTCCAACTCTTGTTCGGGCAGCACTGGTACCACCCAACGCGGATTTGAGATCTTTTGTGTTAATGAACGCAATTTTAACGTAGGAAACGATGAAATCAGTTTTTCGGGCGTTCTAATAATTTAAAATGAAAATATATATCAGTAAACTTAGAAATTTATGAAAGTAAGTACAAAGATTAGGTATGTGTTAATCACATTATATGAATCATACATTTCATATGTAATAATAGTTGTTTCTTGTTTTCGTTAGCCTTAATATTTAAATAACATATACATCTCCTTCTTATGTATTAACATATATTTGCTAAGGTTGTGATAAGACTTTTTTTTTAAGTTTTGCTTAAAATTTATAAAATAAATATTCTTTGTTGTGCACTTCAAGGAGAATTAAACAAAAATGTGTTTAAAACTGGAAAACTAATATTTTTTAAACTGTCGCAAGACTTTCTGGAATATAATCGAAAATCAAGGAATATTTTAAAAGTATTTAATTTTTCTCTTTTCCTTTTGGTTGAAAAGAACAAGGAATGTTTAGCTTATATAGAAAATCTATGTTAAACCCCCAATGTATAGGAATAATATTAATAAATTATGGTTATAAGAAACTTACATGTTGTCCACAATAGCGTTGTTGGCCGTTGTCTCTCCGCCCTGCGAAGTTGCATCCGGATTAACTGTAGAAGGTGTAGGTTGTTCTACGCTACCATTGTTAACACCTCCTGCACTGCCACCGCCAGGAGTATTCCCAAGGGTTGTGCCACTGTTACTATTTAGATTGCTATTTGTATTTGCCGTGCCCACATTTGAATTATCGTTACCGGTACCACCACCTCCCCCGCCTGTCTGGCGTCCCCGCGTATCAAACGTCATCTCTTCGTGGTAGTTAACAGAGGCACTAATATTGCTGCACTTTAACAATTAAATGCAACTTCTAATCTATTTGGAATATACGTCGTTAATGTTTATACAAAGAAATGTTTATTCTTTTTATAGATTTTATAACGTCTAAAATTTGATTTTTCTTAGATTTGGCAGTGATTATAATTACCTTTTACAGCCACCGCCGTTTCCACAGCTGCAACCTTTTGATTTTGTGCTTCGTTGTTTCAGCCGTTGTTACTTTTTGGTAATGATCTATTAGTAGCTGTTGCAATAATTATTACTTTCTTGTTTAGGTTATTGCTTTATTTTTAATTATCGATGATTACTTTGAATATTGCTTGATGCTCTTTTACCTCCTTGACCATAAATTAAGCACAAACTCTTTGATGATTTTGCTATGGGTCATTTACATATTCAATAGGGGGAAGCATAAATCCATTTACTGAAAATAAAGTTAGCCACAAAAGAGAATGCGTTAGAAAAATTGTAGCAGAAATCACTTCAGAATCTGATAAGTTGCAATGAATTGGAATGTAACCACAAAGAATGATGGAATTAGTCAAGAAAAAACGGAAAATCAATACTAATAAAATTTGTCAGACGGTGTCACATTTCTTATTTTATTTTTATTGCTAATTCACTCACTATATAACCACTTTAAGCACTACAACATATTATTTAAAATTTTAATATATAATATTTGTAGCAATATTACATCACTTTGTTCTTTTACATTAATAACAATAGTGTCGCTCTCCTTGTTCCAGAAAATGTATATGTATCCTCGCCTCAAGTAGTTTTAGATCTAGGCGTTTAATATTAATATGTTTTACATAAAATATTTAAACACAACTTATTATCTAAAGTAGTTATTATTGCGTTATCATTGTGTATTTGCACATTTTAGTTTAAAAACCAAACACTATCAAAATTATTTTAATTGATACCTTTTCAATAAAATTAACCGGTATATGTTTGTTATATTGCCAGAAAGTGTTATGTAGTAGCAAATATCACAGAATTATTAATTGATTTAGGTTTATTTCTACTTTAAATTACGCACTCATCTAAGTTCCAAAAGCAGTCGTAAGACAAATTTCGCATGTATAAACACAATGTAAAAAATTCAGTTGCATATCGATTATTGATTTTTATATCCCATTTTTTTCCTTTTCACATTTCGATGTTCGCCTCAGCTGCGCACTTTTCGTTGTTTACTCATCACTACTCGTTTCTTTACACAAAATTGTTATTCCATTGGCTTTTTATTCCATATTCGTATAAATGCAATATTCGTTTATGTTTACGACACTTTTGCTAATTCTTTTAATAATCTTGTTTGTTTTCCTTCATTTTTTTTCCCCAACAGCGGACTATTCAAAAGCAAACACCGAGAATCTTCGCAATTTTCTTTCACACAATGTCAGTCCGCTATCGCTCACTCACTCTCCCTACAGCTGTAACATATTCATTTTCTTGTCTTTCTCAAATGCATTCTTTTCTTCGTCGCTAAGTCTCCTTTTTCGCAATATCATATTATTTCTTCCTTCATTTCCTAACTCACCATTTTTTGCATCCGCCCTATTACCATTGGATTGCAGTCGAATTCCGCTTTGTCTTGATTTTGCAATTATTTGACCACTTTACAATTATATACCGTAACTCTGCACAATTAACAATGATCACTTATTATTTTGATTACTTCAACTTGGGCTCTATCTTTTCAACTACAACTTTACCGTCTAATTAAGATATTTTTTGAAGATTAGCGAATTTTCCATATCCCGCAAGCAACATCAGCCGGCCAGCAGACAAAATGGCGACTCAGCCACTGTGGTGAAATAGGATCTTCCTTGCTAGACTCTTTGCTGCTCCGCTTTGATTTTTCCTTCTCACTGCCTCTTCTATTTTCACGTAATTTTTTACAATCGAAATTACTCGTTTAAACAGATTTTTTACAAAGTTTAACACCTTTCGTTGTTAGTGAATATTATTTTTTGTATATTAATTAATTTTAAATTTTTTTATTTAGTACAAATTCCCTTTGCGTCGTTTTACAAAAATCAGTCGACACTTTTCGGGAATCGTTGCAAAAAACTTGCCGAGTTCTTTCGAAACAAGACGTCATTTGGTTTTTGGCAGTTATGAGGTGAAATATATCCAATATTTTTTCCCGACAGAGTTGCTAAGTGTAAGTAAAAGGCATTTCCACAGAAATATTTGTATGTACCTAAGCTGTGTACCATTTATAAAAATGGACAATTGCTGCGGTGTATCGAATATCATATAAATGTTAAATAATAATTATTTATATTATGTATACAAAATTTAAGTTTCGGCGAATTACTAATATTTTACAAGAACAAGATGATTAAAATATATTAGCTACAATATAAAATAAGAATTTTCAAAATCCCTTTATATTTGATCAAACGATATAGCACTCCTTTTTGTATTAGAGAAAAACGTAAAATAACTGAACTTGGAACTGAAATTGGTAAGCCATACTAGAAATAAAATTATAAAAAACCTTTAGATCTACTTGACCAGTGAAATTTGTACATTGTTATAAACTAGATCGAAAAGATATAATTTTCGGGGTAAACAATCTAGCAAATGCATTGATCTAACAAAACAGCTGATGCTGCGTATATCACACATATAATGTCAATAGTGGAAAAATCCACCAGTAAACATAATCGTGGCAACCATTACAGAATCCGATTCGAATTTGACATTTCCTATATACTCTAAAACGAAAGAAAAACGAAAAGCGGAAAAAACTACGTGTCTCGATGAAATATCGGAAAAGGATTGTTCTGTAAAACAGCGGAAAGGTCCAAAAATTCGGAATTACTAATTTCAGAAAACTAAAAAAAATATAGTGCTAATATTGCAATTTTTTTTTCGAACGAGACTTGCCAAATTTTGTACATACAGTTGGCTAGTTTTGTATTTATTTTTATTTGACGAGTGTGGTATTTCCCATTCTATCTAGTTGTTGGATGCTTGTGATCTTTAATATTGTAGTAAATCGAAAATTCTGCTAGCATAATTCAAAATTAATATATTTCTGGAGTCAATCAGCCTATTGGCTGTGCGTGCTATCAACAACGACAACATGCAAATATTACTTTCGTCCGTATGTCTGGCGTTGACTAGCATCGTCATCGGGAACGCCTACTACCAGAAGAAGCAATTTTATCCTGCGGTTGTGTACATCACCAAATCCAATGCATCTATGGCCGTATGTATCATAAATACACAGCCGTGTGTATTTTTATTGTAAAAATGTCAACTTTTAAAAAATACGAACAGTTTTATACACCTTTTTTTATTTTTTCAGGTTATTTATATACAGTTTTTCGTTATAGTTTTCATGTTTGGAAAGTTATTGCGCAAGGTTAGTTACATATATACTTTATTTTTAATTTACAATTTTGATAATCTTTCTCTAGATATTTCTGGGCACATTACGAGCAGCTGAGTTTGAACATCTATTGGAGCGATTTTGGTATGCCCTTACAGAAACATGCCTTGCATTCACTGTATTCCGCGATGACTTCAATCCGCGCTTTGTAGCACTATTTACAGTTTTATTGTTTTTGAAATCATTCCATTGGTTGGCGGAAGAACGCGTTGACTTTGTAAGTTTTGCAATAATTTTTTACCCTGATCAGGATATATAAGTTTGTAACTCTCAGAAGGAAACGTCGAAGACCCGATATATATATATATATATATATATAAATGGTCAGCATGATAATCTTAGTCAATTTAGCCATGTCTGTCTGTCTGTATATACATATGTAAATTAGTCCGTCAGTTTTTGAGATGTCTATCTGAAATTTTGTTCTGCTCATTTTTCGGAACCGTCTATATCGGACCACTATAGCTTAAAGCTGTCACATAAACTGACCGATCAAAATCCGTTCCACGGCAGTCACCAACAACAACCGATCAAAATCAAGATAAAAAGATCTTATATGCTATAAGAAATGTACCTGTGATGGGTATAATAGCTTCGTTGCATTGTTTATAATTGTAATTAAAAGTGTTTATGAAATTTTTACTTGGCAGATGGAGCGATCACCTGTACTTGGTTGGCTATTTCATATACGCGTAGCAAGTCTTCTCGGAGTATTGGGCATTTTAGATTACTTTTTGCTTATGCACGCCTATAATTCCACTCTAGTTCGTGGACCAACAGTGCAGTTAGTTTTTGGCTTTGAATATGCAATATTGCTAACTGTAGTTGCGAGTACAGCCATCAAATATGTGCTACATGCTGCTGAAATGCGAACCGATGTACCATGGGAAAATAAAGCCGTATTTTTGCTGTACACCGAATTGGTGATTGGCTTGATCAAAGTAATTCTCTATGTATTGTTCGTGTTTATAATGGCCAAAATATACGCATTACCGATGTTTGTATTTCGCCCAATGTTCTTTACGATAAGAAATTTCAAGAAAGCACTTATCGATGTCATTATGTCAAGACGCGCTATACGAAATATGAACACACTTTATCCTGACGCTACTCCTGAAGAACTACGACTTTCAGATAACATATGTATAATCTGCAGGTAAGTAAAATGTTAAAATGAAGTTATTAATACTTGAGTAAAATAAAAAACGAAATTAATAAAATAAATTTGCAGAGAAGACATGATAAACCACTCAAAAAAGTTGCCTTGCGGTCATATTTTCCATACCACTTGTTTACGTTCGTGGTTTCAACGTCAACAAACCTGCCCAACATGTCGTCTAAATATATTACGAACACCTAATGCCAACTCTACTGCGATTCCAAGAGCAGACGAAGTAGTGGGTGGTGGAGCTGCGGGCCAGGGTGCTGCAGCTGCTGCTACGCCTACTGCTGCTGCTGCTCCCATACCAAATCAGGCAAACGGTGCTGAGATGCCACGAGTTGACGGAGCAGCACCACCCAATGCTGCAGGTATCCCAGGGTTGTTTGAAAACATTGGCATGGCCAATGTCGGTACAAGTAATTTGCCTGGTGGGTTGCCGTCGATTTCTACGACAGCAGCACCATCCAATTTCCCAACTTTGCCGTTGCCTCCACCATTCATGATACCGCCTCCATTCCCATTTATTGCCCCATATGCTGTACCACCACCACCTATGCCATCGGATCTAAGTACCTTGAGCGATGAAGAATTAAAATTATTAGAAGGAAATGAACGCCGTAATGTTGAAGAACGTATCAAGGTATGTAGTTGTATAAAATCTTACACGCAACTTTAGTAAATATTTTTCTAATTGGTTTAGCTGCTACGTAATATTGAATTGATGCTGAATGCTGCAGGAATATTAATGAATAACTACCAAATAATTACTGCGCGATTGCAAACTACAGCACCATTTCCAACCGAAACTGTAGCGTTTTCGAACAACACCACCAATACTACTTTAAATAATACAAACGAAGAACCCAGTACATCAGCGGCTGCTGTTGCAGCGCTTGCTGAAAGTCAGTTGCATGTACCTGGTACCAGTAATGTTGCATCAGTAGCGAAATCAACAGTTTTTACAGAAAGCTCATCACATCCTCCATTGCAAAAACATGGTGATGTGACAATTGAAGATATAGGCGGTGAAGAACATGAATATGGTGTTACGCAGAGTAGTGGTGCAACACAAGTATCAGCATCATCTTCAGTGCATACGCCGGGTATTGAAAAATGTACTGATGACAAAACTACCAGCATTACAGCTGAACAACCTGAGAATGCCGAGCTCAGTGAACTGAGAAAACGACGTTTAAAATTCCTTGAAGAAATCAGCAAATTATCAACGCCAACAACAACTTCTGAAAATACTTCGAGCGATTAGAGAAGGACTTTTAGCTTTATGTTGTTTAAGTTTTGTTTTCAAGATTTTTATTTGATTTGGAAATTAAAGGGTGGAAAAAAGTAATTGCTGTTCAAAAAGAAAACCCATATATAAAAAGACGGAAATTATGTTGAAGTTATGATAGAAGCAAAGAATGGAGAAATCATGAGCTGAACTGTATTTAATAATATATAAATAAAAAAATAATAATATATACTTACATACATAAATAAATGAAAACTCAATTTGTACTGTTTAATTTTTCTCCTGTATATAAATATTTGTGTGTAGTAAATTTTTCAACCAATTACATTCACTAGACAAAATAAATAGAGAAATATTGACTAAATTTATTCCCATTAATAATATACGTCCTATCGAGATATATCCAATTTTTAGGTCTGCTGATTTTAAATGTGCCACTGTTCGAATTACGTGTGGATTTATGTTAGAAGAATCAAACGATGTGGTGGATATGCTACAACTGCTGTGGTGAAAGCAGATAGCTACTTTTACATTTTTGTGCCAGATTTTTTAACTTCAATGTACTTACCGTTGCGGGGTAATGTTGAGAAAATAAATTTATAAGCGAATGAAAACATATGGTTTTTGACAACTGCTATGCCCAGCTTCACACGCTATTAGTGAATCGCACGTGTAACCGGAATATTTTTTTATAGCAGCGCAAGAAGTTAAAAACATTAAATATGGCGAAAAATAAAATAAAATTAGGAAAGGAGGTAGTGTAAATCATATTTTCAAAATAATTTAGAAGAATTTAAAACAAACTATTATTTATAAACTCAATGTTTACTAACATAGCTGTATAATGATGATGCAGAGGACTCCATGATTGAAAATGGCACCAGTGATGAGGATTCGAATCAAAATCTGTCTGATATTGGAGATAATGACAATGATAATGGTTCCCCGGAACAGAACGAAGGCAGTAAACCATCTGAAAAGATTCCGAAAAATGCGCGAAAGAACTCAACGCCACATGACAAGTCAAAAGTTGCCCTCAACACATATGGTAGTAATGCTAGCCAAGTAAAGTTAAAAAAACCAAATGGTGAAAAAGTGAAACCACCAACGCTTGAGGAAATTAATCAGCTGAAAGAAACACGTAATCTATTCCATTCGAATCTGTTTAGGCTACAAGTAAAGGAAATGTTAGCGGAAGTAAAAATTAAGGACAAGTACACCAACTATGTCAATAATTGGCTGGAACGTTTTAAGCAGTTTCTAAACGAACTACAAAATCAATCGGAGAAAGAGGATATGAACAATCAGGAGTGGTTGAAGAAATGTCAAATTAAATTTCCTATTTCGCTGCATAATTTGCATGTGGAACAACAAAAAGTCTTTCAATTTCAATTCATCAAACCTAAAGTATCGCCATACCTTATAGGTGCAGCCGCTACGCACTCATTACTCGGTCCCAAATTAAATGCTGATATCAGTATTCTAATGCCGGAAGAGTGTTTTCAGAAAGAGAATTATCTTAATTTAATATATGACCAAAAGCGTGCATATTATTTAACTTACATTGCAAATAAATTGCTCAACAGTCGCGTATTCGGTAACGAACTAACAACAAATAAAATGAAATTTAATTACTATAATAACAATCCACTTAAACCGATATTGGAAATCACGCCCACACCATTAACCGATGACAATGTGAAAATAAATATTGCAAATAAGCTTAGTATCCGCCTATTTGTAACAGTGGAAGAGAGCGCTTTCAAGCTAAACCGTTTCGTACCATGGAATAATAATGTGCGCGCCAGCATTTTCAGTGATGATACTGAAGAATCCATTCCACTGGCTACGCCAAACTACAATGCTGGAGTATTATTCGATCTCACTATGCAGAGAAATCAACAATTACTGCATGGCATTTTTGATGAGCGCAAGAATTTTCAAGAAGGCTTAGTTTTGCTGAAGGTTTGGTTACGGCAGCGTGAATTCGATGTGGGTTTCAATGGATTTTCATCACATTTGCTAGCCATGTTTATAGCGTATCTTTACAAACAACGCAAATTACATATGAACATGAGCAGCTACCAGGTGGCACGTACAGTTTGGAATCAATTAGGTATGTATTAAAATGCACGTACTTAATAGTATTGATATAGTTATACGCTAAGCAGGGTACGTTTGCTACGATGTCTTCAAATCGTCGGAGACCTTATAAAGTATATATATAAATTATCACGAGTTGAGTCGATTTAGCCATGTCCGTTTGTCTGTCTGTATCTCCGTCAACTAGCCTCTCAACCCCACACGTCCTTTTCCTTTTGCTCTGTTGATATCTGACTACTATAGTATATAGCCGAACGATCCAAATCATCTTGTATGGTAAATTTTATATTTGACGGGACATGGAATATTTTCCAAACCAAAGATAAGTTCTCCGATCAAATTGTTCGCATCGTACCACTTTATCATTTAGCTGCTATACAAACTCAAGTCCTTGTATGAAAAACTTTTTTATTTGACAAGGTATCTTCACGAAATTGCGCATAAATTACTATGTTGTTGTTGTTGTAGCGGCATAAATTATTATCCAAGGCATCGCTTTAATCTCAAAAATAACCGCTCAGATCGAACGAACATAACATATAGCTGCAATACAAACTGACCAATTTAAATTAAGACATAGATCTTTTTAATACCCTTATATAATATTATAAAAAATGCACCTGTGAAGGCTATTATAGCTTCGGTGCAGCCGAAGTTAACATTTTTTCTTGTTTTAAAAATATATTTGCATTTATAGCATACAGTGCTTGGGATGAGGATGGCAAAGGTATTTCGCTGTCCGATAACTCGACAGATCTTGCCAACCAACCTACTTTGGAGCAATTCCATACATACTACGACGTGGTCTTCGTAGATGTTACCGGCTTTTTTAACATCGCCGCAAATCTAAGTTCAGAGATTTATCGTCGTGTGCGTCTAGAAGCTAAATTAGCGGTTGAAATGTTAAACGACATGAAAATAAATAGCTTTCACATGCTGTTTATGACGAAAATTCCACTCTACAGCCAGTTCGACAATATACTCAAGTAATAAACTTAATGAATATTTATTATTAATAATTTGAAATAACACATTCAATTATTATCTTATTCATATTGCAGAATAAACAAAAAGGATATTGTCGAGCAAATCTTAGAAATGCATGTCAAACCTGCGGATAAGTACAATTTCGCTGGCTACGCATATCCTGTACTGTTGAAGGTCGTAGTTGGGTAATTAATATACAAATATTTGTTTATATTCTATTTAATATATTTAAATTTTATCTATAGCCTCCTTAGTAAAGGACTCGGTGAACGTGTACGCGCTTTACTACCGATCGAAAAGGCAGTTGATGCTTGGAGTTGCACAAAAACCCCGCCTGATTGCGCGCGTTACTGTCATCTCGGCCTTATCCTGAATCCTGAGAAAGCGTTTGAAGTCTTGGACAAAGGCCCCGAAACCATAGCTGAAGGTGCTAACGAATTTCGCAAATTTTGGGGTGACAAAGCGCAATTACGACGCTTTCAAGACGGTAGTATTACCGAATCGGTGGTGTGGGCTGCAACTAGCGACAATCTGTGGAAGCGACGTTTGGTTGTACGTTCAATCGTTACTCATCTATTACAACATCATTTTCAATTAGAAAATACAGATTTCGAATATATTGCTGGTGAATTAGATATTTCCTACCGTTTGACACCGATTTTCCGTACGGATAAAATGCCTGAAAAGTATAAGGTAGACCAAGATGTCGATGCAGAGGACACTTCACTCAATGTAATACGTTGTTTTGACGATTTGGCACGCAAACTACATGCGTTGAATGAACTTCCGCTCGAAATTGTCTCCATTGCTGGCATATCGCCCGTTTTTCGTTACAGTGAACCTGTGCCAATTCTACCACAAGCGCGCATGATTGGTGAACAAATGTATACTATGCAAGTTCAACGTGGTGTTATACAATTAGGTAATATTATTTTAGAATCCTTTTTTTTTTTTTTGCTATATTACACTAATACTATTCATATTTACATATTTCAGGTCAGAGTGGTAAATGGCCTAGTGAGTTAGGTGCCTTACGTGCACTCAAAATGGCTTTTTACATACAAATAGCTGATTTGTTGCGCGAAAAATATAAACTTAAAACTAAAGTAACTTACGATGGCCTTTTAGTACTTAAACAGGGCTATTGTTTTGCTATCGAAATGGCACATCCCAAAGAGGTGGCACTATTGAAGAAGGAGAAAAGTGAACGAGGATTAACACAGTATGTGGATTGTGAGGCCAGCGTTGCCTTAGAGAAACGACATTATATTCTGCCTAAAGTGACGGGTGCGCTACATGCCTTATATCAGTTACATAACAGTTTCGGCGGCACAGTAATGATCGCCAAACGTTGGCTGTGTACACAATTCCTAGATGATGGTCTCTGGCCAGAAGTATGTACTGAATTGTTAATTGCCGCACAATTTCTAAGAACACCTGCACAAAAAAATCCCAGTTCGCCCCAAACTGGTTTCATAAGATTTCTGCAATTGCTGGCGGCCACTGATTGGCGCAACGACTTGTTCTTATTGAACTTTAATAATGCAATGGATGGTTTGTTATTACCTTGGAAATTATTTAATTTGATTATTAATTAGTTTTTCATGTTTTTATTAGAAAATGCTGTAGCTGATTTGGAGCATCGCTTTAGCACAGAACGTGATACATTCCCGCCACTTTGTATAGCTACCTCGTTCGATCAAAATCATTTAGGTAATTTGTGGACTTCAGCGTGTAAACCGAACATAAATGTACTGGCCCGTGTTACGCTATTGGCGCGACATGCTTTGGATATAATTGAAAGCGCGTTGCTCTCAACTAAACCTTTTATAAAACCTGGCCAAATTTTCATAGCGCCTAATAACGGTTACGATTTCGTAATCCAATTGAAACCAGATTTGGTGTCTAACTCATGGGCGCATGAGTTCGGTTCATCATTTACGGTGCGTACGAGACCAAATTGGCGCCTGCCCTTAGCAGATAGCAATTTTTTGCAAAACACCATGGAAAAGCTTCGGGTATGTACATAAATATAAATACATAACGTACTGATTGGATACATACACATTTTAGGGAGTTTATTTTGTTACTGTCATAGTATCAGATAACCTAAAATTTTACAAGGTTATAAAGCATTGTTAAAAAAGAAGAGGCACCGAATTTATAAATTGTTAAAAAAAAATTTCAAGCATTATATAGAACCTAGGAAACAATAAATGTACAAAAAACTTGAAAGAAATGACTGAGACAGTTTGACGAAGCTATTATTATTACTACTTCGAACAGGATATATAAAGTTTGCCACGAAGTTTGTAACACCCAGAAGAAAACGTTGGCGACCCTCTAAAATATATGAAAAGGATCAGCATGACGAGCTGAGTCGATCTAGCCATATCCGTGTGTGTACTCTATATATGCAAACTAGTCGCTTAGTTTAAGAGATATCGATCTAAAACTTTGCGCACGTCCTTTTCTCCCCAAAAAGCTGAAAGTCGGAACTGCCGATATCGAACCACTATAGCATATAGCTGCCATACAAACTGAATGATCAAAATCATGTTCTTGTATGAAAACGTTTGGTTTTTAAGAGATATATTCACGAAATTTGGCATGGCTTATAGTTCAAAGCAACGGACCACTATATATATTAATTGATCGATCAAAATCCAGCCCTTGTCTAAAAAACTTTTTTATTTAAGAAAAGCTTCTTTCAGGGATTATTGTTCAAGACAACAGTAAAATCTCCGAAGAAATTGTTCTGTGTTGTTTTGGTTATTTTTAACTATGTCTCTGTTAACCTTTAATTCGATTTGAAAGGCAAATCTAAAAATTTGTTTTATGTTTTATTTCAACAGGAGGCATATTCGGAATTCGCCGCTTTCTTCTACAATCCCCATGGTGGCAAGGAAATAGCGGTAATCTGGAAGCCTGATATATCTATCGAAAGAGATTTCAAAGTGAACGAAATGAATGGTTGTGCATTAAGCAGTGAAAATAGTAGCAAAGTCTTTGTTAAAAAAGAAATCCTAATTGAGGATTTGAAATTTATACTAAAAGATATGTATCTAAGGATCGGTACAGTTGACGAAGTGTTGACTGCTTCACGTAGTACGCTGCCTACCATTAGTGAGAAAACTAACACAACTAGCACTGAGCATTTTCAGCACAAAAAAGGAGAGAAACGCTACTTTTCCAATTCCCAGGCGGAGGGGTCCATTATAGAAGTAGTGACCAAAAAGTTGAAAAAACTATCGAAAGATATGGAGAAGAATGTTAAAAAAAATGTATTGAAAAATAAGTCAGCGAAAAGTTTAAAAATAAACGGCTTGGCGACAAAGTCGAAGATCAACAAAAAAGGAAAGACAAAAATATTGAAAACGAAAAAGTCGTTAATTTCCGTTGTTGCGACAATCAAAAAACATTAAATTTTTTTTAAATTAAATATTACCCAAACAGTAGAAACATAAAGTAAATAAAATTTCCAACAAAAGATAAAAAAAAATATTTAACAGTTACATAAATGAGATCGTACGACGAAACAAACCACGCCAACAGTTTTCATTTAATTATTCACAAATCTGATTCAACGACATTAAAGTCGAAACTGTGTCATTTTACGTTGTTTCGCCTGTTGACGTGCGCATAAACAAGTAGCCGAACGTGTGGTGATAGGAGCTTGCGTATTCGATGATAAGCTGACGTCAATATCCATGGTGTTGCAACCGCGTGTGCAACAATGACTTTTCGTAGAGGGTGTTTGGGGAACGCACTGGGTTCGCGCAATCTCCGTGGTCGATGTGGCCAAAGTATGATGCAGTGGATGCTAAAAAATTAAGTAAATAAATAGTTTAGTCTGCTTATACAAAAAATTATATAAAATATAATAAAAGATCATTCTAAAGAACAAATCCTACCATGGATGCTTGTGTCGGCATCGTGTCGCAAGCCTTCGACCAATCCAACTGTTGCTGTAGCGTTGCTGCAACCGGTGTATAGCCTGCACTTTGTATACATTGTGGCCGGTTGTATGCCAGTAAATCGGGCATTGTCAATGCCATTTGTGTAGCCTGTTGTTGCTGTTGCTGCTGCTGCATTGCTGCAGTTATATTGCAAGCACGTGTGACTAGATCCGACAATATTCCTATATTCAATGGATTAATAGACGCATTCTGCTGAAATTGTGTTGGCTGACGGATACAGGACAGCAAAGCATCACGCCCATTTACATAGGAGTCCGTGGTATCCATTGGTATTACTTCGCCTGAGTTTAATTATGGGAACATAATTAGCCGCATCGCAATTATTAGTTATAAAAAAAATAAAATAAATATAAACGTTCTATAATTTTTAATGCCGAGCCTTTGAGGTTTTGGTTCAAAGGTTAGTATCTAAAAAACATGCCTCTAATTTTTTTTTTATTCATATCTATCGGTAGGAACATACTGTTCATTTCGGCAAAACGCAACGAAATATTTGTATATTGTTGTTGTAACAATATTTTGACCCAAATTGAATGGTACCTTTACCATTCATCTTGCTGCTAGTCTGAATCTCAGAAAATTTCAATGGGATGGCTCCCTCAAGCTTCTAGTATCATATAAGTTAATTATTTGTCAGCCATTAGTAACTGATACAACAAAGTTTAAATATTCGCTAATTGCTTTTTAGCAATATTGCTGAAATAACGGACATTGGCAGAATATAAAGCAGCGGATCGGTGTTAATAAGTACATGTCAGAACAAGATTTGGCATCACTTTCTATATGTTGAGATGAGCCAAAGAGAAATGCAAAATAAAACCAAAACGAAAAATATCTACTTTTGGCATTGCTATTTTATGTTTTTTCGGATTATTTATGTTCGACATAGTTTCACGCTCCCATTGCAGAGGTATATTAAATATTTTTATCGTATCTATTTTGTATCTGAAACTATTATATTTTGTAAACTTCTAAGAGTATCCATCTAACGCAGCTCTACGTTAATTCAAACGCCTGACGCCTGAGTGTGAAGTGAAATGCTTCTTCTTATTTAATTCCGATAGGAACATTTGTATCTTTAAAATTCAAACTCAATCAAACATCTAGCTAAAGTGTAGTAATATAATATAAAATACATCATATATAGTATAGAGATGTATTTAACTCACCTTTTGCATTCAATTTATTGTAAGAATATAGTCGAGAATCCTCAATTCTTCGAATATCCTGCTGTGTGATTATAAAACATTCGTTGCCGACGACCACGGGCACTACAGATATCGGGATTTTTAAAAAGTTGTATTCGAAATGAAAGTATACGTAAGATACACATATTTACCATGCAAAGGCTGTTGTACTTGCTCCGCCACTTGTACGACTTTTCGTACAGTTGGATCTGGATTCATTGTTAACTTTATACTAGGAAATTATAAGCCAGATTGTAATCCAAAGCAGTTATTTGATAGAATTTTGAATTTCTGTAATAGCTCCCTTAGTTCCGTATTAAGATATATTTTTTTAAATTAATTTTTGAAAAGCATCGAAATGCAAATTTGAGCTGCTGAATAGTGTGTGAAGTTTTTGACTTCTGAGTACTTTTACCACACCCACTAAGTTGAGTGTGAATGTTTCCAGCCAAAAATTATGAAATTGTTGAAATTTTCAAATGCTTTTATATATAGCCAAACTAATAAGACACATTAAAATTTATTAACATTTTTAGCTTTAAATGCAAAATTTATTTTTAGATTTAAAAAGACAATTTTAACAATAGATTTAATTTAATAAATGCATGCCGTTTAAATTGTGTCGTATGCCTTGTCATAAATCCATATATATATGTAAAAAAATAAATCAGCTCCAAATTAAAAAAAAAAAAACAAACAAACTACTAAATATCAAAATCACTACACGAATTAAAATGCGAAACTAAAAAGTGCACAATGTTGCAATACAGAAGTTAAAAATAGCGCTAGTAACATGGAATAAAGAGAGGATAGCGCTTAGTGTTGGAATAAAAACTGTTTTCTATAAAGTTAAACATTCTATATACACACGTTCACACATATGTATATATGATACAAAAAATATACGCAGACGTCTTATAATTTGTTTTTGAATATTTTCTTAGAGTACGCAACTTTTATATTTCCATATCTTTTTCCAATTAACATACTAGGCTATCCTTTCGTTATATGTATATGTAAAATAAAATAAATAATGATGAAGAATTGATTTAAGTCGTATGTATAGTTGTTATTTAATGTGTGCGGCAACCCAAGGATGTAGAAATACTTGATCCAGCGGAAGTCGTTGTTGGGGATTTAACACCAGAAGCTTGGAAATAAAATGTGCTGCTGCCCGTGAAACAAACTCCGGTAATTTGTAATCAACTTTAATGATTTTTTTATATGTCTCGTCATAGTCAGTAGCAAGGAATGGCGCACGACCCACAATCAATTCGTAACATAGTACTCCTAAGCTCCAAAGATCTACATTTTTAGTATGTGGCTTGCCTTGCACCATTTCAGGTGGCAAATAATCAAGTGTGCCGCATAATGTTGTGCGCATAGAGTTCGGTTCGTGCACTGACCATCCAAAATCTGCTATTTTCAAATCACCTTTATGTCCCAACAATAAATTTTCCGGCTTGATATCGCGATGTATAACATCACGCTCATGTAGATATTGCAATGCTGATGCTAGAGAACGTATATAAATTGCTGAGGTTGGTTCGTTAAAACGTTTCAATGGCTGTGATTGTAATTCTTTGAAAAGTGTTCCCTTGGGCGCATATTCTAATATAAGATAAATGCGTGCATCATCGTGGAAATAGCCGTATAAACGCAGTATATGTGGGTGTCTCAAATGTGATTGTATTTCAATTTCCCGCCTTACTTGATGTTCTACGTTTGACTCGTGTATCTGCTTTTTAAATAACACTTTGAGTGCAACAACAAATTTGGATTCTTTTTCGCGCGCAAGATATACATTACCAAATTTGCCTCGTCCAAGCGGCCTTCCAATATCGAAATTACTCAATGACCACGATTTCTTTTCCTTTTTGGTACACTCATCAGTCTTTTCGTTTTCAGCCTTATTTAATTCATCTTTCGAATCTTTGTCTTCAACTTTCGCCACTGTTTTCGGTGGTACTTCTGTTGAGTTTGCTTTTGGTTCGAAATTGGATTTCTCTTTTTCTGATTTAGTTTGATTGATTGCAACCTTGCTGCTAGATGATTTTGAGGCGGCAGAAGCGTTAGGTTTTGTCATGGATGCTGTAGCTGTAGGTGCAACTGCTTGTTGGCTTATGGGTTTCGTGGTCGATAAGACCAGAGGTCCTGTTATCGTGCGAACAGAATTGTTGTTTGTTAATAATTTCTTATGTGTCACAGCTGTAGATGCAACTTGAGTTGATCTTGAAGCAGGTAGACCTGCTATCAAATTTCCAGTTCTATTAGAGGGCATTGGTCTTGGCATAGCTATTGGAGATACGCCTTTCATATTTTCGTTCAAGGTCTATAATTAATATAGTTTCAACACTCGATTCTTATTATAAACATTTTAATCACTTACATTTTTCGTATTATGCTGTTTCTGCGGTGGTGGCGGAAGTGGTTTTAGTGCCTGCAAATGGTTCTCTTTGCCATTTAAACCACTAATTGGCTTTCTATACATTTTCGTCTTTCTTTTCAACTAATTTTTTTTTTATTATTGCAGTTATTTTATATTTAGAAATTATTCTTTACAAGAAACAATTTTGTAGCAAAAATGCCGTTTGAAAATGCAATGTGCGTATAACAGCCCTTTTTGAAAACTTATTGGTATTGGTAAAAGTGGCAATTGCATTTAGACATCAAGTCATTCTGTCGATAAAGCTGTTCAATAATGTGGCCATATCTCAAAATTTATATAAAATCGGTTAGAACTTAACATGAATAAAATTAAAACTTTGTATTTTATTCGCAAAGGAGTAGACATATGATTAATATTGTGTATATGGCAAAAATAATTCATTTGGAAAAATCAAACCAAAATTGTATATAGGAAGTGACACAAAATCAACTAAATTGTTTTTTTACTTTTGTTTCATAGCAAATATTACTACCAAATACCATAAATATTTTCAGCTTTGTTGGATTGAAAGATATACAAATATAAAAAAACAAAACAAATTGAAATCGAAGTTTTTTATTTCACTTTATTTCATTGATTTATTTTATTTCTATGTGGCATCACTAATAAAATTTATATTAACTTGCGAAACGCTGGAAGGAAAAATAAGAGCATTTTATCTTCCAAAGATGGCGTATTAATAAAAAATAATTGTTTGAAATTATTAAAATTAGATATTTTAATAAGTGTGCTGGTTAAAATATATATTGTGCAAATATTAAAAAAGATACACATCAAAATGTACTCCGCTGGCGATTCTAGTGGAGACGGCTTAAGCGGTCTAAATCAATTTGCTGGCATGAGTGGGTCGATAGACTGGGCAGCTATGGCCCAACAATGGATTCAGATGCATGATACTAGTAATTTTATGTCAATGCCAGATGCACCGCCTCCACCAACTATTAGTAATACATTCAATGATGTGAATATGACAGCTACGACAACCACGACCGCAATTAAGAAATCATTCGATGAAAAAGGAGAAGCCGATATGGATATGGACGAAGACGAAGAAAGTGCGAAATGTAGTGATACACCGCACTCTCCAGCGCCATCAATGCAACTAGGTAAAAATAGAGATCATACAGTTATGCAACCACAATCACCGTGGTTTATGCAGCAACCAAATATAGTTGTTGGACCAACGGTAGCGGAAAATATACCCGGTATAGGTATGATAATATATATTGAATCAAAAATAATACTAAAATAATAACTATTTTGTTTTTTCGCATTTAGGTAATACCACGCCACTCATTCCATCTGCACCACAATGGAATGCGACTGTATGGCCACCACGTATTAACTTGCCACCCCCGGTTCCACCAAATATGTTAAATGTACCGTTAAATAGTTCCATGCCGAATCCTACAGCACATATACCATCCCTACTAAAGATGAATGTGCCAAACCCTAACAATATAAGAATGATTTCAGCTAATACAGGAGAGCAAAACTCAACGCAATCCGTGGTGGATGCAAAGAAAAGAAAAATGCTTCCAGCTTGGATAAGGTAAAAATTATTTTCTTAAAATAATATATATATTTTTTAATTTTACTTAATTTTTAAATTATTGCACAAAGAGAGGGCTTAGAAAAAATGGAGCGGGAAAAACAAAAACAATTTGAAAGGGAACAAAACAAGAAACACGAAGAACCGGATGGTATTGATGATACCAAATATACTGAGTTTGTAGGTACAACCGATGATGCAACGCACACGGTAAACATGAAATATAAACAGCCTGCGGTAAGTTCAAAAACCTTCTTTAGTAACTTAAAGGCTGAAGTGTTGCTTCCGGCCTCGTCATATGATACCTTTCATTTGAAACTCTCTAAGTATGAGGACTTTAGAGAGAATGATGAAAGGTAACACAAGTGTTTTACTAAATAAGAAACAATTTAGGAGAGGGAGAACGATAGATCAGGTTTTGAGGATGAGGGAGAACTTGAAGACTTAGATGGCGTGGCAATAAGCGATGACACATTGGTTCTACCTCAAAATCCAACCACAAACGACGATGATGACAGTGGTAATAGTGGCGCCGAATACGAAACAGATAACGAAAATAATACTGAACAGCAAAATTATAAGGGTAAAAGAAGCTATGAAGATAGACTTGCAGACCTGGTATGTACATGAAAACTAATTTTCATCTTAATGCATATATTTTAGTACACTAAGCTTTAATTTTTGTTTTTCATTTAATAAACAAATCGAAATACGCCATTTTAAACATACATATGTGATGTTAATGCCAAACATGTGTTTGTATGTGCTGTCTTTACATGCAAACATACAAATGTATGATGATGATTTGAAATCACAACTAAATATAATGAAATTGAAATGAACTTTTACAACTGATCGCTTCGGCAAAAATAAAAATGTGCCTCTGTACCGTGTTAATAATATGATACACCTACCTACCTCATATACAAATTGAATTCGTTCTTACCCCTTTGACCAACCTTGGGAAAAAAATCTTAAAATTTTAACATGCTTAGATGATAGTGGTGCGGACAACATTAACCGAACTCCTACTTGAGGTTACAAATCAGGAGATCGCAATCTTGGCGCAAGAAGCTGTCAATGCGCACAAAGCCAAAGGTACTAAGTCTAAAATTTAAGTTATTTCATATGCATATTTCCTTCTAGTGTTTTTGTGATATTATCGTTGCTGAGGCATTGGTGCAATGTTGAACATGCATAAAATATTTGCAATTCTTAAAGTAGACGTTGATTAACACTTGCCTCTCTATACTGCAACCATGTTAATTAGAATGAACTTTATCTGTTAACCAAATGAAATTATGTACATTTTACATATACTCGATACCTACGAACTTGTATAAACAAAGCGTCATCAGCTCAAGTGATCCGTAAAAGCGCACTATCCTCCATAACCGGAAAATTAGGTAAGTCAACTCTTTACGTATATTATAAGCTATTTAGAAATATATATATATATATGTATATATTTCCACATATTGGTTGTTATTATGTAGTTTCTGTCGGCATTATTAATTTGCAAAAGTTTGGTGCGATTCTGTTTGAAACGTTTGCAGGTAAACTGTGCAATAATTCGTTTTCCAAAATATTGTAAATTACAAAAAACTGTCTAAAATTTGGATACATTTTAATATATATGTCCATGCTATAACAACAGAAGTTTGAGTTAAAACTTCTTCAGAAAGTTTACCTTCTTGGGGAACAAATATTAATTCTGGGATGAACTTCTTTCAAATGGAATCATTTTAATGCCAAATTAAGTGATTTTGGGATTTCAATAAACTGTGTAGGGAACTTTTCCATTTTTTCTGTCCCCTAGTGTATATTACTTTCGCCCGATACTTGTGCTGTTAGTTCTTTTTGTAGACTACAATCACAGTACTAAATAAATAAAGTTTTAGCATTCGAATTAGCAGCACAATTATTTCTAGGCTTAGCAGCATACGATGATTCTACAGGTGATGAGAGCAGCGACTCCGAGGATGGTGCTTCTGCGGATAATGATCCAAACAATGACTCAGAAGAAGAAATAAAGGTATAACTGACTAAGTTCTAAACAATATTGCATTGTATATAACATTTGGTTATGTCTATGTTTATAGGCATCCTTACGAGCGAAGCGACGCGCTTTTGCGAAAATAACAGATGATATTGAGGAAAGTATAGCTGCGAGTGCGGCACGTGAGGAACAAAAACTAAAGTACTACACTTTATTGGAAAAACAAAAGGATGATGATAAGCCGTACAAGAAAGAGATTGCTGTCGGCAAAACTGAGCGAAATGATGAAAATTCAAGCAGTTTGAGGCCATCCACATCTATGGCCAACACAAGCACAGTTAGTAAATCATACGACCGCGATTTTGGTGAGACAACTGAAACAAAGTTACAAAACTCAAACGGTGCGTTTGTTCGTATACACTTTCTCTGCCAAATCTAAATAATTTGAAAAAGATAAACAAAAACCAAATCGGCGAAAACTTTTAAAATTTCAAGAATGAGCATACAAAAGCTCTTTATAATTTTATTTTTAAAATTTCCTAACACTAGAAGTTAGCCTAACAACGAATAGTATTATTATTAGGAGCTTTTAAGCAATCCATTTCGATATAGGTAGAATTTTACAAACAAATTTAGAACTGTAGTGATATTTGGGTTAACTATTAGCTTGTGTGTCTGCCTAGTTTTAATTGGAAAAAAATTACACTTTGAAATTTGTTAGAATATAATTTCCTTGTGTATCATATTTATTGTTCGGTTATACCACTTCATTTTTATTGTGATCAAAAAACAACGTAGCAAGTGACAATAGCTTAACAAACAGAAGTGGATGTTTTGAATTAATTTTGCATTCCAAGAGAAGCAATTTTTTTATGTTAAACATGCGTTCGTAAAGAGTAGTGTTTTTAAATGTCATCCATTTTTTAGGTATTTATGAAATTATGGATTAGCTTTTTTTTTTTTACAAAATACCGCTAAATAGTAACCTAAAAATAAAGTAAATTTGTTAATAATTTATATTCGTAGGCAAGCGTCAGAAGGATCGGAATTCGCGCAAAGAACGAACAACACGCTTCAGCGATAATAAAGATTCGAAAAGCGCCGCTGCTGTTGCCGCAACGTATATGTCGAAAATACACAGCGCAACTACAAATTTAAGTGGAAATCCAAATGGCACAACTATTTTCCCTATAGCATCTACCACAAACGCCTCCTCAGTGGTGCTGGCCACAGGCAGTACGTCAACGTCATCGACTGCAATGCCGCCCGAAAGTACCCATATCGCATACAATGTAGCAAGTAAACTTGTTGACGATAGTAGTGGTGGTTGCGTAACCGCACTAAATAAAAACTTATTAAACGCAGCTGAGGCTGCTTATGAAAAAGTAACGAAAAGTCATCGTGCGAGCAGCAGTCGTTCGTCCGCTTCACGCACGGAAAGGGAACGCAGTCATCATAGCAGGCATTATGATCATAGAGATCGTGAAAGTGATCGTTATAGGGAACGTGGAAGCGAACGAGAGCGCAAGCGCAATAGGGAGCATGAAAGTACGCGTGATAAGGATCGTGGAAAAGAGCATCGCCAGCATAAAAATCAACGAGATTACCACTCTAGTGACGAGGATGATGGCAAGCAGGAATCACAAACATCATCAAGTGATACGGATACCTCGAGTACGTCATCATCAACATCGTCATCATCTTCCTCGCAACAATCAAGCCACTACAGTCGCACATCGACTTCGTCTAAGAAAAGGCGTGAACATGAGTATGATCGACGTAAAAGCCGTGATGAACGTAGTCATCGCAGCACAAGGAGTGGGCGCAGTCGCAGTCGTCAGCGCAGTCATCACCATAGTCAGCGCAGCAGCAGATATCGCCACTCCAGCGCTGAGGATGACAACGGCAGTCGAACACGTCATTCAACTTCGCGACATGGTTCGTCGAAGAAACATTCGCGTTCCCGTTCACGTTCAACATACTCATCTTCATCGCATTGGCGTCGACATTAATTCAATGTCGCCTGTGTGTAGTCTCTTTTTAGTGTAAAAAAGAAATGCATTGTATTCTTTCGAATGCTTTATTTTTTTATTATTATTTTTGTCTTGATTTAAATATTTTCTTATGTCTCTTATTTTAACTACAGGTAATATATATATACATATATATATATATATATATATTTGTGATTTCTCTTTCGGCATCATTGAACATAACGGAATTATTGTATATAAAGAAATTCGACTTCAAATAGGTGTATTTATTATACATTTGAAAATTAAAAATATATAAAAATATTCGCGTTGAGTAAAAATAAACATAAATAAAACTGAGCTTTTTAGAAATCCGCTTGAAAATAAATATAATAAATCATGCTTCAAAACTAAATCTTTTGTTTTAAACATTATTTATAAAATTCTTAAAGTTTTGAGCCAATAAATCAGATGGTTGTCCAATAATTTGCGCTTCGTCAAAAAGTTGATGATTTATATCGCAATCAACGGAAAATCCGAGTGTTACAACGCAAGTCTCAAATCGTCTTCTGGAATTAACCACTTAGTGCCTAGTTAGCCGATACAATGTCAATCCAACGTAAACAATCCATAAAGTACAATAAAAAATTCACAACTATTGTATTATGTTACATACTTCAAGAGCGTTTTTTTTATTGTTGCCTTAACATGCAACCGTAGTATTAATTATTTATAAAATATTTTGCCTTCCGATAGCTGTTCGATAAAATACAATAATGCAAATCACAAATCAGTCGCAAGCATCAATTTTAATTGCTTTATTTAATCGACATTTTGCGTATGGATCGTTTTCGGCATCAGGTGGTGCAGCATGGTTATTTGCCATGCGGTGAGTTTTGAGTGCCGTACCGCTTATAAAAGCCTCGTTGCAAATATTGCATTTATAAGGTTTTTCTCCAGTATGTCGACGCATATGAATACGCAGGTCATTCGATTGTGTGAACGATTTATGACATTCCGAACATTTATACGGTCGTAGTCCCGTATGTATACGCATATGTCTCGATAATTTATTTGGCCTAGTAAACGATTTTCCACAAATAGTGCATACATGTGGCCTTTCGCCGGTATGTTGTCTCTTATGTACGACTAAATCTTGGCGACGAGGAAAACCCTTTTGACATTCATCACATTGGTATGGCTTTTCACCTGTATGTCGGCGTATATGTATCACTAAGCTTGCTTGAGCGAAGCTACGACCGCAGTGGGGGCATATTCCACGCTTGTAAGTTTTTTTTGTTTTTGCACTGTCAGTTGGATTTGTATTCGATTCAGCGTCATTTGGAATTGTGGTCGCCGGGTGCATAGCTCTAAGGTGTCGCTCCAAGGCAAAGTGTCGGGCAAAAATACGTGGACAATGATCACATTGTATTGGCTTGTCCTCAGTAGGTTTAGGCGCAATAGCAGCAATACACTCCGCTGGCACATTAGTATGTGCTGTTTGTATATGCTTTTCCAACGTAACATTTCTTGCGAAAACTCGTTCACATTGGGGACACTTGCGCCAATTGGTTGTGACAAATGTTCCAAGGCGAGATCCGATTGCGTATCGTGCTTGCTTTTTCCCAACAATACCAGTATTTTGGGATGTTCTTTTATGCCTCCTAATCAAAAAATTAACAAATTTTTCTTTGATTAAAAATGGATTTATAAAATTTAAAGAAAATATATTACTTCTTGTTGTTAACCGGTTCTGCTTGTTCTGTAACATCTTCAATGTTTACCGCTTCAAATTTTACAAATTGAAGCTCATCGTCCACATAAGTTTCATTTTTGTTTTCAATAGAAACCTCGTCATCACCTCTTTCATTGTCTACATCTGCAACAGCTTCCTCATTATTATAGTCGTCGAGTAGATATTCTGTCTCTAATGCTTCAACATTTTGACTATCATCAGTACTCGTTGTGTCATTTTTCAACTCAGTAATAACAAACGATTCTCCATCTGTTTTTACTTTTGTAGGAAACGACTTTTGATATTGCCTTAACAAAGTTTCTGACCGTTCCACTAAACAAATATAATCATAAGCACTTAGAAGTTTAAGGGTACAATCTGCACAGATGCGATTTGGTAACGTTTGACCCCCACATTGATTGCGAGCCGGTGTCTGAAAGAACAAATCAACATATTACAAACACAAAATGTAAGCGTAAGCGTTAGTTTTGTTTTTACTTGGACATTAGTAGCACGTAGGAGTTGCATAAATAAGCTATTCAAAACAAAAGTATCATTGTCGTATTCTACTGCGTCGTCGAGGGAGTTTGTGTCAGCAATGTTTTGTAAACAGGTACGACAAGATTCATCGCTAAGGGTCAAGACACTGTAGTCAGTATCCATTGACTAAATCTCTACACTGTATAACTATCTGAACAATGATTAACGGTTAAGAAAATTTATTTAAATTATTGGATTAGAAAAACTATTCACGTCCGTGATAAAAAATAAGAGACTATAGAGATGTGCTTACAAATATAAACAACGAACATATTGCGATGAACACGGAGGATAAAAAAAAATCGAATCGACGATAAATTGCCAGAATCAACTAGGCGATTTCGTAGTTGCCAGAATGTTCTAGCGGCAGAGATTTGATTGGATTTTGGCCTTTTCGAATATATGAAAAATCAATATTCGAATCAGCTGTTTACTATCGCGATAAAACTGGCAAAAGAATAAATTTGGAAGCGTTTGATAAATTTATAACACTAAATAAAATCTACAAAAGTTTATAATAAGTTGCGCTAGTTTAGCTTTCATTTATTGGAAAAAAAGCAACGAAAATATTAAAAGGAAGATAATAAGATTAATGTGTTATATTCTTATGTGTTCCCCTACAGAAGTTAAGATAAATTAAATCGTAATAATAAAAAAAGTTAATTTCTTTACTTACGTTTCAAATCAGTCAGCGAATATCCTCTTGCTTTGTTTTTTATAATAAAACCCCAAAAATAATTTTTTACATTTTCTGTTTCGAACATCAATCCAATAATATCTGAAGTCATGACTCCGGATTCTACAACTCCCCTGAATATTTAGATATTCTACCGTTCTTGTATAACTCGCTTTCCCAATTTCGAAACTAATTAATGCGTTTTCAGTTCAGTTCATTTTCAATTTATAAAACGCCATAATTAATTCAAAGTAAATGTTTAAAACTAAATTACTTATTATACCGACATATAACTTATGCACATGCATACTCATGTAAAACAGTTAAATTTTGCCCATTCTTATCAGTCAATTAATATATTTTTTATATCATTCTTTTCTTATAATTGATTAAATGTTTTTGAGTTTAATTTCGAGCACTCAATTCCGATTTTATGACTAAATTTTCGTCCTTAATTGCAGTTGTGGTGGAAGTTGTAGAAGTAGTATCCTTCTCTTTATTTCCAAAGTCTGGGTATAATTTCGCCACTTGTCCGACGGGTGTACAAAGACGACCTGAAAAGTCAACTCGCTTCGCAGACTGACTACGTTCGGTACTACTGACAATGTCCAAAAGGGATCTGTAAAGTCAAAAGTGAAATAGAAAATAAGGGGAATTAATACTAAACATCTCATACCGTTGTCCGCCACTGAGAGCACGTTTGTGGGTCTTATGAATTCCGATGCTACTATTGCTGTTGTCTATTGAATGCGGAGGCGACATTGGAGAATCACGCATTACAGCTTTAGTAGTTGAGTCACCTTCAATACAAATTAGATTAATTACATTAGTGCAATAATCTACTGTTCATTAATCAAAATAATTATTATTTACTTTGGTACTTAAAGCAATCCTCTTTTAAAAAAATATTCTAGTACGAACTCTAACAGAACTAGTATATTTGTATATACTTAACAGTGCTACTATAACAATAATTACATTTTTGTAAATTTTTTAAATGGAAAATGTAGGTTTGAAAAATACTGTTATAGCAAGATAAGATATTTTTGATTATTTATTGATGTGCGATAATAAATAATTTACTTACGACTTCCTTCGTTTTCTGTTTTAACTGTAGCATCTCCGCAGGCAGCGCGCACATTTTGCACGCTTTCTAAAATGACTTTGTGATGTGGGGTTGTTGCATAGGCACGTATCAGTAGTTCTAATTCGGCACATAACAACTTGTACTGATCACTCTTTTTTGATCCTTTTAACCTAAAAAACATATTTTTAAATCTATATTTCTGCATTTGTAAACTAAAAACTAACCGTCCAACTCCCATATTTGGGAATGGTAGAGGTTCCCCTCGTGACGCAACAGTATAAAGCTCGAAAATATATTGCTGACATTGCGCCTCATCAGCTTTATCCATATCTTCTTTGCTAATTTTGCGTAAAAAATATGGCACCCAGTTAAGGTTCCGCTGTAGATTAAATATCAAACTGGTGTTAAGTGTCAGGGGAAAATAGCGTGAGCGTCGGTTAAGTCGCTCGCGTGCTTTGTTCAGGTTTTCCTCACTCTTCGGCTTCACTTTGAGTGGTACAAAGCGATGAGCTTTAATAAAAGATGCAAAATCAGATATACGATAGTCGGTTACACGTCCACCTGGCCCTTCTGATATTGATGGTAGGTCTTCAAGACATGAACGTGTGATTTGTAAAGCATGTATGAAGATTTCACCACCACGTGCCGAGAGTAAATGACTAGTCGTTTTTCCACCAGTTTTTCTATAATAATGTAATTTAAGCGATATTCCTAATAATTGAAAAATATACAATTTACCTTGGCATTTCAAGCAACACTGAACGGCCATTTAATAAAAACGTAATGAGACAGGCGCTTGGTCGTGATGTGACATCAACCGGAGTTACACGATGTTGGGCTAAACATGGTTGCATATCAGAAGAGCCACAACCTCTTGGTGTGCACCACTTCAAAGTAACGGTTTCATATTCAGCCCCTTCTTTACGGCTTGTGGGTAACAGTGTTTCACTGCCACATATTGAAGTATGGGCATTTCGAGCATGTAAAATTTCCACATCATAATTTGCGCTAGAATTGGCATTTTGTTCTTCCTGTAGGAATAAAGTTATTAATAATAACCCTTACATACATATATATGTATTCATATTATACTTTCATGGGTATTCCAGTTACTGTAGTACTTGCTAAGTCATAATGGCTCATAATAAGATGTGTTAATTTATTTGAAATATTAGGTGCACTAGTAGTGTGAATTTCAGTAAATAACCCTGGCGCAAATTCCATCTTGGCACGGTTCGTAACAAGGGAGTCAATACCCTGAGGTACAACATTTATAATTACGAAATGACTGAGATCAATGTGTAGCATTTTCCGTTGTTTAGCCGCTAAGTCATTTTGCTTTTCCAGCACATTACGGAATATATTTTCCAGGCTCAACATACTAGTGTTATCGCGTGCGGAAGTTATGCATATAACACGTCCCTTATTTGGCATCACATTTGGACTTCCACCCCTTTCGCGCTCTTGTAGACGTGCAAGCTGAGCTTCCGTTGGCTCAGTTAATGCTTCTATAGCGGCACGTAAACCATGTATTACCGAGAATTCCGATGACATCGCTTCATCCTCAGGTGGAATACCAACTAGTGCCATGGCATTTAATACATGAGACATATTTTGTGTAGCCAGATTCCAAGTGTTAACAATATGCGCAGCTGTGTCACTGACAATGAAACGAACTAATTTACCTCGTGGGAATAGGTCCCATACTATACGACAGTATTCTATAGAAGACTCCACTGAGCAAGTCCATAAGCTTTTGCTGAATCGAACATCCTCTCCAAAGGAGTTAGATGCATCATTTGTTGCTTCGGGGATACTCGGTTTGCCTTTGAGTAATTCTACAGGAATGTAATCCTCGCTTGAAATGCCAAAATATTGGGTATGATCTAGTACGAAAATTGTTTTCTGGTTAAGATCGTAAGCCGACATCTTTCAGACAAACACTAATCACAATAATATAATCAATTAATAATAAACTGGGCTTCTGTCATTTCACAGCAATATATTTCTACAGGTCTTTTATTTCATTTACAATACAGCAAATACACGCTTTGCTATCGAAAAATAAATTCAACGATGATTTCGAGTTCGATCACTCGATTGTTAATTAAAAGTCGTCAAATTTATCATACGGGGTTAGTTTTTTCTTTAGTCCTCCTATATGTTGTGATAATTCTTGTTTGAATCTTTCTTAACGAAATTAAAATTCAAATAACAAAACATAAAAAAACTCATAACTGCCCTATACATATATACAGCTGCTTCAATTTTTTTGTAGAAATTCAGTGTTATTTTGGCATTATTATTTCATCCCTAAGAAACTTTTATTTCACAATTGATTAGCTCAGCTGATCATTTCTTGGCGAAATCAAATGCATATGAAGAAGAATTCGCCGCGGTTATCACGTTTTAATAATTTGCCCAATAGAAGATTACACACAGTGAATGAGTATTTGATTCTGCCACCATTTCTTTCAGTTGTATTAAAGTAAAAATATAATAATTTTTGAAAATGTCCTGGTTACTCGGAAGGAATAGAACTCAACAACCTCAAGAACAATTAAGTGTGGATGGAGCGGACCCAGATGGTAAAACTGCGGGGAGTCGTAGCGGTGATGCCCAGCTCAGCAATGCGGAGAGAAAGGCCATGGAGGCTTATCGTTTTGATTCCTCAGCTCTGGAACGAGCTGCGGAAGCAGCACGGCAATTGGAACGTTCAAGTAAGTAACAAACCATGCATTCAGCGAATGTTCGTTCGCCGGTTGCATAACCACAAAGCGGTATAATTTCATGATAAATATATATATGTATGGTTATATGTAAATATTTTACTCGTTTTTAATAATAACTTTATACATTTAAAATTTAATAATAAACTTTTGATTACTCGCATAGAACATGCCCGCGAAGCTTTGGAACTTTCCAAGATGCAGGAATCGACAAGGCAGCAAGAGTATCAGTTAAAGGTCAAAGAGTACGAAGCTCACATTGAGCAAGCTAAAGTTGAGCAAAAACGAATTGATCATGAAGAGAGACGAAAAACGTTACTTGTAAGTTATTTTTTTAATGTATTAATAAATTACTAACGAATTTTGTGGACTATTGGCAAATTTATATTGCTAACAAATGAAAAGATTTTCTTATATATTCAACTATTTATATGCTTGCAGGAGGAAACAAAACAACAACAGTTGCGAGCTCAATATCAGGATCAGTTGGCAAGAAAGCGTTATGAAGAGCAATTGGCACAACAACAGCGGGTCCAAGAGGAAAACCTGAGAAAGTGAGTAAATGTTACTTGAATTATGATCAGTATTAGTTATATTTACGTTTATTCCTAACAGACAAGAGGAGAGTGTGGCCCGTCAAGAGGCCATGCGACGCCAGACCATCGAACATGAAATTGAGATGAAAGAAAAAAATCGACTTAAATTGCTGGAACATGAAATGCGAGTCAAGGCTAAGGTAGATCGTGAAAACCGCGACATCAACTTGGAACAAATACGTTTAAGGGCCCAAGAGCATCGCACAACTGTGCTTGAAGGCATACGGTAATTTCTTTTATGATTTATTTTTAAAATGATTGATTTATGTAAAGCATTAAACAATTGTTATATAATTTTTTAGTACTGCCGGAACAGTTGTTGGAGCTGGAGTTGAAGCCATGCTTACTGACTGGGACAAGGTATTGACTGCAGCTGGTGGTTTATCACTGCTCGCATTAGGTGTTTACGCTGCAAAAGGAGCAACTGGTGTGACATCCCGTTACGTAGAAGCGCGAATAGGCAAACCAACATTGGTTGGTGAGACGTCGCGTTTTGCATTTCTTGATGCCATGCAACATCCAATCAAGTATGTGCAAAAACTGCGTTCTAAACCAGCTGACGCCTTGAAAGGTGTTATTTTGAATCCCAAGTTAGAAGAACGTCTTCGGGACATTGCTATTGCAACGAAAAATACGCGCGTAAATAAGGGCATGTATCGTAATGTATTGATGCACGGTCCACCCGGTACCGGTAAGACAATGTTTGCCAAACGATTAGCCGCCCATTCGGGTATGGATTATGCCATCATGACTGGTGGTGATGTAGCACCTATGGGTAAAGAGGGTGTCACTGCCATCCATAAAGTTTTTGACTGGTCGCAAGCTAGTCGTCGCGGTTTACTACTCTTTGTGGACGAAGCTGATGCATTCCTACGTAAACGTTCATCAGAACACATATCCGAAGATTTACGGGCTGCTTTAAACGCATTCCTTTACCGCACATCTGAGCAGAACTCCAAGTTTATGTTGGTGTTAGCTTCCAATACACCCGAACAATTTGATTATGCCATAAATGATCGTCTCGATGAAATGGTCGAATTTTCACTGCCTGGCTTGGAGGAGCGTGAACGCTTGTTGCGACTGTATTTTGACAAATATGTATTGCAGCCGGCTTCCGAGGGCCACAAGTAAGTTATTAATAGTATGCCATAGTGTATGAGTTAGATGAATAAATGTTTTAACTTGTAATAGGCGCTTCAAACTGGATCAATTCGATTATGGTGCTACTTGTACGGAGATGGCGAAAATTTGTGAAGGCATGTCGGGCCGTGAAATTTCAAAGTTGGGAGTATCTTGGCAAGCAGCAGTTTATGCTTCCGAAGACGGCGTTTTGACCGAAAAAATGGTGTTAGATCGTTGCCATGCAGCTGCCCATCAACACAAACAAAAGGTTATTTATTTAATGTTTTTGCCTTTACACATTTACATTTCTTACTGAAACTTACTCTTTTTGCAAACAGATGGCTTGGTTGTCCGAGCAAGAGCGCAGTGATCACAAATCTATAACCGGCGGAAAGAGCACATAATTACTATAAACTAGCGTAGAGAAAATTATATTTCGAAACAATGCCGGCGCTAACTTCCTATACAGAAACGTTTAAAAGCGTCAATGCGTGGTATGAGTGGGGTTGATGGAGTATGCCAGCATTTAAAAAATATAATTTTAGTTTCCTTTTTTTTTTATTATCCATAAAGTTATAAAATAAGTAGATTAACGACATCCGCTTTCCGCAAAGCTTTGAGACTGTCCAACACTGTTCAAGGGCAATTACAAAAATTTCCTTGCATTTAAATTTGTACCTGAATGTGGCAATGCAGTATGTAGAGGATTTGCGGACATGTTGCTATTATGCACAACGCTTTTTATCTGAATATATATCAAAACTGTTAGAAATTTATATTAAACTTCTACTTGATATAATTGGATGATATGTGTTATGCTTTTTGACATAAATCTCTGTTACCTTTAATCATATTGGAGTGTTGATTTTTTTTAAAAATTAAATAAGGAAAGTTAAATATACCTATGTATGTATGTACATTACTTTAAATCTTTTGTTGTTATTATTTTATATTGGTGAAAATTTCCGAATTCTTTAGATAATCGTAAAGAAAAATTCGAAATTTTAATTAACAAGAATAAACGTTACCCGTAAAATACCCTTCACAGTTCAATTTGTATGGCAGCTATAGGCTATAGTAGTCCGATCTGAACCATTTCTTCGGAGAATATACCGTTGCATGGACATTAATAAGTTACAAATTTCGTGAAGATATGTTGTCAAATAAAAAAATTGTCCATGCAAAGCGTGAATTTTGATCGATCAGTTTGTATGACAGTTATAAGCTATAAATGTGCGATCTGAATAATTTTTTCGGAGATTGTATTGCTGCCTTAAAACGAATTCCGTGCCAAATTTCTTGTAAATATCTCGTAAAATGCAAAAGTTTTCATACAAAGATTAGATTTTGCTATAGTTTTCCGATATCGACGGTTCCGACAAATGAGCAGCTTCTTTAGGAGAAAAAGAGGTGTGTGATCGCTATCTCAAAAACTGAACTCTAGTTCGCATATATACAGACAGGCAGACGTACATGGCTAAATCAACTCAGCCTCCTGGTCACTTATATGTATATATATATATATTTTATACTGTTGTTGTTGTTGTTGTTGTTTGTGTAACGGCAGAAAACATTCTTTAAGTAATTAGGTGGAATGCTATTTGACCGTCCTTGGACGGATTGAAGTCCGGGTCCAAACACATGTCCACGTAAATCCGACTGTCGTGGAAATATATATTTTATAGATACTTCGACGTTTCTTTCTGGGTGTTACAAACTTCGTGACTCATTTAAAATACCTTGTTCAGGGTATAATAGGTGTTGTGGTAGCGGTTATCTAATCCCCGCTTGGGTGGTAAGGTTCGGGTTGGTTGTCATTTACGTAAACGTAGTGTAAGCCGGGTGTAACCTATACTTATAAAGAAAACATCATAAAAATAGGGGAATAAAAAGAAATTTACTTAGCATATTTACTTTAACATTTAAAATGAAGAGCATACAATAATAATTTATAAAAAAGTACTTTCTCTTAAACGCTAAAATGATATCAGTATCTATTAGAATAAAGTATTGGCTTTAAATGTTAGAAGAGACCAAGAAAAAATAAAATCGATAATATACCGCCATATTTAACATTAATGTGTCTTAATAAATTAGACAATTTTGAAAAGTTCAAACAAAAATATAAACCTATCACTGAAGTACATTTTTTATCTTACCTTTAATATTTAATTCAACTAAACATATGTATGTTTACAATAGATAATTGTTTGTGAAATGGCTAATTTCAGCTGCCAATAATATGTATATGTATATACATATAGTAGTATATATGTCTACCGCAACAGTGAGCAAAATGCGATACAATTTTGACGATATGAGGGCATAAATATGTTAAGTGTTATACGCATGTATACAAGCAGGCAAGTTTATTTCATAGGAAGCAAAAAGTACGTTGAGAGCACCATAGATGAGAACAGACTCAATTATTGCAGAACCTTTTTAATACTATCACAGAAAACCGTGAAAAAAGATCAATTTGGGAACTGTGACTTAAATTTGATGACCTACTAAGGTCTACATATATATATAAATATATATAATTAGTAATAAATTCACTTTAAATGTTTACGGATTTTCGAAACTTTTTCTTAACTTATAATGGTTTATCTTTACTGGGTATTTTGAAGGCTCCTGATAAAGGATACTAGTTAAATAGCAGCATTTCTTTACAGTTCAACTGGGGCTGGTGTGTATGTGTGTTAATGTGCGCTTGATGAGATGTGTGCATGTCTCTTGGATCGCATTTTTTTGCTATTCGAATGTTAATGTGCACAGTGCAAATGCCGCTTATTATAAATACTTATTTATTAAACTATTAGGTTTTCTTGTCTAATTTCTAATTGCTTGTTCGCCTTGCTGTCGCGCTCCCGGATTGGAATAATCATCTTCTGTAAATACAAATGTTTAAAAGTATGTAAAATTTTCACATTTTGTTCATTAAATTACCATCTTCATCTTCTTCGTTATTTTCTTCCAATCGTAACTCATCGGGAAATTCCTTTCCTTGATCGCCTGCTACCTCATTGTTTAAATTATTGGTATCCAGCAAGTTGTGATTTTTAACCGCTATATCTCCAGCATCTACCGCGCCCACAAGCCCCTCGTCATCATCATTGTCTTCGCCTTTGGGCTTCTCCTCAACGTTGCCAGCCGGTTCATTTTTAACACCACCATCAAAAAAGTTATTTTCTTCGTTGGCTGGCAAATTGAAATTTTGATCGTTTATGAACTCATTATCTTTGATTTCATGTGCACCGGAATCCTCGTTGGCTGCATTCGCAGCCGCAATAACCTTTTCTTTATTTGAGGTCTTCGGTCCCATTTCGTTAATTGCATTTGCATATCTATTATTTTTTGCACCATCATTTTCGTGCTTTTGCTCCTCTGCTGCATTTACATCTGCCTCTTTGGCAAGATCCGCTCTCAGGTTGGCATTGTCTTCCTTCAAAAGTTCTTCAAAATTGGCTGGTATGGGCGCTACATTCTCCGGTAATTTACGTGGATTTGGTGGCATTGGTAGCGGTGGAAAGGCGCTATTAGTAGTAGATGTATTGTTTGTCTCTTTAACTGGAGCATTCACTTCGAGTACATGTTGTTCGGATTTTGATGCTTCAGTAGTTGCTGCCTTTCGGGGTGCACTTAATGGTAATATTAATTTGTTGTTAGCCGATGCCTCTGATTGGTTCGCCGGTGGCTGTCGCAGTTGGTTCAATACTTTGCCGTCAGCCTCAACTCCATCTTCAACTTTTTCGATTGGCTTTGGTAAAATCTGAAAATTTTCAACAGAATTTAGTATTAAGCTGCGGTTACTACGTGAAAGATATGGCAAAAAGCCGCCAACACCGTCTAACCCAACACCCCCAGCAACAATATCGCTACCAGCTTTTAAAATTACATTTTCATTATCAATCTCTTTATGCTCAACACTAGGTGCATTCGAATTTGAAGCTATTGTATTGTTAGTAGGCGAGATAGTTTGATTCGTTTTTGACGAAATAATTTCTTCCGTTTTGTTAGTTAGTTTAATATCGATGTGATATAAGCCAGCACTCACTGGCACTTGTTCATTAAAAGACTTCTCAATGCGCGTTCGCGGACTTGTGTTGCGTGATGTATTCGGCGGATTCAAAGGTTTTTCATTACTGTTGTTACTTTTGGTCTCAGGTTTATAATCACAATGCTGTTCATATTGGGCGATTCTGTGTTCCAAGTTTATAACTTTGCTATGTAACTCCATCTTTTTGCCAGACGCGTCCAGCAAAATCTCCAAACGTTCCTTTTCGGCAAGAATTGAATTATATTTTTCCTATAATGTTTTAATATGATGATGTACAAGTAATTAATTTCTAAACTATAACTGTGTAATGTTTCAACTTACTCTCCACAATGTAATCTCCCCATTGAGTACGTTTTTCTCTTTATCTGCCTCCGAACGAATAGATTGTAGTTTCTTTTCCAAAGCATTGGTACTTTCCATTAGCTCTTTCTTGCTATTCTGACATTCAGTAACTAGTTCATTATGTTCGCTTTTCAATAACTTATGAGCCTGTTGTAACTTATCATAACGTAAGTGTATATCCATTTGTTCATTTGTTCGCAATATAGTCAGTTCTTTCAGTTTTTGTTCCAAATTATGTCGAGCTTCCATTTGTTCATTTCGCTCCTGTTCCAATGTTTTTTGTTGATTGTATTTTTGTTCCACCATATCTGGAAATAAGTATAATATATTTAGACATTTCTAACAATAACCAATTTACATCCTCTCACTTACTTTGTAGTTGTTCATTGAGTTGTTCCTGTTGCCTTTCGCAACGTAAGCGTTGCTCGCGTGTCTCATCCAATTGTTGTTGAGAACTGTGAAAAATCGCCACCATACAAAGCATCGCGGTCAGTACAGCTAAACACACAAAAAACCGGCAACGGCCTGTGCGAGCAAATCTTGTTCCAGTCATATTTCTGGAGGCGGTCCTTGCCAAATTTACTCCCTTTTTGTTAACAATTTTTCCAAATATTTTGGAGGATTACAATATAAATATATTTTTTAGGTCTCCTAAATAGGAAAAACAAATGTAGGTAAAAAGATGTTGCCACTTTGTTTGTTGAATTATTGAATAATGCCACATCTCTTTCATTATTTAAAGTAAAGAGAATGAGCAATCGAAAGTTATTTTGAATCCTATACAATTATTTAAATGCATATGTATAATTTTATCTCAATAATCGCACTAGATCAAAGGAATTGTAAATATTCTGAATCCTTGCAGTTGTTTCAAGGATGACATTGTTTGACTGTTCTCAGATCCAAGAAACTTTCTTCATAAGGTGGTAGCTTTTTATTGTTTGACGTATCGATAAGAAAAACAAAGTAATATTCTTGTCAAAAACATCTGTACAGTTTTGCACAGAATCCAATAAGTGCGGTTGTTGGTCTGTGGGTAAGGATTCCCGTACATTTTTGCGGAAATTTGCATTTAATATTCAGCTACAAAGTGTTATAAATATACAAATTTCCGATACAAAATAGTGACGTCTAGCACAAAATTACACGCAGAAAGCTAGTACGTGTGCCGCAAAGTATTTTGATTACCTCCACTTCTTATAAATAAGTACACAACAAATATCAGTAAAGTAAGTAGCCAACAGGGCAGTTGCTCGAAATCATGTTTTTGAAATACCTCCCTTGAAAAATCAATGCTTTTAGATTATCTACGATACCGGTAACTTATATAAGCGCTTAACTGGTCTATGACTTTTGACTACTAAAGCTTATCTATATAGGGTATATCCATCGTAAACACACATCTACTTGCGGATTTAGTGCTTGATAATTTATATTTACAATTTAAATTCGTCAATTATTATTTATACCTTTTTAATGTAAATTTTCAAGTTCAAAGTGCAAATAATCTATCTATCTCCAAAAAAGTTAGTTAGTTAAAGGATTAGTAAACGTTGTAGTTAAAATAAAGTTCATAATGGTATCATAATTTTTTACCTTCAGAAATATTAATAAATTATGATAAAAATGAAGTATTTTCTTCGTACATTGGCAAAATTACACCACCACATATACATAACTTTTTAGACATATATGCATGTGAAATTTAAAAATAAAAAAATATTATTTATGATTCCATTATATCTACAAATATCCAATTAGAGTGCATTGGTTTTACAAGTATTGTATATGCACACGAAACTTGTCTTATCGAATTTATGCGTAGTGTAGCCATTAACAAATAGAGCTGGCAAATAATAAATAAAAGCCCATAAGGCGTGTATAAAACAATATTGATAAAGACAAAGATAATAATACTTGCTTAGTATTTGAAATAATCTGATTATATGCTTTATTATAGAAGACCACTATTACTGTAGGTAAGGTAAAATATATTTTGAATATAAAAATATATTTAGATATGTATCCTGTATATAACTGTTTATATGAAATTTAACACAGTTAAAAGCATAAATGGCTCAATTGTTTAAAGTTTTATATATGTTTACATATTCCATATATAATGTCACACTAAAATTCGAATTTTTTTCATATAATTACAGAATGTCTCAACAAGCATTGCCACAACCGCAACAACAGCAATTTGCGTAAGTTATTTTTCACGATCAATTAAAAACCATTGGCGTCTCAATGAATTTTAATCAAAGACTATTATATCTTTACCATGAAATACTATAATACTCTTCATAATATGCCATCACAGAGTTGATGAATATTGTGTTGACAACCCTTTAGAACAATGTCTAAAGATTTATAAGAATGTGTAATAATATTAACGCGAAGATTGCTAATATATAATATCTTGTCTTCGGCCCTTTTACAGTAATATAAATAATTCCATACATTTCTTCGTAACACATGAAAGCCATTTTAATTGAACACAGTGGTTTTATAAATTGTCTGGCAAAAACGGAATTAAAACATTTTAAAAAATTTTTGTGTGTGCAAAAATACCTCGATTAACTAAAATAATTATTCAACAATAACATAAAGCACCATTCTTTAGCATCGTGAAAACAAGATATTCTGTGCATCAGTAAGATTTCACGGGATTGTCCAACAAAAGGTTCCTGTCTATTGATTTAAGAAAGTGCTCAAAATATATAGTTGCTGTGTATTATAATATTTGTATAACAAGAGTCAATAATAGCGTTAAATATTTTTGACAAACAAGAGCATCGAATTAATGTACTATGCGCCATACATATATGTATGTAGACCCGAATTTCGATGAAAAAACGATTTTTAACAACTTTTCTATTATGATGTTCGACATACATATAAACTACTACATACTTATGTATTTATAAAGTTTAGATTGTTTTGAAGAACATTTTTTATATCAAAATGAAATACATATTCTGGTAAACAATCCAAACATTAGAACCTTGGCACAAAAATGTATTATAAGTATACCTGTTAAACCACTTATTATAAGGTAATCACCCCAAGGACATATATACTTATATGCATGTATTTAAATATTTTTATTAATATGGTATATACATAAATATTTTTTAACCAAAATCCAATGTGTCTATGAATATTAAAGAAATTCGTTAAAGACGAATTTTTACGAAATCGTGAAACCTATCTTGTGAGATATATTTTTCATACAACACAAAATGTTAGACACACACATAAATAGCTAAGGCTCTGTTTGCCGTATTAATTTGCATACATATACTATATATTTATAAATATTAATAACTGTCCCTTGTCGTTCTTGCTTGTCCACTCATTGCACGTTAAGGTGCCTGTTTTTATTTAAATGCGAACAAAAATACTTACATCGGTGAATATACCATATACATACTTACATTTGGGAAAATGCGAGCAGTATTTATTCTATTATGCTGTTCGCAAAAAACTGACACCCGCCAAGGTTGAAAATATTTGAAGTGTATGTAGGCATATTAAGAATACTGTAATATACATACTATGTCAAATTATTCAACGAATTTGCTTATGTAGATGTACATATGTATGTACATACATATTTATATGCCAATTTATTATGTCTGATAAAAATGTATACATATGTATAAACTTTATTTGTACATTTTGTCAATCGAAATAAATACACGAAAATAATTATAATTATAGTAATTTCAAACAAATTTCAAGCTACATAACTGTAAATATTTCGGCTGGCTTCCAAATGGCTTTAAGTGCTAATTCTTCATTAAAGCAAGGAAACCATTAACTTCGGTTGTTCCGAACTAACAAAAAAGTTTCTATACCAAAACTTGATTTTGATCTATTGAAAGTTCCGTAGACCCGAATGTCGTGGGAACGGCATTTTATAGGGTCTCCGTTGTTTCTTTCTGTGTAATCTTAATGCCAAACTTAATATACTCTGTTCAGAGTATAAAAAATAAGAACTATCATCCAGTGGTCGATATGTACAGTAGTGGTCAATGAAATGAAACCCTTGAAATTTTGAAATACAAATCAAATCCTTTAAATATTTGTCTTTTTATTGCTCTTACATAACCGTGTTTTGAAGAGCAGGTGTTATTGCATAAAAAATTATAATTTTTAAAGTTCTTATCCTAATGTAGGTGCTAATTAGAAGAAAAAAACATAATGGCTCGCTGGCGTATGAGTATCATTTAATTATACAAGTATGTTCTTTGTATTTGATGCAATTTTTCGTTGTTCTGACAAAAATAATGTTTTATAACTAAAAATAAATGTTTAAAATATATGTTAGTATTTTGTATGCCCTCCTCGAGCTTTCCGAACAGCCGTAATCCTGTCGGACATTGATGCAATCAATTCGATGTTCTTGGGCAAAAAGCAGGCGTGCAGTGCGTACACTCATATCCACCGAATATCGCTCCTTCAACTCTGAGCTTAGCTCCACTGATGTTAAAAATCGGTTCCGCAGGCTTAAGTTCTTTAAATTTCGGTCCATTCTAGTAGATGTTTTTTTCTTTGCGAATCCACTTCCAGGAGCTCAGTCCAAAGAATTAGTTGCCTCATATAATTTATAAAACTTCAGAATGGACACATGGCTACACCCTATGCGTTTTGCGACCGCCCTCGCGGCTTCTTCATACTTGCAGTATGACCTTAAGCAAATTAAACGAAAAATCGCAAGCAACTGTAATTAACGGAATCTTCAACAGTTACTTAGACAAATTCCAAAGAAGTGCTTAACACGTAAGAGGAGCAAAAGTTGGATAATATTTTTTAAAAAATGTACTTGGAATACAGCAAAATAAAATTTTCAACCGTGGTAACATTTTATTGGCCACTACTGTAGCTGATAACAGTTGTTTACTTCAATATCTGTTTGTTCCTCAAAGTTTGTTTTGTGTAAATATGATATGTATGTATATGGTATACAATAAACAATCAAAATGTGTGAAATTCTATTTTTGCGAGCGTTAAGCCAACAGTCGATCTACATATGTACTTATGTATGGTATATGTATATTAAAGTTTGTATATTAAAATATATATTTAACTTAAGAATTTTCGGTTTAAAATAAGTACTTGTTTAGCATTTTCTATTTGATTTTATAATTTATGTACATCTGTTGAACATTGCTCGAAGCTCTGTAGGTGCCGTTTCACATTGGGACGCAAAAGAGTCTCATACAGTTTATTTATGAGGGGACGACGAGGAAAGACGAAGGGACCGTGCCACTCGTGTTCGGGTGGCACGCTTTGTGTTCTTGTTCGTAACAGCTCGCTGCTACCCTTTTGAGCATTCATTTTCACTTTCAAATCCTTTGAATGGTTGCAAGAGCGCTCGGTTTCAAATGAATTCGATCGCAAATTTGAGTTCTGTTATCTATTTTTGTATGTAATATGCAAATACGTATGCATAGAATAATAGAAATATTATGACAAATTGTAAATAAGGAGAAAATTAAGATATAGATTATGGAGTAAAGAAATTATGAATTTTTAATACGGAGTAAAGAAATTATGAGTTTTTAATACTTAAAGATTAGGAAATTCCTATTATAAATTTGGCCTTGAAAATATTAGTAGCGGATATTCAATACATTCTTGTGGATTAGGGAATTCCCGTCTTTAGTATTTTTTTGAAACTATTTAGCGGGTAGGTACTTGTATTATGCATATTGTTCTACCATATTCATGGTAATTCATTGCAAGCAAGATGTGTGACCATTATCTCAACATACAAATGAAATACGCAGCACGCAGTGTTGCGCGGTGTTGCGCAGTCGAACCGCACAAATATTTACGAACATTTTGTGAAAAGGAATGCAGAAAAACTAGACTCGAGTTGCTGGACTCTTTTTGACCGTGTGAATGCCCAGAGCGACACCAAAAGAAAATTTGAAAAACATCAGACTCTTTTGCATCCCAATGTGAAACGGCACTAGTTAAGCGCATTTATTGTTTAATTATAGCTGATGCTATAGCACCGCTATGATATGTAATTATATACATACGTATGTATGCACTTATACCCATAACCAATCAAATTATTTTCAATTTTAAGCTTTCAAAATACCAATATTTGCTACCAATAAGCATTTGTTACTAATTTAATAGGAATAACTGGCAATAAATAAAAAGATAAGTAAAAAGGCTAAGTTCGTGCGTTGCGAAGTATTAGATAGATGTTAGTTGTTGTTTTTTCCAGAGGTGTAGATATATTAAAATCCACCTTATTTCTGACACAGACAAACATGTAAGAACTTTATTTGTCAAACTGAATTTTTAAAAGGGTATAAAGTTTATCCTTTATACTTCCATACGGACCTTAGGGTGTTCACTGGTTCTGTTTGTGCTAATACCTTCTGTTTCTGGAGTGTAAATGCATTCTATGTTGCTTCATATCAGCATTTTTTGTTTACATTCATTTTTTAAAACAGTAAGGGCTTTTGAGCATGCACTCTCGGAACTGAAGTCGTTTTATTAAAATAAGAATATGTAAAAGCTTGTACATATGAGGGAAAATGTTTAAAACTTGGTTCCTGGCATTTTATTCGAAATTGTTTGATTTGATCGTAGATTTTTTTCTGCTAACATCATTTATTAGATTCCGTGGCGCTTTTTACTTATTTGCACTCCATAGATGCAAATTTACTAAAAGTACCCTGCCTGTGTTCTATTACAGTTACACTAAGCGACTCACATTAAAATATTAAATATACATATGTATATATATTGTACATATATGTAAATATGTATGGAAATTATTTAGATTGGTTTTAAAATTTGTTACGCAGGACAAAATGCTGAAAGCGTCAATTTAAAAGTAAACTGTTCATTATAAACTGTTAATTGACATATATACATACATATGTATGTATGTCAAGTATGTACATATATATTCAAATATAAAATAGTGTCAATAATATAATTTTTGTTTGCAAAAAACAAAAATCGCCTGCCAACAAGCGTATATGCGATTATTGACAGCGACTCACTGTGCGCGTAAATAGGCACGCGCTTAAATATCAATTCTGGTTTTGAAAACAAATTTTTATAGTTAGCACATTTATTGATAAGGAAGTCTATTTAATGTTTATTCAATGAATGCACACAAATAATGAAGATTTATTACTAAAATTATTATGTACTAAAATTACACTAGTGGGGTTCAAACATTTCATTACGGTATTTAGTATGTCAGCCGTAGTAGTTTTTCCTCTGATTATGAGTGGTCGAATGGGAATAACTCAGCCGATACGCATACATAAAATATTGTATTAGTATAAAAGTTACCAAAAATAGTTCAGGAAAGGGTTAATGCTACTACTTGTTATATGTGCGACATACTTTTGCACTTTTGCTACATCTGGGTCAGAATAAATTGTTCGGTACCAACTTAGCCTTTCTTTTAGTTTCAACTCTTTTTATGCTCTTTATATATATGACTATCACCGTTATGTTCTGATTTTTCGTTGCTATTAATCATAATGACCTTGGGGGAGTCCATACATACATACCTACATACATAAGTATGTACATACATATATTACAAGTTCTTTTGACTCTATATTTTGCATACCTCTCACATTTCTATTTCTAATTTTATGTAAATCCAACATTTCCTTTCCTTTTTAGCCTGCTGCCAAAAATCATTAATGGCGGCATCGCCGGTATTATCGGTGTCTCCTGTGTCTTTCCTTTGGATTTGGTCAAAACTCGCTTACAGAATCAACAAGTGGGTCCAAATGGCGAGAAGATGTATAAAAACATGTAAGCAATATAAAATAATTAATTTTGTTTAGTTATTTAAGTTATTATAAAAAGGGTATTTTTGCCATATCGTAAAGGTTCGACTGCTTCCGCAAGACATACCGTGCTGAGGGTTACTTCGGCATGTATCGTGGTTCGGGTGTCAACATTCTACTTATTACGCCCGAGAAGGCTATCAAACTGACTGCCAACGATTACTTCCGTCACAAGTTGACTACCAAGGACGGACATCTGCCGATGAGCAGTCAAATGTTGGCTGGCGGTTTAGCTGGTGCATTCCAAATCATCGTTACGACTCCTATGGAGTTATTGAAAATTCAAATGCAGGACGCTGGCCGTATTGCAGCACAAGCTAAATTAACGGGTAAAACGGTGGAGAAAGTTTCAGCTACCAAATTAGCTTCACAGCTGCTCAAAGAGAAGGGCATATTCGGTCTATATAAGGGTATCGGTGCGACTGGTGCGCGTGATGTAACCTTCTCAATAGTTTACTTCCCGCTGTTTGCTACATTGAATGCGCTTGGACCGCGTAGAAATGACGGTTCTGGCGAGGCAGTATTTTGGTTTGTATACGAAGTGGAGCGTTTGCATTAAACCAATGGAATTATGAACTTGTTTTCAATTAAATTGCAGGTGTTCCTTCCTATCCGGTTTGACAGCTGGTTCTTTTGCTGCGCTCTTTGTGAATCCATTAGATGTGGTGAAGACACGTCTGCAGGCGATTAAGAAAGCGGATGGCGAGAAGGAGTTTAAGGGTATTGTGGATTGTATTAGGTATGTCCTAGTAATTTAAAAATTATTTTATTGTTGAATAATTATTGTTATTGTTATTCATTTAGCAAAACATTCAAGTACGAAGGCCCAACAGCATTCTTCAAGGGTGGTCTATGCCGTATGATAGTGATTGCACCACTATTTGGTATTGCACAAATGGTGTATTTCCTTGGTGTAGCCGAGGCGATGTTGGGCATGCAAACGAAGAACTAAACGCACACAGAGAAAAAATAATGTTTACTTTAGTTACTATAGAATGATTAAATGAAGTCAAAAGATCAATAGAAATTTAGCACTTAAAAAGGAGGTTTAGGTGATGATAGCAGATTAAAGAAAACACTACCAAACTGTAATCTATACATTCAGAATTGTATGTAATATATAAATAAGTATATGTCATGCATTTATTGTGTACTGTCCATCAATTTTAAAGACATAATTGTGAGCGTAATATGTACATAAATTACGATTGTTTTTGGAAAAATGTGTTAATATGTATGCATATGAATGTCATAAAATATGCTTAATTTAGCATTAATAATACAGTGAAAATAAAGCAGTCAATTCAAATATGTAATCTAAAACCAGAATATACATATGCTTAAATTAATTTCCAGCTAAAAAGGACAGTCGACATGTGCGTAGTCAACACTTTAATTGATTTACATATATTATATGTATGCATATACATAAATAAAACTTAAAACATAACAAAAAAGGAATTTCGCTCATAAAATGTGAATTATAAATTTACATTTTTATGCAAATATGTGCACACGCTTTTTATTACAAGCAACAAAAAAAAGCCCATTTGTGTTGAGTTCCAAAGAATCTTCCCATAACAATTAAAAATATGACAATAAACTGCAGCAGCTGTAGGTGCATAGCAAAAGAAAAAAAAAAAACAAAAACAACAAAACAGCCAATTATCAAATTCAATAAAAGTGAGAAAATAATGAATTTACAAATTAAGCTGTGTTTAACTGTAATACTAAAGTATACATTATACATACGAACATACTAATAAGCGATAAGCGAAATTTCTCAATTTATATAGGCTTTATTTGAAAATGAGCACTCTTGACATTTTTCAAAGCTATAAATATCAAAAACCATAGTATTTCTTGCAATTTAACATAACATACACTCTTGTTATTTTATCTCTGTTTTTTTTTATGTATATACATACATAAACAGTTAGTGCAAAGTTCATGTGGCTTAATGTGCATAGTAGCAAATATTGCTGCTTTAGGAAAATTTTCATTTAAATAAATAAATATTGTGATTGCCTCATATGTGTATTAAATTATGTAATCATAAATATAAATAAAATTTTGTGTTTAAATATGTAGAAAAATGAATTATTATCTTTACCTCGTGTATTGTTTAGTAAAAAGATTCTGCTTCGTTTTTATCAATTTCTTCAGATACAATCTTTTTCATGTTTTTGATGATTCACTTGGGTTTGAAACATGACATTTTTGATTTTGAATTTTTTCTAATCAATATGGGATGTGTTGGTTTGTGGCAATGTCAGGAGTACACTTATACTACTTACCGATCCAAATAGGGTTAGGTCGTAAAAATTAAACCCACCACTCTTACACCTCTCTCCGCATCGTAAGACCACGTCCACACAGCACGTTTCCTGGACATTCCGTTAGTTGATCTTGATGACAAGTTATAGGATCTGGAAAGCCGTTTCGATAGAAACAACAGGACACCAATACACCAGACAAATGTACATACATACAAATTTCGAGGCCAAGCATGGTTTAGAAGATTTCGCTCGATAACTGGGATTTTCATATAAAAAAAGGTTGTTCAGTTCTGTGACCCAGTAGATTAGAAAAAATGTGTAAGGTTGTAAGTAAGTAAAAATAATAAAAACGGCAATGGCCGTAATTACTCTGGAGAAGCTCGGAAAAAAGTTAGTTGTGGTAGCCCTCATAACGCGGTGTTGGATAATAGAAATTATATCGTTAGATAATCACTTTGCCTAGGAAACACAGGGATGTTTTTTAAATTAAAAAAATTTTAAAACGATCGGTACAGTAGGGTAAGGGTAAGGTAAGGGGCACCGGCTTTGAAAAGTTTTGACGTATGTATGTATATAAGGTATATAAATTGCTATAACTTCGCCAATTTCGCCCCAATCGACTTAAAATTTTAACACAACATTTTTGAAAAAAAAATTAAAAACCTACTCCCATCTTAATGGATATTTCTTTACTTAGTAGTTTATGAGTTTACAAACAGAAGTTTAGGGAGGCGTATAGGTGAACTAAAAAGATATAAATGAGTCTCATACATTGACATAGTTGTCATTGTTGTAACATTACTACTAATATATCTTCTTTGAATACTAACACACACACGATCTCTCGTCTCCAATAGAAATAATACAAAACATTTTATTTCATTTTTCTCAATAAGTTTATTTTCAAATAATTAGTGATTTACTTATTTTTAGTCAAATATCTGCTAATTTCTCTCTCCAACAGTCAGATAAATCAGTTACATTTTTTACATATTAAATATTTCATATAATTTAGCTGTGACACCAACAACTTGAGCACTTAGTGCAATTTTTAATAACTACGTGAAACTAAGTAGAAAACTAGAATTTTTCACGAAGCAAGTTTTTAGCTTTACATATAAATGTAATTAATGCATTTAAGGGGCTAGAAGATGTTTCAATTATTGTCTCATCGTATTATAGGTTGTCACACTAAAACAGTTAAATAAATTTCTATATTTGTAAATAAGCAGAAGAATTTTAAATATTGTTAAATAAACTGAAAAAATTATTATTATTGTTCTATATATATATATATATATGTATATGTATATGTATGTCTGTAGTCATTTCAGTTTTCCTCTTCTTCGTGCTTTTAACTATAAATTCTTGAAATGTTTACTTTCTTACATCGGCATATCACAACAATGCGTTACTCGCTATATCAGTTGCAGTCATTTAAATAACATCCGCCGGACGGTTCGTCGATACACCAGGCTCTGCGCTGTCATTGACTGTTTCATTGCTTAGATCTGCATATCGTCCACGCATCAAACGAGCTATTAGCGATCTATACCACTCAATAAATATCGCATTTCGATAAGCAATTGTGCCCATTTCCAGTATTATGAAACCCATTAATGTTATGAGATTGAACCATTCCCATTCCAACATAAATGCCATCCACCAAATAAGAAGCACACGTAAGCCATCGGCCAGTAGTCGATTCGCTGATGATGAATACTTTACAATCGTTAATGAAGCAAAATTATAACAAGCACTGGAGATAACAAAAATTATTAAAGGTGCCCATAATGTTGGATTACTGCGAAGTTGCGGTATAATATCGCCAAGATCGTCGAAAACGCCTCTACTGTTATGGTTAAGTGGCACTGGTGAGGGTAAAAAATTTAGACATACGCCCAGCAAAACAGTGATCAAAAGTCCGAAGATGCCTTGCCAACCGGTAGCCAACAAGGTCGGTATATCTGTACCTTTAAGACACTTTTCATCATAAACAAATTTAGCAGCGTGGAAAACTTGTGCGAAAAGTACCAGTAAGTTACCGGTTAATACTGCATTACTATCCCAGTTTGGCAATAAAATGCGATCATATGCGACGCGTTGTACATCAATAGATACTATTACTAAGATACCGCAACTAATAGTGAAAATAGCCATCCAGTGACGTGCTGTCAAAGTTTGATTAAGATGTATGGCACCAAATATTCCGACAAATATTAGAGCAGCAACTGAAATTATACATAAGCATATATTAATTTACTAATTAAGAAAAATTTGTCAATTAAAATTAAAACAAGAATTCCCTTCAAAAGTACTTTTTTATAGCACAAAATATACATCGATATCTCAAACACTGAGAAACTAGTTCGCTCATATACAGACGGACACACGGAGAGACATGGCTAAATCAACTCAGCTTATTACGCAGATAAATTATATATATTCTTTATAGGGTTTCTGACGTTTCCTTTCCTTAATATATCATGCTCTGACTTGCTGACTTGGTAATTTAAAAAGGGACAAATAGTATATATTTTCTGCAAATTAGTGGCTTAATCTATACATTACTCACCCCTTAGCATTTGAAAGCTGGATATATATGTTAAATAAAGCCCTGTTAATAGGATAACAGAAGCTATTACATCCAATGCAGCTGGTAGAAACAATTGCAGAGGTGAAAATTCAAGTCCGCCTCGTGTTAACACATTTTCACTCTCAGCACCCGTCTAGAAAAAATATATATTTTCATAAAAATATAATAGCATCTCCTTTAAAATAATAAAATCTCTTATCACCGCCACTCAATCGTATTACTGATTACATCCATACACACATTTAACTATACATATATGTTGACAACTTACGCCGCGCCGTTGAAGGAAAAAATATGCAGCTTTGTAAAAGACGAAGCAAAGAAATTGCCCTAAGAACATGAGTGCAGTTTGAACCACTGGATGTTGAAAGCGTCGCCATTTTCCATCGCTACACTCGCCTTCTAAGGTGTCACTCCATCTAAACAAAGACAGTTTTGATATATGTTTATAAATAATGCCTCTTAAACTTTAGGTAACGATAAGGAAGTTCAATAACTTAATACAATTTACGCAGTTATACTATAAATAAGCACTTACTTTAATAGTAGAACGTTCAAAGCTCCTGTACAAACGTATATTAGTGGTAAATACATCATCTTCTTGTTTGTAAAATTTTGCTCTAATTTAATTACAATTTTCCTATTTTTCGTTGTAGATTTTCTTGGCTGCTCTCTTGCAAGTATTCGGAAAATAAAAGTCAGGAGAAGAAAATAACAATGCAAAATAAAAACAAGAAAACAACGGCTAAGCAACAACAATTTGCAGATATATTTATATTTACAAGAGTTGCCACTTCAAATACAAAGAAACAACAGGGTTGCATTGATCTGCAAAATGTGAATAAATGCATTCAGTTCACAATGAAAAGAATATTTATGTAAAAGGAAGCGGAAATAAAATATATTTTTAAAATTTTCTTACTGGTAAGTATTGGTATTATTGTAGTGGTTGATGGGTTGTACTTATTTATTTCAAAATGTAGTATTCCAGGATCTACCAAAAGTAATATTTTTTTGCCGGAAAGTCATTTTATTTTATACAATAAAATAAAAACTTAGGATATTTAAGTGAGGTTTCGTCTTGACTTGACATAGATTTGAAAAAAATTAATAATTTTCAAAGTAATGGCTTATTGTGTTCATTCATTTATCGGATTTACTTAAAAATTTTAGAGAATATTTCTAATATATTATACTTTAAGAGGATGAGAATAATAAAACGATTTTTTGAAAACTCCTAACCCCTTAAAGGATGTTTCGAATGTGCATATCTCGAATCGGCAACTTCAGTTCATTAGATTTAAACAATAAAGTAAAAACCACACAATAAATCAAAAGAAATTATATATTTTATTATATTTCTGACCAATCATCTTTAAACATATCACAGAATTTATATTAATTTACAGTTCCTTTACCTTGAACATATGTATTTTAAAATGAAATTAAAATGTATATGGAAACTGATTGAATTGGAATTGTGTTGTCCAAAAAGTATCGTATGCTGTCGAATTGAATTTCACGATTTCACCTTTGTTTCGTTACGTCCATTTGAACTGAAAAGGAAGGACATCATAAGCAAATAAAAACAATTAAAATAATAATATTTTGTTAAGAACGGCCACCCCATACATGTACTGCTATCAAAAGCATTTTAACTATTTGCAACTCTCACCTGGGACAAGAAGTGTTTTGTGTATAAATATAATTCTTTTGTGTACATGTTTTGTAGTGAATTTTTAGTGATTTATGTTATCAGATTTATTGGAAGTCCTAAACCATTAATTCTATTAAAGCTCGTCCTTCTCAAGCGTGTATGTGACTTCCTCCACCGTGCCGAAGCGCATCGTCTCAGCTTCATGTATCACGTCTCCTTGATTATCATTTGCATTTTCTTGCCTTGGTACATATTCCACGCTGTCTGTGTCACTTTGATATGAAATGCGTGAGTCGAACGCTGCTGTTGAAGTATCAGGACTTGTAAGTGTGATTTTGGAACCGCGCGCAACTCTGTGTAAGCAAATTTGTGTGTATTTTTGGGTATTGTAGTGAAACTAGTTACTTAATGTTATTCAATTTGTGATATAATTATGATTATTAAGGAATTATTAATATGATGTGTGTATATGATTAATTGGTGTAGTATTAATGGTTGTGAATTATGTAATTTGTTTGATTGTTTGTTAACCGACAAATATACATATAAAAGCAGAATTTATACATACATATACATTTGCATTGTGTGCTTACTGTTATCACAATCATACACATGTAGTATATGTATACCTTATATACATTGCATTTGTTTGCTTGACATTTAAGCGTTTTTGGGTATCTATTGCCGATGATGCGTGTTGGTTCCTCGCAATTTTTGCGGATGTCTACATAATACATATAGTATATGTTCAAAATTTGAAAAAACGAGTGATGATTTTTTAGCATTGCAGAAAGCTTTTTGTGAAATGCACAGACATATACATACATATAAGCAAGTTTAAATATTACCTGTCACGAGTTTGCATATTTGCTTCAACATCCAAATTGCGTGGTTGACGGAAATCACATTCTAACGAGAATGCCGAATCACCAGGTGTAATCAGTTCGGGATCATTTTGTATGACAACAATATTAGAATAGAGTTCTCCATTTTTCAGCGTTTGACATTGGTCCAATTGGAAATTCATCTCCAATGTACGTGAAGTTTGTGTACTTGGCTTCACAAAACAAGGTTCACTTTGTTTATAAAAACTTCCACGTGTATACATCACGCCGGAAAAAGGTTTCTCCGTCTCCAGCATAACGTTCATAGAATTGGAACCGCATTTGAGATTGACCTTTTGTATACCCTGATCTGACCCTTCTATTTTGAAGGTGTCTGTTAAATCTTGCTCCCACATCTCTGCAAAAAATTAAAATAAATAAATACATCGTAATATGGTAGGTTGAGCGCTCTACAAAAAAGTCTCTTACGGTTTTTTCATAAAGTGAACCGATTAAAAGATATTAACGTTTAAAGTTTGATTATGTTAAGGCGAAACTTTTTTCCATAAATAAAATCGTTATATATCGGAAAACTCATTGGTTTGTAGGAAATTTCCTGCTCTACAAAACCGTCACTTGGCAAGCGAAAAAGATAATATTCGTTTTTTACCCACTCTAATATGTATTGGTTAATTTATGATATATTCTAATGAAATTCAGAACACTTATTTTTCTGGTAATAATGTGTCCTGATACCAAAACTCGATAAATTTGGATCGATACTTCTCCTAGCCCTTATAAATGTACCTAAAAGATTTCCGTCTATATATCTCAATTTAACTATATGGTTATATTATAATTAGCAAATTTTATGGATATCGATATGTTCAAGTATCTTCCCATAGTACTAATATAATGAATATGAAGATTGCGCTATTCAGATTTATTTTAATATAAATACCTCTGATATAAAACTAAGTGGCTAAGTGACATTTGTTTAAGTTGACAAAATACCAAATATAAGTTTTAACCATTCATAATTTCTTCGAAAACGAATATTAGGTTCTTTCATAAAAATTTTTATAGAAAATTTTGCTAACAGTTTTAGTTCCTTAGTTCCTATAGTTTGCTTCCTAGCTTGTTGTCATTTTTTTATTATATTTTCTTATAAAATAAATCTTCTTATAAATAAACAAATAAGTTATATTAAGATCAACATAGGTATGTACACATATGCATATATGGTATATGTTAGTGTAAAGCCTAATTCGCATAACGATCTGCTGATGAGTCTGCTAACCATTAGTATCGGCTGGGTTTCTAGAAAAAGTACTTTTGAGGTAAAACTTATATTTCTAATTTAATAAATACCGCGTTCTCGTTTTGCTGTTTACATGAAAAAATGGGAATAAATTTTGGTCGTATAATCAAGTCTAGTAATTACATTGGACGATTTTTTGTTTAACGATAAAATATTTGTCTCATATATTTGTCTGCATATATACAGATATATATAATAATAAAAGTATAAAATATTTGATTGAACAACTTTTATCTACCTAACTGGACTGATTATTTTTACCAAATATTTGAATATATCTACATTACATACAAAAAAAAACGGGGCCACTTTATTATAGAATTTTTTATGTAAACGAAATTTTTTCTCTCCAATTGTTAATTTTGCATTTCATAGATAATAACAATATTTTGATAGAAAATAGGCCATTAAAAAACTATATTGTGTTTTTTCTCAACTACAATACTCTACTAACAACCCCGCGTTTCTGACACTTTCTTTTGCTTTGTTCTTGTTGTTGTCGTTCACGCGGCCAAAATTCCGGTTTCGCGATATAAAATTCTTGGTCAAGAAGATTCGTTGACGTGCTCAGTACGTATTAAACCGTTTTATCTTCCATACATATTTACAAAAAAATATATTTAATATCTTCTTGTTTACCTGCTTTACTCTGTTCTTTGTTTTTATCATCACTTGATACATTCAATACGAAAAGGCAGAGGATGCTGATTGTAAGCAATATAGCACGCATTTTAGCGAAGAATATTTTATATTTGATAAATGTCAGTTTTTAATTGAGACTTCGCGACAACACAAATACACGGTATAACGAAAAGTTAGTTGCCGACAATGATTTTCCTTGATTTTCCTTCCCGAGACTATGGACTATGCGCTTAAATGCAAAAGTAACAACTGAAGACAAGTGCGCCGGTTGCAGAGAATATAAAAGCCAGCGCTGGCTGGCGGTGGTAATGTTCGGTGGTTGCACGAGTGATGACTTAACCACAAACATTACGCCAGCGGTGGACAGGTGTCAGCGGTAGTATGATTTTTTCACGCTGCCCATATATGTATCTATGTATAATATTTGTAAAAGAGAAAGAAGGAAAGAGAAAAGTTAAGAAGTTGCTATGCTCCCGGGGCGCTAAATATTCGTAAATAGATGAGTTGAACAGACGAACTCTTAGTGGCTAGTGTGGAAAAAAGAAGAGCGGTGATAGTAGACCTGATGGCAAAATATTGGCTGCAACATGACGAAATGCGGATGAATGATTGAATGAATAGTTGATAGCCGGTAAGTTGCAAATGTACACACCTATAAATAAGCGCATAGGTATATAACTGTTTGCAAGCATCGCCAATAATTAAGAAATACGCGCGTTTGTCTGTTGCATAAATGTAAAAATCAGTTTGTTTACATTTGAAATGCACATAAAGCGTATACATATGTATCTACATATACAAATAAAGATATATGAACAAATTTTTATTACATTAAGCTTATTTAACTCTGCTGTGCTAAATACAGTAACGCATGTGCATATATGTATTTCGAAATTATTTATGCACCATGTATTTGTTGCAACTCACTAGAAACATCGACAATTAGAAGAGATATACGCTAAGGATATAGACTCGTACATTTGCAGATATTTGCGCCCAAAGTTGCATTTGCAACTAATTTTAAAACATTTAAGAATTATTAATACAAAATTTACGAAAATAATACATTTTTGATAACTTTAAAAATAAGTTCAGGTAATTTTTCTGCATATATAAATCACTATAAAAATTATATATATTATAAAAAAGACTTTCATGTGATCGAAAATTCTCGGATTTATGAGGTAATACTCAACTTAAAGTTTGAAAAAAAACGTGTTTTTTGTGAAATTTTTGGAAGAGGATTTTTATTTTACAAATAAATAAATAAAAAGAATGTACATTTACAGAATTTAATGTACTTTAAAAATCGGTTATTTATTTTCAAAAAATTTGCATTGAACAAAATATCAATTTCTTTAAATTCACATTTGATATAATCCCTGAAAGTACTTTGATTGCAATTTTTAATTGCTTTCAAAAATTTGGCAAATATGTAATTCTGTTTACAGTTTTTAATAGATCTCTTCATTTCCGATAATTATTTTAGCCATTCTGTGCATTATTGAAGTAATCTCATTAGTGTTTTTTATGTCGTGGCAATTTTCTCACCCAAACGTGTTAGTTACAAAGAGGCAGTTAACGTCAACATGTCATCTTTGGCACTTTTTTATTTATGTACAGACGTTAGTAACGCTTGCTTCAATAAAAAATCGTGAGAGCTAAAACCAAAGAGCGTTTATTAAGTCGGAAAAGACACTTCGAAGCAGAAAGCGCAAAGAAGTGGAAAATTAAAATTAAAAGAAGAAAAATCTCCTTCCGCATTTCACGGCAAGTAGTGATACACACTTCAACACATTTTTTCATATATACGTACAGAAATCCAGTAAATTAATTTTAACAAAATCCATCCGTTTTGTTTTACTTCAAATATTCATTCATTCCGTTCAGTTCATGCGATGTTTCAGTGGTAATCCGACGCCATGTTAATAAACTTTGAATTTACTATAGAGACGGGAGTGCAAAGGCATATGCATACATACATCCATACATACGAGGAAATTTCGATAAAAAACCAATAATGAAATTTTTTTAAAAATTGGTATATATTCTCAATATAATATCCAATGCACCTAACGTTGTTAAAACTCCTTTAATCCGATAAAAACTACGGTTCAATAGAAAAGTGGGCCTCCGTGGCGGCGATAACCTCATCATTCGATTAAAATTTCTGCCCAACTAATGTTCCCGGAAATCGGTGGACATCCTCTAACTGAAAGGACAGTCTACGCCTTTTTTTGAGCAGATTCAACGGGTGAAGTCCACTTTTTCTATTATTCCTTCGTCTATGGCATCAGTGAATTCATATAAAGCCCTTGGATTGAGCTTAAACAGCGTCCAACATAATGGAACTGTGAAGTGGCCTTAGGATGGCTCTTGTTGTCTGGAGTGAGTAAACGAGGCACCCAGCGCGCCGACGACTTAAGAACCGAATCACTGGTCGTTATTGCTCTATTTATCAGTTTCAGTTATCTAAAATCCTCGTACACTTCCGCTTCCGCACACGGTCAAACTAACACTCTAAGAGCGTTTCGGTTGAAATTGGTAGTAGCCGTCTACGAAAAGTCTTGTTCCAATAGTGCTATTGTGCAGTGAGGCTGAGTACTTATTGGACCGTCCTCGTATGCAAGTATTTGCATGGACATTTTTCTGCATTATTTCTGTTGCTATAAGAAATAGTAATATTCACTTGTTTTTTTTGTAGTTTAACAATTTTTTGCTCACATTTCTTTAACATTAGCTAAAATTCGTGCAAATCGCTACTCAAATCACTGCGTTCGCGTGCGTTGGTACAACACGGTACAAAACTGTTCCACGTACAACATAAACACATACTTACTTAAGTATATACATTTCTACTATTGTAACGGCCGTGTAGTGCCCACTTTTACCACTTCTTCGTGTCGGCATTAAATGCCTATTAAGTAATTAAATCCTATTTCCGATTTGTTTGTGTAACGCTTTTGTGCACGGTTACAATAACTGTCATGCATATTCAATGGAGTGGAGTGTAAATAAGCCGTAATTGAACAACTTTGAAATACATACACGCGTATAGGCCGCTGGCATAAAAAGGAAATATCGCCTGTTGATCAACATCCATAAAACCGATATCACTTAGAGCACACATAACGGTATTTTATTCGATTTCGCGTTTTATATTTACCATATCTTGCGATCTTATGATTACTTGTTTATGCTGGAAAAAAGTAGAAACAAGAAACAATACCGTGAATAGCTAACGTTCCGTAAAAAGAGCTTTAGGTTAAATATTTTCAAATAAGTTTAGCTCAAAATTATCAATTTTGTAAAAACTCGTTATTCAACTGTTGAACGAAATATTATAAGAAAATTTGAGAACAAAATAAAACAAGTAAGGAAGAGCTAAGCTTGGGTGTAACCAAACATTTATACTCTCGCAAGGTAAAGTGATATAAGGGATTTTCGTATACATATTAATTAAAAGTAGGAAGTATTCCATCCACACATATTGTATACAATCACAGCCACGAGAGTACACTGTTATTAGAAAGAGACTTTTTCCGAATTTCATTAAGCTGCCTTACACATTGAGCGATAGACGCGGTATAAAGTTTACCAGAAGTTTAAAAATATTTATATAGGGTATATGGGGGTAAGGGAAGTATTGACCCAATTTCAATCATTTTTGACACAAGGGCATGCTGTCATCACAAAAATGTTTCCGCGAATTTTAATACTAGAAATCACAGACTGATCGCACAGACTGATTGCACTGAGGTCCACATATTTATTTAGTGAGTTATCGCACTTTTAGTAGCTTTCAACATAACAGTTATATGGGAAATGGGCGTGGTTATTATCTGATTTTACCAATTTTTTCAGTGTATAAAGTGTGCTAAAAACTTCTTCTCGGCAAGTGTGGTTGAGTTAGCTTCAGATATGTACATTAAACCATTTAGGCGGGGACACGCCCACTTTTTAGCGCACTGGTGTCTCTCGCTACCAAATTGCAGTTTTGTATCTTAATTTAGTGCTTAGTTATGACACTTCAAAGGTTTTCGTTTATTATAATTTTGACGGCGTGGCAGTGGTTCGATTACTCCCATCTACAATTCCGACCTTCCTTCGGTACCAAGGGTATATGTAGCAAGTTGCATCAAGATATCTCAGTTTTTACTCAAGTTATCGCTTGCACGGGCAGACGGAATAACTCTATATATACCATGATTAGTAAGGTGATACAAACAACCGTTAGGTGAACAAAACTATTATACTCTGTAGCAACATGTTGCAAGAGAATAAAAATAAAGAAAATTGCTAAATTAATTTATTGATCTATTAAAACAGTGTTTGCTGCAAACGCCTGGCAGTTCCTCTAGGAACCAACCGATAATTTTGGATAATTTTCATGTAGTTATACCATAAACATGCATTTTTAAATATTACATCATGTGACATGTTGTTTCGATATACATATCTAATAACTTTTAGTTCAGTCGCCACTTGTGTGTGAACTTTGTGTGTGTGTGTGATAGTAATTAATTAGTGCTGAAATTTTGGAATCTTCATCGTTATTACAATTTAATTTGATGTATGTGTTCATTATTTTTTACAAATTTAAATTTAAATTTTATGAAACCAAACTTAAATGATCCCTTGAGGAACCATCAGGTGCTCATTAGTATACACGTACGCAAATCATCATCACAGCAAAATTGTTTTCTAGATTTCTATACTAATTAATGTATATTTGATCAGTTTACCAATAATTTGCATAAAATTTCAATAAAGTATAGATTTTTGTAAAAATATATGCTTAAAATGAGCACCTAATGGTTCCTCAAAGGACCAAGCAATAAAGCACCCTGTAAAACAAATGTTGTTTGTAACCGACAATTATAATACATATTAAAATTTTGAGCGAGTCGGAGTTATCAGGCTTTTAAGGGTTAAGAGCTAGCCACATCTAAGAAATTCAAGGACCTTTTGATTTAATTTTGCGCTAGGAAAGTTCCACTTCTATGTAATTATGTAAAAAACTGTCTTACCATAAATTCGAAATAAATGTGTAAATACTTAAAGGTCCTAACAGTTTTAGGCCGCTTCCAAGCTTAAAGACTTTTATTAGAACTTTTTTGAATTTAGGACGATGCTTACAGATTTGACATTCCCTGCTGATGAGGGAAAAAATTACTAAAAGAAAAACCTTTTTAAGTTAAAAAATCATACATAATATACTTGTATAAAATAGTATTAAATATTTTTTCCTTACATCGAAAATGTTCGCGAAGTGGGTAAATACTGCACCACGAGTATTAAGGTTTATGAAACTTGGTTTTAATACATATTTTAAGATGATGTGGTTTTAAAGCTTGAGCGAGTTCTTTCGAGTCAGCTTTTCGTGTTTCAACAGTCCTGGACAGTCCTGGACATGCATAGTTTAATCAGCCCGTCTTCTTCACTTCTGCATATACAAGGTGTATTTAAAGGAAAATGTGAATTTTGAATTTTTTTGAAAAGCACAATATCTATTTTGTCCCCTTCAAAGCAATCCCCCTCGGATATATTGTAATCACAGAAAACAGTAAGAAAAACCTTTACATTTAATCGAACTTCACGTGGTCGCATCTCCAGGATGCTCATCGTCATCAACATCTTCTCTGCCTTCTGTAAAGTGCTTGTACCACTTATAAACACTTTTTTGAGATAAAGTGGACTCACTGAATGCCACAGTCAACATTTCAAGTGCCTTGGAGCACTTTATTGCATTTTTAATGCAAAACTTGATACATATTCTTTGATTCATTTCTTTCAAAAGTCAAAAATCGGAGAGCATTCAAAAACGTGACTAACCTTTTCTGTTGTCAAAAACAAACTACTAATCGAAATTTGCCCCTAATGCAAGTACATTAAAACCATATGTGTCCGATTATAACAAAAACAAAATATCGATAATCGAATTAACACATAAATTTATCATTTTCTAACTTGCTTTTATAAGAATTAAAGATTATTAATATGCAGTTCTTTCAATTGTATTTTATTTATTTTGTAATAAAAATACTTCACTTATATATAAACACGCTTTTAACCGCTTCATTATTGTTTCTTTGCTTGCATTGCGGCCCAATAAGTTTCCAATTCGTTTCCTTCCCAGTTGAGTGACTTTGTGAAAACGCTAATAATGAAAGTATTAACATTATATATAATTATTTATATAAAGATAACAGTCCGTTACACACAATAAATAAAATTATGGAAAAATTGTTCAATATCTTAACAACG